AGGAACTCTGGAGATACACCTTAAAGGGGACAAGGGAGACAAACTATCCAATTCCTCACCATCGAAAGTACAAATAGATCGAATGGGTTTTCTATGTCATTTGCAGCTTCATCAATTCCTTCCATTTTCCTCATCACGCGCGGTGATTCCAATATTTCATAATGAACATTGAAATGAGATGCTGCAAACAAACTTATGAAAAGAAACAGAAATACCAAAAAGACAAATCATTGTAGATGGTTTAGAAAATCTAAACATTGCAATTATACTCCTTTGCCCAACTTCTAGGAGCAAACGTACACAAAGACCTTATTACTTCCAACTTTTCCAACAGAATGTTGTATGAATTGCTCCAAGTGGAATCCATATGAAAAATCGGTAGTTAGATTTTCATCCTTTAATAAGATAATTTAACTACTAACAAAAAATCTCTTATTACTTGAGCAAGTAAAATACTATTCCAAGTTTCTGCTAGTAAAAATCTTTTATTACATGAGCATCCACAATGGGCTCCCTAAACCACCTCCTTAGACAAATTTTAGGGAGGAATGGTAGAAATGTCACTCCAACCTTGCTCCCTATCTACCTCCTAAAATAGGGAGTTCTCTAGGAGCTCTTAAATCTGAGGAGAGAGAAAGGACTCCTAGTAGCTCCCTATAATTTAATATTGCTTTATTTAATGAGTATTTCAAACATTTATTTAATGCTAAAATTTTTTATTTTATTTTTTAATAGAGATGGACCAATCAAAAAAGAGTTATAGCATTTATGACTCTCCAAATTAGGGAGTATAGTTGGAGTTGAAATTTTTAGAGAGCTCCTAAATAGCTTTCTTATATTTTTAGCTAAATTTTAGCTAAGAAATAGAGAGCATCATTGTGGATGCTCATATAATTGGTATACTCTATAAATACCATAATCTGAATTTGTCTATTTTAATTACTTTAATTTATTACTTATGTTTTAATTATTGTTTGCTTAGTGAATGATTAGTATTTAAGAATTTTATTAAATTTTAAAATTTTAAAAATTAAATACCATTTATTAAGTAATATCATTTATGATGTTAATTAAAATATTTAATACTAATTATTCACTAGAGATATAATAGTTAGAACATAATTACTAATGAAAGTAATTAAATCGGGCTAAGATATTATTTAATTACTAAAAAAAAAAATTTAAAAATTATTAACCTAAAGATACTAAGTTAATATTTATTTATTTATTTTTTAAAACCTCTCCTGACAAAACTTCGTCGGCACAACTATATGTCGGCAACTTTTTGCCGGATTAGATTTCTCCCGACGCAATTTTGTTGGCAAAGGTGAATTTCGTCAGGAGAGGTCTAATTCGGCAAATATTGCCGGTATAAACCTGAGCCGACGAAATTTTGTCTAGAGAGGTTGTTTTGGTTTCTTTTATTTTTTTTTATCTTTAAATTTTAAAAATATAAAATTAGTGACTTTACTTTTGTTTTGTGGCCAACTTCTTTAATTTAATACATGTAATTAAGTAATACCTTAGCCCTTTTTTAATTACTTTAATTAGTAAATATGTTTTAATTATTATTTCTTTAGTGAATATTTAAATATTTTACTGATTTAAAATTTACTTGGTAAATAGTAATGAATTGTTTTGAATTATTTTGTGGGCTTTGTTTTTTGTTCTTTGATATTAAATAATAATTAAAATACGTGAGTACATGTACAATACGTGTATTATATGTTTTCTTTCATTATACCGAGTCTTTAAGACATATACGGAAACGGAAGTATTATTGAAAAATACGTATGTACGTGTATAATACGAGTATTAAATGAGAAAATGCTAAATTCTTTATACGGGTAATAACTCTGGAAACGTAAAAAATAAAAAGGGGACAATAGCTATACCTTGGTAATGGCCTAAACGTAATGGATAATGCTCTAGACTTAGTCTTAAAAAAAAAAAAAAAAAAAAAAAAAAGAGTGATGCTTGTGCCTATGAAAATTACTTTGAAGTATGCTCCACAGAGCCAAAAGAAATAAACTAGGGAAGAGGAGGTTCTTCTGTTTGTATATAAATGAGTGATTCAAACTCTCAGTGCCAAGGGAGTTACCCCTGATATATTTGTTAAAAATTATATATTTGGTCTTACATCAAACAAATAATTTGAATATCATCACCACTCACACAAACGAACTATTAGAAAACAATAGGCACAACATTGGTTCAATCGATCTCTAAAATACTTCAACATTAAGTTAAGTAACAGAGACAACAGAGGCAGAGCAGACAGTTAGCATGATAGCGAGTATGAGAAGAACAACGGCTGCAATGACATCCATATGTAGTGAAACCTGGTTTTCACTGTTCATGTTATGCTTACCCTGGCTTTACCTTTCTAAGGCTTGGCATGTTGTATTAATTAGTGGGTTCGTAGCTCACTCCTTTTTATACCCTTGGGATAAAGGGTATAAAAAGGAGAAGTCCATAGATAACCAAGGGCCTGTTTGGGAATGCTTTTAGAATAGCTAAAAGCACTTTTTTAACAACCAAAAGCGCTTATGAGAGTTTTTGGCTTAAAAGTTTAGAAGCGATTTCTAAATAAGCAAGCACTCCCAATTGCTTTACCAGGAGGCACTTGTATTTCTTATGAAGATTTCAACATTTTTATAATAGAAGCACTTATGAGCAGCCCCGGTTTAATTGGTTCGAATAATAATAAAAGCAGAAAAGCAATGTTTTCTTTTTCCTCCTTACTTTTTCTTTCAGAACCTGCAAAAGAAATGTTAGTTGATCAGTTCTTCACCATCAAGCTTGGCTTAGTGAAATAAAGCACTTCATTGATTTCTACTTAAATTAACTGGGTTTTTTTTTTGGTGGCTATGGAGTGTAAAAATTAGAAGCTCCCATCCCAGAGCTATAATTTGTGTACATTGATTATCAAACATTTCAAATTATTTGTGAATTTTTTTCTTGAAACTTTTTTGGGTTATGGAGATTCCAAGGGGTGGATATGGACTCTGTGATTTGCCCACTTTACCATCAAGCTTGGCTAAAGGACTAAATTGATTTCTACTTAAATCAACTGTGTTTGTTTATCGTAAAAATAAAATAAAATTAGAAGCTCCCAAAACTATAATTTTTCTGGTTTGCTTGCGCTACCCAACCTTTGTGGTCGGGAGACTCTACTAATCCCGAGGGTAGGGGATGTGCTTTGTGTGACTTCACCCACCAATGCCGAGGTGAAGAGCTGAAGAACACTAATGCCTCACCTGAGAAGGTTTCCATAGCAACCAATCACTTTAATACTCTACTTAATTTCAAGCCCACGCTATTAGGTTCAATCAAAACTATAATTTTTGGATATTTATATTATCAGACGTTTAAAAATATTGTGAACTTTTTGCAATCTTTTGGTGGCTATGAAGAGATTCAACGGGTGGACTGTGTAAATGTATCGAATCTACATTTATGTATGGGTCTGCAAGAAAAGAATTCTATCCTTTTCTTCGTGCTAATTAATTATACACTCGAAAAGGCTATAGGTCCTCGTGCATATAGTTGGAAAAATAATAAATCAATTATGAATTCTTCTTTTTGTTTGGGCCACAAATTGGCATACCCAGCCCAGCAAAAATTAGGCCCAGAATGAAGCTGCAAGAAATCAAAGAGAGATGGAAGCCCAAAAGCCAGAGGAGACCAGCCCAAGACTCATCAAAGTAAACAAGACTAATCTGGGCCTCACGGGCCCAATATAAAGGGGAAGCCCAGAAATAGGGACAATCCCACGTGATATCTCTGAAAAAAAGAAAAGTCAGCAATGGCAACTGTCATAGGAGAAGTGATTGAAGGGTTCATGGCATCAAGATCGATTCTAGAAAAAACTGAAGATCAAATCCCTCTTACATATATATATATATTCAGAGATTTTTTCCTGTCCTTTCAGAAAAGGTAATTCTCCCAAGGAGATAAGCAAGTTACAAACTCAGGGAGGGATAAGCAGGAAAGCAGGAAGCTGTCCAGAAAAGAAGTCAAAACTAACCATCACCGGCAAAATATCACAAGGGGCAGTTGAAATTGGGAAAAAGATTAGGTTCCTTTTCAAGAAAATCAGGGAAGTGATTGCCTATCTGTTGAGAGCCTATCTACCAAAAACTGAGGAAACCTTTTTCTTCTTTTCTTTTCCATTTTTTTAAAAAAAGAAGATCTTTTCGAAAGGATTTGCCGCCCATTATTAAAAGAATTATTCTACTCCAGAAGACATTTCTTATAAATACAAGAAGGAGTGAACAGGGCAAAGGACAATCAAATCTTACAACAAAAATTTCATCACTCAATCAAACAAAGATCCTACATAGGAAAACCCTCAAATGAACAAGCCCACTTGAATTTCAAGTGAAAAAACCAGCTCCAGATCAGAAGGTCCAGAATCCAGATTTAGGAAGCAAGTCATTCAAAACGAGATTTCTCTCGTTATAAATTTGGTTCAACAAAAAGCCAAAACAAGCAGAGTTTGAATCTTCTCCAAGTATGGAAAACCTCAGCAAAATTCACGGAATAGCCTCCAGCTCACCAACGTTCTCAAGAACAGCCACTTCTGCCTGTTCAAACTGAAGAAACCGCAGTTCTGCCCACTCAGAAGCTTCACAAAAGCTTAAGGTACATTAAAGCTCTGCCAGAATCAACCTTTGGTATCGATTTGTAGTTGAAAATCGGGCGATCAGAATTGTCAACGGTCCAGTCCAGCCCAGACATTCCCAGTCCAGCCCATCACAGAGCCGTCCATCCAGGCAGAAATGGAGACCCAGCTACCCTTTTTATCTTTTTCGCATCCACATATATTTTTAGTTTTGTAAAAGGCACTTCTGCCCAAAAACAGCTTAAATTCCATCGACTATTCTGGCCAGAACAACCTCTTTATACTGAGATAAATTGTTAAAGTCCTCACCAGTCTGAGGCAAGAAAAGAACTTACTTGGGAGATATTCCTCACCCAAATTCACAATCGTTTGTTTAGGAAATCAGTGACTTGGGGCGCAAGTTATCCATTCCAGAGAAAGCTGACTTGTTGACCAGTCTATGGTTCTCAAGGCAGTGGGGAACTTTGCCCTTCCATCATAGGAGTAAACACAAAACGGGTGAACACTTTTCTTTTTTTTTGGTTCGGAATCAACTATGAATGGAGTTGGACGCTAATAGAGCTCAAGAAAGGGAGGAAAATATATGCATGTCTTAGATTAATGACTATAGTATCTACCGACATGAGATTTTCAATGATTTGTTACATTGGAGTACCCAACATAACAGCTCTCGGATTAACAATAAAGTTATAAAATTTCAACATTTTGATACCGAACAAGCATAGAGAAACAAATAAAACAACCACATTGCTTCCATCACTCTACATGCACACAGCTCACTTTCACTAACAACAGAGGCTATATTTTCTACATATACACTAACTTTTTCTTTCTCCAGCTCTCTTACACCTCTAGGCTGGTGACAAACCCAGCTCGTGTCATGTGGAGGACCAATAGGAAATGACAAGGAGAAAACGGCTAAGAAGAGACTCTCAACGCTTAGAAGGCAGAGCAGAGATGACAGAGCACACTGTTTGTATAAAAGTGAGTATGAGGAGAAAAATAGCCGCAGCAATTGAAATAGTTTCCCAAGGTGTGTTGCAATAGTTTTGTCTCAAGTTTGCCTGCCATTTGTGCCAAGACGTTCTGAATGGTTTCTGCATAACAACTGCGCAGTTTTGCTTCTTGGTCTTTTACTTTCTGTACATAATCCGCTAGGCTTACCCTGGTCCGACGTATATAATCTTGTAAGTACCTCTTTTTGTGATCTTCCATGGCTTTTAGGCCTTGCTTGCCATGATGAAGTGGGCCTATAGAGACTACCTGAGGTGTGTAGGCCTTTTCACTCACACGCCGTAGTCGTTCAGGAACTCTATAAATGCAACACAAAGAGGAGAGGGGAGACAAGCCATCCAACTCCTCACTCATTGAAGTTACTAATGGAATGCAAGGGTTTTCAATATCATGTGGAGCTTGATCGCTTCCTTCCATTTTCCTCTGATGTGTTTGTTGTTGTCAATCGTAATGGATGATAATGAAATGATAGTCACTGACACAACAATAAACAAATTTTTCAAGATGGTTGAGAAAATTAATACAAACATTGCAACTATAAGACCAAACACACAAAGACTTTTACATACCACACTAGTGCCTTAAGAATTCGATTTGAACGCACCAAATTCATTCAAAACTCTTCTGGTCAACTCTTTTTCTAGTAATTATTCTTGGAAGATTCTAATTCAGTTTTGATTGAAAAATTCCTACTAATCATGTGAATCAGTACGAAAGTTTATTTTACATTAACATACAAACCCCAACTTTTTTTTTCCAACATATATCTTTCTTTATTTCCCTCAACTTATTGGAGCTTCTAATAAAGCAAATTCTTTGTGTGATGATATCAGATAGTAGATTATGCTTCCAGTCAAAACATAGACAAACCAAAATCCCATTAGAAGAGAAGAAAATTATATACGACATTCACATAACCTTCTGCTCAATTCCAATTTCCAACTACAATGAAACATAAGACACTTAAAAGCTTCAAGAAATTGGATGTGCAAGCAAACATAGCAAAATTATGAAAGACAGAGAAAGGTGTTGAGCATTGAAAACATACCTGATACGTATTGAAACACAATTTTTTTTTTTTGCCTTTGGTAGATGGAGTAGCTAGAAAAGCTCAATGCACTTGCTCTTCTGCTACATTTCAGTATAAGAACATTGTTTTGAAGTCCGGTCAACTCCTCATAGCTTCCTTGCCTTTGCTTTGACATGCCGATGCACGTCTTGGGGAAGTTTGAATAATCCATTGCAGGCCCCACAACAACTAAAGAACCAACATTTTGTAGAAGGTTTTGTCTGTACCTTTGACTGTAAGTAAATCTCTTGTATCTGCTCCTGTGTTTCGGTGAAGTTTCTTTGTGTCCTTTCTGCGGAGTCTCCCATGCTTGTTCCATGAAAATGTTCTAGGAGCAAATACGGTTGTTTCTTACTAGATTCAAATGATTCAGAAAAATAAAAACACAAGAAAAAATGTATTTTCTTGATGGACTTGGTGATGAAAAATATCACTCTCTTTATATGTCGTCTTCCTTGGACTTTGAGACCTTGGGTTTCGCTTCTTCTTGAGGATTGCATAGGGTTTCTAGGCCCAGGAATACTTTGAGTTAGTTTTTGCGTTTTGGGCTTTGAGACTTTGGGACCCAACTAAACCCCAAAAGGAAAACCGATTTGAACAGCATACAAACTTGAAGGACACACAAATATGAATCTCAGCATCGCTGAGAAATTAATTTTAGTAGAGGTTGGTAGGTAGGCAATATTGGAAGTTTTTATCATTTTTGCTCCAAGTCTCTCCTCCACTCACTAATACAGATTACTCACAAATGAACTAAAGTCTGCAGGGATATATGGACTCCCCTGTCCATATGAATGTTGGAAGAAATATGTTAAATTTCAGAGAGACAGGCCTGTGACCCACCACTAGCAACGTAGATATTATCCCCAACTTAACTACATGGTTAGTAGGTGTGGGGTTTTTAAACAAAAAGCATCGATATTATTGGGAGTGGAACCACTTATTATAAGTTGTAATTTATTTAGTCAAGTTTCCGATGTGGGACTTTCTATTCTTCAACAAGCCCCCTCATGTGGGACCACCACATAGTGGGCCACATGTAGAGCCAAGTCCACATCGGAGTCAATCATTCAAGCCCAACACCTAAACACCACGTATTGTGTAAGGGGTAGAGGTAAACATTCAAGTCCAACATGTGAACACCACATATTAGGTAAGGGTAAAGGCTCAATTCAGGCCCAGTCAATCAACCCACTATGATATCATGTTAAATTTCAGATAGACGGGCCTGTGGCCCACCACTAGTAACATCGATATTGTCCCCAACTTAACTACATGTTTAGTATGTGTGGAGTTTTATACAAAAGGTCTCGATGTTTTTAGGAGTGGAACCACTTATTATAAGCTGTAATTTATTTAGTCAAGTTTCCAGTCAACCTGACTTTGATACCATGTTAAGATTTTAAAGGGACGAACTCTTGGCCCACAACTAGCAACATCGATATTGTCCCCAACTTAACTACCTGTTTAGCAAATGTGAGATTTTATCCTAAAGGCCTCGATCTTATTAAGAGTGGAGCCATTTATTATATGGAACTTTCTATTTTGTTAACTCTGTGTATTCTTCATCAATGTGAACACACCTAAACCAATCATACCTGATACGGATTGAAACACAAATTTGTTTTTTGCCTTTGGTAGATGAGTAGCTAGAAAAGCTCAATGCACTTGCTCTTCTGCTACATTTCTGTATAAGAACAAGGTTTGGAAGTCAGGTAAACTCCTCATAGCTTCCTTGCCTTTGCTTTGACATGTCTATGCACTTCTTGGGGAAGTTTGAATAATCCATTGCAGGCCCCACGGCAACTAAGGAACCAACATTTTGTAGAAGGTTTTGTCTATACCTTTTGACTATAAGTAAAATCTTTTGTATCTGCTCTTATGTTTCGGTGAAGTTTCATGTGTCCTTTGTGCCGAGTTTCTATGCGTCCTTTGCTGAACGAAAAATGAGGTTGTTTCTTACTAGATTCAAATACTTAAAAGAAAAAAAGAAATTGTTGTTTCTTAATGGATTTTATGATGAACAATATCCCCTATATATATAGGGCCTTTAGTTGAGCCCACAAATACCTTCAGTTAGTTTTTGGGTTGAGGGGCCTACAGAACCTGCACTAAACAATAAAAGAAAATACCTAATTAGTTTAGTACGAATTCTATAATGAAGGCTTTATATATGGTCCTTATTAGGTGAGGTTTTATTTCTTAATCGTTAGATCAATTGGTTAGTTGTTAGATCAAATTGGTTAGCACGATCCAACAGTTAATAGATAAAACTTCACATAAAAGTCATATATAAGGCCCTCACTATAGAATGACTCGTTAGTTTAGTCTCTTGTTACATATCAAGAGTTAGAGATATTTTTTAATAAGGATCTACCATACCACATAGTTGGATAAGACATTATACACAGTTTTTGTAAGAGCATCTCCAGTGTGCCAGGCTAGCCCAAGCAGCAGGGGGCCCTAGGCCCGGGAAGCAACTCTAGCATGCAAGATTAAGCCTAGGCAAGGTGTGGGACCCATGAGCCCAGGCAAGCCCACGAGGAGATCTGGCCCGTCATTTTGCCTTCGGGTTTCAGTCAGGTTAATGTCAGCGAAAGAATTTCAATTTTTTTTTACCGTTGCAATGCACGCGCCAATGATAAATTTTCTTTGGATATCTTGCGTTGATCCACAATTGCCAAAAACCAACGGCTACAAGCCATGTGGCTTCTCCAGAAGCCTCCTATCCAAAAATCTTGTCAATCTAACGACTGTCCATTTTTTGGCTAAAAAAAATAAAAAATAATGAAAACTTTTTCTATAAATACCTACCAATATTATTCACTTCCCACACCAAATCTTCATACAAATTCATATCCTTTCAATATTTTTCACTTTCCACACAAGATTTTCTACTACTAAATTTCATTTGAGTAAAAATACAATGGTCTCTTCCATCGAAGCAGGAGGCGCGTAGACAACCGTTGAAGATATTTTGTTGTGTGAGTGTTGGGTCAAAGTTGGTCATTGCCTAATCACATGCAATGAGATGAAGTCCTCTCGTAGGAGTTTCTGACATTGCAGCGGAAGTAAGATGTGATATGAGAATGTAAGGAATTTGATGAGAGGAATGGGATTTGAGGAATTTGATGTATAAATGATGTAGGAATTGGATTTGGGAGGTATGTAAATAAGATTTGAGGGTATGTGTTTAGAGATTTTGATAAGAGGATTTGAGGAATTTAGATTTGAGAGATTTGGATTTGGGGAATTTAAATATGAGGAATTTGATTTAGGGTTTGAGTTTGAATATGAGAAATTTGATATGAGAGTTTAGAGACAAGCGATGATCGATTGTTCTAAGGGAGATTCACTAATATACCCAATATGGGGGCTCAAATTATAAAAATACCCCATATGAAATGAACTTTATAAATACACCCAAAACCCATTTACAACATAACAAAAAAGCCTTAACTTCTTATAAATTACAAAACTACCATAAATTTCTTAAGACAAGCCCAACCTCAAAATCTCATAAAAATACCCAAAACACTCAATAGGGCATTAAAGTAATTTAATAATCAATATTAAATTCAATAAGGTCAGTTGTCATTTTTGGGGTTTTTTTTGGGTTTGTTTATAGAAATTCAATGATGGAGGGTTTATCTATAATATTAGTGCTAAGAATAGGTATATCACTAAATATCTCTTGTTCTAATACCATGCTAAAATATGAATATGGTTTGAATACTTTAGGTTGAGTTTTATTCTTCTCCATAAGGAGGTATATATAGGAGTTTACATGAGTGCTTTACAAGGAAATAGATAGAGTAATCAATTAGGATAATATCTCATAATTATACAATGATTTGTCAACTATATAGAATAGGAAAGTAAATCCCTCAATTAATCAAGGAAATAAATCTCATTGATTAATTAAAAGACTCGCGTCAACATTTATAAGCCATGGAAGAGCAGAAAAAGAGGTACTTAAGAGATTTTATACGTCGGAGTAAGGTAAGCTTAAAGGACTATATCAAAAAAATAAGGGACCAAGAAGCAAGACTGAGAAGTTGTTATGCAAACCCATTAAGTTTAGCAGTGATGAATTTGTAAAAATCATTATAGTGGATGCTGCCTTCACTATTGAGTTCTTATTGAGGTTCTATCTGAAAGGATCTGGACATGAAGGAGACCGCTTATTAAACAAACCGTGGAAGTTCAGGTGGCCTGACATGTGGATGCTTGAAAATCAGCTCCCATTCTTTATTCCTGAGGATCTTTATCACACATACATAATAACCGACTCTTTTAGGAATTATTACAGTACTCTTGATCATGAGAGGCTTTCAATAATTAATATTTCTAAGAATTTCTTCACAGCTGGAATAATGAATTTGGAGGGGAAGGGAGACAAATGGAACAGAATATCATCATCTTCTAATGTTGGAAATTTTATGTTATTTAATAATATTTAATTTCTATAGTGAATGAAAAATAAGTTTCTTTAAGAAACGTGTGTCTTAGGCCAGTTTCTCTAACTATAATGATGCAAAGGTCGGCTTCCTTAGATTTGTGCCTATTGCTTTTCAAAGTATAATGATGCAAAGGTTGTATCTCGTTCAGGCAAATGGAAGGTATATAGCAATTTATAGAACAATACAGTAATCCAGAAGAAATATTATGAAATGAAAAGAATAAAAAGTAAAAAAAGAGAAAGAAAGGAATTCCCACCTGCAATGTATATGTATGAAAGGAAGACCAAGTTTGTTTTAAAATGGTAAGAACAAGTTGATTTAAAATTGGGTTCAGGTCAACTCATAGATTTCTTGCCTTTTCTATTCTCCTTCCTTGGACATGAGCTGTTTAATCTTGGACTCTTCCCCATGGGAGCTTCTACAATGAGGAGTTAAAGTGAGGAGGTTATTTGAGGAGACCGATCCGACCGTCAAAACATTTAAAATATTTAAGTCCCATGATTTCTTTACATTTGTTGATGGTGAGATTTGACCTCCTCAAATAACCTCCTCACTTTAAGCCCTCATTATAGCCTTTCCGCTTCCCCATCATGTTGGGGCCTGTCTTATTCTTGAGGATTGTATAGGCCCAGTAAATGCTTCGAGGTAGTTTTTGTGTTTTGGGCATTGGGACCCAACTTCACAAAAGAAAACAATTTGACCAAAAACAAATTTGAAGGACATTGAAATTGTACATGTAGGATAGGTTAAAACACTATAAGGGAGGTAAATAGTACGTTTACAGAGTTTAAGTGTAATAAAGGAATAAAAACATGCCCAGAGAATTGATAACTGATATCAATTCCTGAATATACATAATGTAAAATAAAAGAACACGTAGAAAATTATTTTAGGTGGTAAAACCCACCTCTGGGGAAAATGCACGAGACTTCTTAGTCCAAAACAAATCCATAGAACGATGATTACAAGAAGTATTCACACACTTATCCTAAACACATTCTAGATAATGTTTACTAACCCTCTTCGTCAACTTCTGTCACAGGATGATATTTCGACACTCCTTATGTTGAACGCAATATTGGTCACAATTTCTTCAAGCTTGCCGGAGTTCTTCCAACTCTCCTTATATTGAATATGATACTAGTCACGATAGATTCAAGCTCATCGGAGAAAAACCGCCACAACGGTCTTGGTGCCCTCAACCGTATGAGTCACTTAACATGCAAATGAATACAATATGAATGATAAAAGTGTTTGACAAATCACCAAGTTATGGAACACTTGATGATTTATCTCAAATAAAAATTCAGCTTTCCAAAGTTTATGAATTGAAACATGATCGTTAAAGCTCTCTAAACAAAGAAGACGAAGGTCTTATTTATATAGACTTTACCAAATCTCCAATTTCCAAGGCTTGATAGAAAATCACAAAAGTATCTTTCCTATTCTAGAGATTGGTCCCATGAAATCCAACCAATAGGAAATGAGATATTTAAGAAAGGAAGATTTTGATCAATATCAATATCAAATGAATTCTTATACGCCTAGTCAACTATGAAGGGTATCTTGATTCCTTGATATTTTGATATGATTTGAAACATGATTTCCACGTTAGAAAATTAAGGGGATGTTAAAACATGAAAGTAATAGGAGAATCAAATGATTTGGGCCAAAATTACCTAAAAAGAAAACACTCCTAAATAAACTTCAATTCACTTTTAAAAACAGTAAAACCGACTCTTTTAGGAATTATTACAGTACTCATGATCATGAGAGGCTTTCAATAATTAATATACAAATTTCTAAGAATTTCTTCACAGCTGGAATATTGAATTTGGAGGGGAAGGGAGACAAATGGAACAGAATATCATCTTCTTCTAGTGTTGGAAATTTTATATTATTTAATAATATTTTATTTCTATTGTGAATGAAAAATAAGTTTCTTTAAGAAACGTGTGTCTTAGGCCAGTTTCTCTAACTGGTCGGCTTCCTTAGATTTGTGCCTATTGCTTTTCAAAGTATAATGATGCAAAGGTTGTATCTCTTGAACTTACTGTAATTCATTGATACGTTGTTTTATCAAAGGTGGATTGGGTTTTATATAATTCAAGCACCCTTCATCAACCTGTATATCTCCCAAGGATGGATAGAGTTCTTTTGTGAAAAATAGAGTATTCCCCAATACTCTATTTTATCTCTTTGTTAAATACTTCTGACGTTTGTCTTGAGAGGACAAATATATAAATGGTTCGCCAGAGTCTTAAATTGAAGTGCTTCAATTTAGGATTATTAATTGTTGAATCCTAGGAGATGGACACCTATAAACTGTGAGCACAAGGCAGGGGCGAAATCTATCTTTAGGACATTGCAATTCTTGCAAGCCTCAATCGCTAAAGTTGTCTGTATTTCTATTTGGTGTTTGTTGATTTACATGATTTCATGTAAATTTAATTATTGTATTTGATTATTACAATTCTATTGAGAATTATCATAATTTAATTTCATATTTCCTATTGTTCCGCCAACAATCTAAAGATAGATTCTCTTATGGAACAATAAGAATATGAAAAGAATCAGAGTTCATCTTCTACAGGAAGAAAAGCTTGATGCATAAATCTGTGTTTTTCTATGGAAATTACATTTTGATGGCGGGTCTTGTATTACAGTGCGTGTTGTTCCTTTTGCAGAAAGGAATTGAGTTTTTAAATTGAAGTACAAAATGGGCCAAATGGACCTGTGGGTTATGAGAGGCAATTAACCTAACAGATTCAGATTTAAGAACACTCTCTTTCAGGAATTTGTCTGTAGAGTATGTGTTAAGCATCGTGAAACCAACCCTGGTACTGTAAAATGCTGTACGCATTCAGGAATTTGGAAACTGTTCGGCATTGTGAATCTGTTTCCAGACTAGTATTTTTCTGAAAATTTAAAAAAAAAATTCAGAAAAGAAATGGAATTCGGGAAAAGTTACTACTTTGAAAGATGAGATAGCCATGCCTTAAATCAAGTAGGCTGTCAATTTTTTACAATCTCGAACCATGTATGCTGGTTTACAGTTTGGAAAATCTCCAAATTATGTATGCATGTTGGACCATTTCCTGTCTATATAAGATGAAGAGATGCAAGCAAGTGTCCTGGACGTGATCCAACTAGAAATTTGGTTTTCAGTTTCTAACTGTTGTAGGCTGTTAAATCCATTTATTATTATTTTTTTGGTGAAATGGGGGGAAAACCCCAAACAAACAAAACAAACTAACCAACACAAATCAACCGGGCCTAGACACCCCTAAACAAATCATCCACCAAAGAAGTCCCAATCCAACTTGGAGCCTCATCAAAAACGCAGATACCAAGATCTAAGTTATAACTCCAAGCAGCCAGACGATCTGCAACACTGTTTTTCTCCCTAAAAATATGATGCAGGCTGCAATTCTCAAGTTGCTGCATTAACTGCCAACAACTAGAGACCAGAGATGCAAGAGGGTGCAAAGTAAGAGATCATGCTGCTGAACAAGCTGGATAGCAACAGCCGAATCCATCTCAACGATAAGGTTATTAACCCTTTCGCAACAGCCATCCTCAGACCAAAGAACAGACCCCATAATTCCGCCTCTAGAATCTGCCCTTTACCCAAATTAACAGCAAACCCACTACACCAATCACCAAAACATCACGCAACACACCTCCAGCACCAATATGGCCAAAGCAACTTTCCTAGAGCCATCAACATTCAGTTTAAAGACCCCAGCAGGAAGAGGTTCCCAAGCAAACCAAGCCTCAACCTTAGCACACTTGGTAAAGAAACATTAGAAGTTTTAAACAATTCCTTCACAGCAGCAGTAATAATTTGTATGGAGTCAAAAGCCAACTCTTCATCACCATGAACACATAGTGATTCCTCCATTTCCATATATACCAACATGTAAAACAAAGACCAAATTCTAAGGAATACCCTCAGCCCAAACAATCTTCGACATCAATTTTTACTCTAAGCCAAGGTTGAAAGTCCACAGTAAAAAATCTAGCCCTTTGACTAGAATTGAGAAGAGCATTCCACACCTTCTTAGCCTTAACACAATCATGAAGATATGGAGTATAGACTCCCTAGGCCAATACACGATCCCACAAGAGCTCCAAAGATAGCGTCTTCTAACTCTTTGCTCATTAAAAAGAATTTTTTCTTTAAAAACAGCCAAAAGAAAATATGCACTTGGGAGGAATCCTCTCTTCCAAAATCGTCCAAGCAACATCAGAGCAAGTAGAGCCCTCAAAACCATATTATAAGCAGATTTTACAGAGAAAATCCCATTGGAGGAAAACTTCCAAATTTGGCGCATCTTGTATCTCTCCCCTTATTAACCCAGGCCAGGGCTAATAAACTAAAAGCACCAGCTCTTCAGGTAAAGCAGCAACCACTTAGTAGTAGTCACCATCTCCCACCAACCATCTCTGTAAAAACTGAAATAACAGAAATCTGTGTCCTTCCACAAATCCACACCCTTAATCATTTTTGGTTTAAAGGAGCATCAAACCCAATTATCCTCCAAAACTCAACCTTACCACCTTCCCCATAACCATACCCTTCTAATACCCTTCCTTAAAAGGAGCAGCACCATGAAGCACACCTCTCTGGTAGAAGAACAAATCCGGCCACACTCAAGAATCATCAATAATAGAATGGCCTTTAAGGGTATTTCCTTATAAATCTCGCCCACAAGCCTGCCCATCCCTTTTATTCAAGCCTCCAAAAAATCCGTGTCTAAGCACAGCTTGGATGTCATAGCACCAGTTTTTTTAAAACCCAAACCCCCTTTATCTTAGGCCACAACGAATATCCCACTGACAGAAGATGGACCCTGCTCCTTCTAAAAAAAAAAAAAAAAAAAAAAAAAAAAAAAAAAAAAAAAAAAAAAAAAAAAAAAAAAAAAAAAAAAAAAAAAAAAAAAAAAAAAAAAAAAAAAAAAAAAAAAAAAAAAAAAAAAAAAAAAAAAAAAAAAAAAAAAAAAAAAAAAAAAAAAAAAAAAAAAAAAAAAAAAAAAAAAAAAAAAAAAAAAAAAAAAAAAAAAAAAAAAAAAAAAAAAAAAAAAAAAAAAAAAAAAAAAAAAAAAAAAAAAAAAAAAAAAAAAAAAAAAAAAAAAAAAAAAAAAAAAAAAAAAAAAAAAAAAAAAAAAAAAAAAAAAAAAAAAAAAAAAAAAAAAAAAAAAAAAAAAAAAAAAAAAAAAAAAAAAAAAAAAAAAAAAAAAAAAAAAAAAAAACCAATCTCTATGTCCAGGAAACATTATGAAAACCATCTCAGAGTCCACCCACATGAGCATTAGAACATGGTCTAATAAGTCCCTAAAGCTTTACTTCCCACTGCCTCCGCAACCTAATCACAATAATTCTTTAATTTCTTTCAATTTATTTCTCCTTCTTCTAATAATATTTGTAACGATGAGAGATTGTGTATTTCATCAACCTTCTGCAACCACTTAACCTGATTTTGCCTCCAAAAACAGCTTCTTGTTCGTGACGCATTAAACAAACTCCTTAATTACTCAGTTCCAAATTATAAGGACACGATTTGACCATACACAAAAGATTTTTGGGAACCATCAATGGCGAGCCAAAACTATCGTCCTTTTGTCGCATGGACCCACACTTGAATCTCATTGCTTCAAGGAGCAATTGGAGCTAAGACTTATTACGACCAATCCACATAGCTACAAACCTGAAAGGTCGGAAGGGGGGGGGGAGAACTAAACACAAAGCCAAGCATATTTGATGGGACTATGATTGATGTATCAGCGGGAGATGTCTCACAGTTGCATCAGCAAAACCTTTGCCAACTGCAAGTACAAATCGCTCTGTCCAACATTTCACAAACTTTTTTTTTTTTAGTCACAGTGTATTTGGGATCCATAAAACCCCAATGACCATATCCTGGTTGCAACGCCGTTTTAACCCCTCTTAATCTGCATAAGAAGCTGCTCCTCCTAACGTATCTTCACACCTCATCTCATTAAAGTCTCCAAGCAAGTACCAAGGCATATTATGATTAGCTCCAACAAAGGAAGATAATCCCATAATTTCTGTCGCTTAGCAATACAAGGATGAGCACACTCCAGTACAATCCAGGAGGTTTGATCAAGCCAACAGACACAAGCAGAAATAGATTGAGCTGAGGTACCACAACAATATCAACTGTGACTTTACTAGCATTCATAATAACCACACGCCACCAGAAAAACCATTAGCATCCACAATTTCATAATTGGAAAACCCCAAAGATTTTACCACATCAATAGCCTTCCCACCACTGATTCTAGGCTCACAAATGAATAGAATCCATATGATGAGTATGACTCAATTCATCACAGTAGTCTTAAACTTAGTGCACGCAGCACCTCGAGCATTCCAACTAATAATATCATAAAAAATATGCTAAAAGATAACAATCACTAAGGGTAAACCCTTTACTTAAGCATCAAAAGCCATACCTTCAACTGTGTTGAAGGTAGTACTAGTCAAATTTCCACCAGAAGTGCTAGTTTGGCCCTCAACTAAATCCATCTTCGCAACTTGCCCCAGCAGATCAATCCCTCTAGGCACAAGAACATTATCATCATCATACTCCGAAGCATCCTTATGAAGATTAGTATCCTCATCATGAAATTCCGAATGTGTTGTTATATTTGGAGGTTGATGCCCAAAAATATAAACCCCTTTCTCTTGATGAATATGCTGACCATCACCCCAACTCTCCAAATGCTCAGTGACAGCACTAAGAGTAGAAGGCTTCCTACCACCAACAACCTGATTACGAGAATGTCGAGAAGCCCCCATTGTAAACTTATTAGAAGAGCCCGAACTCTTATCCATTACCTTACTATTAAAGACTTTCTACACATTCTTATTGGAGATATCATTCAGAGCAGGCCTAGAACCCGATTTAGCATGTTTAGACTTAGTCCAAACTTTCTTACCAACTTCCTCCACAGATTTAAAATAGGGACACCCCTCGTCGGAACTTGGTTAACATTATCGGGCCCACTTATGTCAAAATCTTCACCAATCTCATTAAGAGCATCAAAACGAGACCCCTTTGTTTCTTTCCACCAGAACCCTGCCCAGGAACATCCTTATGAATAGTTTTGGTCGCCTTCTAGATTGCACATTCATCCAAGGGCCTCGCAAGCTATCCTCAGCCATCTTCACAGTTTCTGTAACCCCAACAGAGTCATGATTCATAGGTCCCACTCCTGCACCTTGAGCTTTCCCAGCCTCATCGGACAAATTCACAGATTTCAGAGTACAACTCTCCCTTTTATGACCATAACACCCACATAGATAGCAAATATCAGGTAATCCCTCATACTCAATATTGTACCAGTTCTGATTTATTTGCACAAAGGCATCAAGGGGTTTAGTTAGATCCAACTCCCACACATAAACGAGCAAACTTACCCCTATTTTGCGAAGTAGTCAACGAATCAATTTTCAGCAATTTACCAAGAAGGTTGCCAATCCTCTTAAGAGACCAAACATCAAAACATTCAAGTTGCATGGCAGATACTCGAATCCAAGCAGCCATTCTTGTGATGTGTGCAGTAGAAGGGCAGAAACCAGGCCGCCATTGTTGTATGGTTAAGTATTGCCCCGCAATCATCCAAGGCCCTCCAGTCAACACAAAATTTAAGTCCTCTTCCAGATCAAATCTCACAACAAAATAATCATTCACCAAGTCAATAAGCTTCCACCCTCCCACCAAACTCCATTTCTGAGCTAAGCGATCATGAAGATAGTTATAAGTATGAGAGCGACCAAGGAGCTTAACGATCAAAGCATTTTTCCAAGGTTCACAAAATCGAGCCATAGGACGATCAGAGAACTGTATACTCGGCCCACGCTCACCACGAGAAATGAACACATCATCCTCATCATTCAAACCCTCATAATCAGTATCCAAGCAGTTAATAGCAATCCCCACATTTTGGTCATATTAACTTTATTCATCAATTTATCACGAAAGCTATGAATACCAGGTAAGAAATTAGGCATCATATTACCATTAGATTCATTCACCAGATCAGCCGTTGGCCTAGAAATATGCTCAGACTCTGGCATCAGATCCATCTTAGTTGCTTGCATCAACCCCTGCATCGAAATGAGATTGGAACCCGACTCCACATCGTACTCAGAATCGCAATCTGCAGCAGCCCGAATCCTCTTCGTCACACGAGAAAGCTTGGGAAAGACACCAGGGGATCCTTCCTCCATGGGCAATTGAAATTCAGGGAGACGCACACTTAGAAACAATAGATCGGCGGCCGGAAACCACCGCAACGGCAGTTCCCAGTAAGAAGAGTCGCGAAGGTTCCGTACCACTCGGTGCTCTCACTTTGGAGAGAAAAAATTGTTAAATCCATTTATTGGGATACTGGTTGTTCATATAAATTTTGCATTCTTACATATTGGATTACATATAGAAAGATTGCAAATATTTGGTTTTGCAAATTTTCCTGAAGAAGGGAAAGCATGTCGGTGTATTGTCTATATTTGACAAACACAATTAACGAATACTTCCAAGAAGAGAAGTAGTGTTGAAATGACCAAAAACGTGGTATATTTCTCTGTCTTACAAAGACAACAAATGAAATGTGGAGGTAAAGCCCTATTTTGTAGAATTAAGTTTCTAATTGTGAGGCTTCAACCTATAGTGGTTTGTATGAAGATAATGGAAATGATGAGAGAAGTGTGGGGAAACACTGTGTTTCTAGTTTCTTTATTTTGCAGGCAAACCTGGATATGACCATTTAGATGTGTTAATCATGACTTTAAGGTACTTGAGGTACATTATCATGAACTATGGGGTACGTGAAGGATTCAATAATACGTTGGTTCTTTGACAGAGACAAAGTACCTAAGTGAATATCAATTGAGATAAAGAAGTCCACAAAGTGATTGGCATGATCCGCAATGGAATGTGAATCCTAGCCTTAACAGGGGTGGTGGGCTGAATAAAGTGGCTTCAAAATTCCCTAGAGGATATTCATATGTGTAACAAAATTACACATATGATGAGAACCCAAAAATGTGGGAGTCTATTGCAAAATTGCACTAGACGTAATTTGCAAAGTTCTTGAGGTATGAAAATTCATTGGTAGTTTAAGAGTAACCACAATTGTAAGAGAATTGTGGGGGGTGGCTTAACTATCTTTGCAATCTCATATCGTGTAAGAATGGAAAGGTAATTTATGAGTAACGTTATTTTAAGGTATAAAAAAGGTTAAAGATCCTACAAATACCTTAAATGTGGGGGAAGTCTACCCCAAGAGTTGGCAAATTACTTATTAAGTCCTGACAAAACGTATGGAGGACTTTTTGAAAACAACTACTCTCAAATGAATATAATTTCGTAAGATGGAAATGTGCACACCCATCAGTTTATAGTCAACCTAGTGGATCCAAAATTTAAAAGGTTGGACTAGAAAGTGATCAGTTGAGCATCGAGGGGAATGAGGTTAAAGCCAACATATTGAATGAATCGGCCGGGCGGAAACCTAACCTAGTTGATTGGAGATCTCATGGTCTAGGTTCAATAGGCAAATTGGTTGGGCATGATTCAAAGTTATTCACACACTATACCTCATTCCTATGATGAAAGAAGTGTGTTGTCTGCAGAAGTACAAAGGTGTTCACCCGTTTTAGATTTGTTCTTGTGAAGGAAGGGTAAAGTTCCCCATTGTCTTGAAAACCATTGACTAGTCAACAAGTCAACTTTCTTTTGTGTGTGAGCGTGCCATTGCTAGCAATAAAAACCCTAGCATACTTTAAAAAATAGATAACTTGCGCCCCAAGTTATTAACTTCTAAACAAGCGGTTGTGAATTTGGGTGAGGAATCTCCCAAGTAAGTTCTTTTCTTTGCCTCAGACTGGTGATGACTTCACAATTTTCACAGTACAAAACTGGTAGTTCTGGCCAGAATAAATAATAAGAAAGTGAATGTTTTCAGAAATAACTGCCTTTTACAAAGCTCAAAAAGGGAAGACTAACTCTAAAAAAGACAAAATAGTGTTGGACTTCAATTTCTGCCTGGATAGATGCTTCTAATTTGGGCTAGACTGGGTATGTCTGTACGGGATTGGACTGTCAACATCTTCAACCGTCGAGTTTCAACGATAATCGATACCAACGTTCGAGTTTGGCACAGCTTTAATTTATTTCAAGCCTTGGAAGGCTTTTGGCACGGACAAAATTAGGGCCTCCTCAGTCTAAAAGGGGTAGAAATGGCTAGATTTGTTTATTTATTGAGCTCGGGCTGCACTATAGTACCTATTTTGCTTGATCAGGGCTCTCCATAAATTTGTTGAGGTTTTCATATTTGTGAAAACCGAACTCTGCTAGATTTGGCTTATGCTGAACCAAATTTGTAACGAGAGAAATCTCACTTTGAATGACTATTTCTCTGAAATTGAACTGAAGTTAGAGATTCTGGATTATAGCTGACTTGTTTTTGTGGCTCAATGAGCTTTTGGTTGCTTTAGTGTTTTGAAGGTTTTGAGATTAAGTGATCATTTTGAGTTTTTGTCTTTGATTGATTTTTTTTAGTTGTCCTTCATCTGTTCTCCTCCTCCTTTTTTTATAGGAAATACTGGAGTAGGTTTTCTAATCTTTTGATAATGGGCAGCTGATTTTCTAAAAACAAGATATTTTATTTTAAATGTCAAAGAAAAGGGGATTTTTATCTATTATGGCAAACAAACTATCAACAGTCAGTTCTTTGTGGTGATCACTTCTCTGTTTTTTGAAAGAAAACCTATCTTTGATGGTTTGTTTGATTTTCCAAGTGAACAACTCCCTACTTCCTACTTATGTTTTTAGAAAATATAGACTACTTATCCCTTGGAAATGACACCTGTTTTGGAGCAGAATTTTTTTGAATATAGAAAAGGATTTTGGTCTTCTTCCTTGATTCCAAAGACTGGAGAAATCTTCCTGTAAGGCCTGCCTTTATTAATTCCCCATCAACTCTCCTGTGACTAGTTGAATTTGATGACTTTTCAAAGTCAGGTAGTCACGTCGCAGAAGCCCATGTTGAGTTTTTGGGACTATGGGCTAATTTCTTTTCTATGTTTTTCCAAAGCCCAAGTTTATCCTCGTGGGATGACAGGTCCTGGGCTAGGCTTTCTCGATTTTTGGGCTGCTCTCTCAATTTCTTTAAATCAAGCTCAAATTGTGCTTATGTCTTGCTCCGAGACTATGTCTTGTGGGTTTCAAAAAAAGGGATGGGCTTCGCACAATTTTAGGCCCAAACAATGTCCCCTAAGTTTGAATCATTTTGGAACAGTTCCAAACTTAATGATTGGCCATTAATTGTGCATGCCATTTCCTTCCGTTGTAACTAGCCCACGCCTGCCTTTTCAAATAGGCTTCGTGTATAAGTGGTCAGTTTTTAACGGCTAATTTATTCTGACTACAATTTGTTCCACTCTCCCACGATCTTCTTTCTTTAGTTTAAAAACTTCTGACCTCCATCACTGTTCATCAAAAACCTAACTCTGCTATCGACTTTCGTTTCTTTTCATATCATTCTTTGTTCTGCCCATCTTGATCAACAATGTTGTCACCATAAGAGGTGTTTTTTTAAAAATTTATAAACTCGCAAGCGCACGAATCAAATATAGCATAAGCGTGTAAGAGCGAGGTCGTACCCAAGGGATTGCGTGAAAAGATAGAAAACCAATTAAACTCAAGTTAATTTCATTGCCAACCTAGTTGATTCAAATGGTGATTTGTTTGTTGATAAAGAAAGTTAAATAAAGCATAAAACAAATATGGAAATGACAATAAACTGAAATTAAGATTAAATTTATGAGAAAAAATAACTAAGGTATTAGAATCCACACCATTACTTCATGAGATCCTAATTATTTATCTTTCAATTCCCAAGGAGTAGCAATCTAGAAATCAATCTATTGCTTTCTCAAGATTTGTCAATTAAGCTTGTAATTTAGATTATAAGTAAATTTTTCTTCCCTTTATAAGTACGAATTCTAAGCATCATATGTAAAAAAATTACTTAACTACAAAGAATCAAAGTTTCCTAAGCATCCTATGTGAAAAAGTTTATTTGATTAACAAAAGATCAAAGAAATTTGTAAACTAGAAATATAAACCGAGGATGAATTAATAGATTAATCCAAAGTCTTAACTACCACAAATACATGATAGAAGTGGTGAAAAGAAAAATAATCTATTAATCATGTGAAGTGAAAATTATATATCATTGAACACCACAATATTTGAGAATTGAAAATAAAACTAGAACTTTATTTAATAATGGTGTTTCATCCAACCTTAGTTAAGTATTTTAGCTAGACATAATTAATATTTAAAACAAAACAAAGAAACTAAAATACATGAAATAAATGAGAACTAAGAAAGGTGAAGAACAATTTTAAGAGAGTTATTAGCTCTCGGTTCTTTCCTTTCCATCCTTGTTCTCTTTCTCTACACTTTCTCTCTCTTTCTTTCTTTCTTTCCTTTTCTTTCCCTTGTATCTCCTCCTTGCTTCTTTGCTCCAAGCTTTTATTTATAGCCAAAGAAGAGAACCTTGAATTATATAATAATCAAGTAGCCCACCATAAGTAGCCCATCATTTTCTAATATCTTCCTTATTTTTGGCCTACTTCCTTGACTTTGGCTTCACTTTGTGTGTCTCTCCCTCATGTATCCTCATAAAACTGCAGCAAGCTTCCTTTATTTATGGCTAGATAAACAACTCAAGCATCATCATTTTTCTTTGCATTCATTGGTTGCAAGTAGTCAATTTGAACTTCTCTTTCTTTGTTTATTAATTTTCTCTTTATTTCTTCAATACGGCAGCTTGCATGCATGTCCTGGAGCTTATTAATGCAATTGATTTCTTCTTCATTCCATTTGTTTTTTCTGTTGCACACACTCTTCCTCTTTGGTTTTGGCTTGAAAATGCTTCACACGGGTTGCTCTCTATGCTTTTCCTTTGTCTTTAGCAGATTTCTTTGACTTTGGCTGAACACATTTTCTTATTATCATTTACTTCTTCTTGCAATACATTGTTTATTCCTCCACAATTGCAAAAACACTTAATATCTACAAACCACTCATTAATTACAAAAACAAAGATTGGAAATAACCAATACAAATACTATAATAGATTTAAATAAAACAAAAGAAAATACTAACAAATATAAATTTAAGGATAAAACTTATATGAATTATGTGGTCATCAAACAACCTGTGAGGTAGAAGATTAATGGCTGCACCTCCATCTACCATTACTTTGGGAATAGGAACACCTCCAAAGTTTACTGTTATGAACAAAGGTCTAAGATGATTGGCCATTTCTTTGGTAGGTTTGGAAAAACACAGCTGTTCTGCAACTAATTTCTTGGCAGTTATGCCTGGTTTTGTAGTAGGTGTTTGCTGTTCTGGCGATTCTTCCACTTCTGCTAATCTGCCTAGATCACCTTGTAACATGCTCTCTAATTCTGCACCGAAAGCCTCAGTCTCTTCATCTAGTTCCCCTTCGTACTCCATCTGTTCTTTTCCATATTCTTCTGTCTAATCCTCTTATTCACCTGTTCCGAGGAGTCTAGTCTGGTCATCTGTAGATGGTTTGTAATCTAACTGTTCCTCTTCATATTCTTCAATCCAATCCTCTTGTCCCTCTACTGAAACATGTTCAGATTGATCTTGTGACTGTGAAGGTTTTGGCTGATTGACTGAGGATGAGGCAGGATGGATAGAAGGTTTGCTTGGAGATTCTGCCTTCGTCTGCTCTTCTGGTTGATATGTTGTATGTGCCTGAGAATCTGCCTCTAGATTTTTCCCTTTTTTGGCAGAACTGGTCTCTGGAAGTACCTGTGTGTGATCCTTGTTTTTTATGAAGGTGCAAGTTAGCTCCAACGTTGGTCTGCCGCTCTTTCCAACAGAATAACACATGCCTTCTATAATACTTGCCAAGGGCTTGTCATTTCCGGGCATCTTAATTGGTATCTCATTCTTTCGTTGCACTATTATTCTCTTGTTGCGTTTGGCAAGCCTTAAATAGTCCTTCTGTCTAGCTCTGTCTCTAGGTGGAGCCGAATTGGACCATGTTGGTATGATGTTCCACTCCTGTCAAAAACACTAGGTGTGGGTTGACTTGCTTATCCAAAGTTACCTCCATCTCAGTTTCACATTTGCACATGCTGCACAGAACTACCCCAGCCGAAATGGTTGCCTTTGGCCTCTGATTAGCCTATCTCGTGGCTTTTCTGGTTATGGTGGGGCTGGCTTCTGCTGTCAGTTTACCTCTCTTCTGTTCTTGCCAATTTAGGTTGACCATGTTGACTTGAGGTTGGGGAAAGGGATCTATTGTTACTGAGGGAGGTTTCTCAGCCAATTTTAACCTTCATATTGTTATTCCTTCCTGTATGTCGTCCCTGAAAACAACACAACTGTTGGTGGAATGTTTCCAAGAGTTGTGTCATCTACAATATTGTCTGCCCTTGAGTTCTTTTGGCTTGGGCAACCTATAGGGTGTCTCTATTGCCTTATGTAGCAGCATCTCATCAAACAAAGCATCAACCTTGGTTATGTCGAAGGAATAGACTTTGTTCGGTGCTGGTTTGTTTGGAACAAAACCTCTTGTGAATGGTGGCGGCTTTTGGTCCTTTGGTGGCTTTGTCAAATCCTTGCAACTGATGGGATGTTTTAATTTCGCCATTTATGCCACTGCAACTTCCCTTTCTTCCAAGCTTTCTGTGCCTTCTTATGACTCTACCTCAACCATATGTACTGAAGAAGATGGGGCTTTGTAATATGTGTCTTTGGAAGAGTTCCTTTTCTGCTGTTCTTCCTTGAGCAGCTCCTCGTATTTAGATACTTTGTCTGCTAGATCTCCAAACAGCATCCCATCAAATCTCTTTCTCAAAGAGATTTTTAGAGTGATTTAAGCCATTTGAATGAAGTGCCTTTCTTCCATAGGGATTCGGCATTTCATTTTGAGTTTTTTGAACCTGGTTATGAAGTCTTGCACGGGCTTATCTTCACTCTGTTTGAGGGCAGCAAGATCACTGATGGTGATTTCTGGCTGAATCCTGAAACATGAGTCATGGAAGACATTTTCCATATGCTCCTAAGTTTGCACAGAATTGACTAGGGGTGGGCATTGGAACCGCAAAACCGTAAAACCGAACCAAACCAATCCGGAAAAAACCGAAAAAAACCGTGTTGACCGAAAAAGTCAAAAACCGAGAAAAATCCAAACCGAACCGGTTTATACCGGTTCCGGTTCCGGTTTTCCACCCTTAGGAACCGGTCCAATCCGAACCGGTCCAATAAAATTAATATATATATATTTTTATATTATATTTGAAATTATATAAATATTTTTATACTTGGCTAAGTTTGATTGGGTGTCTTTGTAATTTTATATGCTTTATTAATGTATTATATAATGTGTATGTTTGACTAATGTTTTAATGGGTTTATGTTTTTTTTATGTATATATTATGAGTTCATCCACACCTAGCACCATAGCTCCAACTACTTTTCAATGTTAGGAGGAATTTAATGAAGTTGGATTGAATTTGGGTTGTAATGTATATTTGAATTGAATTTGGGTTGTATTTGGCTAGTAATTTATTTTGGAACTTATTTTGTTGAAGTTTGATTGAATTTGGGTTGTAATTTATATGTTGAAGTTGGATTGAATTTGGATTGCATTTTTGTTGAAGTTTGATTGAATTTGGGTTGTAATTTATATGTTAAAGTTGGATTGAATTTGGATTGCATTTTTGTTAAAGTTAGATTCATTTTGATGCGTTGAAAGCTTGATAGAACCTCAAATTTGAGGTATGTTAGTATATAAATTCATTTTGGGCAGGTTTGTTTATTATTATTTAAATAAATAAAAAAAAAAAAAAAAAAAAAAAAAGAACCGTTGGATTCGAACCGAAACCGGATAGGTCCGGTTTGGTTCGGATTTCTGTATGGATATTGAGCAGAACCGGTCCAAACCGAACCGGATTGCACTATTGGATCAGGTTCCATTTTTCTCCAAGAACCGGTCCAAACCGAACCGTGCCCACCCCTAGAATTGACTGGTAAGTTAGTATACCAGGTGAAAGCTTGCCCGGAGAGAGAGTTTCCAAAAAGCCTTAGTTTTAGCAGAGGGTTATTTTCTATGGCTATGTACTGGATAGAGAATCTGCCTATATGCTCAACTGATAAAGCATGGGTGTCCTATCCGTTGAATAAGGTGGAGTTTGGTACCTTGAAACCTGGGAATAGAGGTATTTGATCAATATAAGCTGGATATGGCTTTCTATAGGTGGGCCTTTCTTCTCTTCTAGTCTCAGGTTCCATCATTTCTTTAATCATTCTCTGAATTGCCCCCATGTCATTCAAAGCATTGACAAGATGCGGATTTCGTCCATATTCTGGCTGGTTGTGTTCAATCCTTTGTCCGACTTTGTATGGTCTGGACAGAACTTCCTCCCTATGTTCTTCCTCATTTTCGAAATCTGGATGATTCCTTCAGTTTGCCCCCCGTCTGTTCCTGTTGTTGTTGGCAAAAAGGTTAATTCCCCATCTGCCTCTCCTGCCTCTCGCCAGGGGAGGGAATGGATTGGGGTCCGTCCTTCTAGGTCTGTAGGGCAACACAGCTGGTTGCTCAGGCAGAAGTGCCAAGGGCTGACCACATGGGGCCACTAGTTGTGGAATAGGTGGAGGTTCTGGCTGGTTCTGGGGGACCTGAACTGGTGCAGGGCCTTCTGAATGAACCGGAGCCTAGTGTTCTTGGATGGGAAGGGCTTCTCCCCTCTGTCTAGCTTGAATTTCTCCAAGTGCTGGCACTTCATCTATCTGTGCGATGAGAGGGTTCTCTTGGTATGGCCATGCCAGTCTTGGTGGAGGTCCATAAGTGAGGTCTAGCTGCTGGACCACAACATCTGGGTTTGGATTTCTGGCAATAGCAGCCTCACGGTCCTTCCTGAACTGCTTGTTGACCTGCCATTGCATCATGGCTTTAATGTTGTTCAAAGTATCCAGGCTCCTTTGTGCTGTGGCCTATTGCCGGAACACAGCCTCCTATATTTGGTTTAACCTTCTAGATCCAAATATGGAACATCTACTCCTGGTACTGCCCTGGGCTGATTGCCTAGCATTACTTTCTTCTAACTCAAGTCATTCTCGGAGAGCTGCCTGATCTCTTTCCATGGCACAACGTGGATTCTGGCTAGAACTTCCAATACTCATATACTACAGAATTTTTCTAGGAATATGTATACTGAGAAGTCCCACTGGGTGTCCAAATTGTTCACCCGTTCTAGATTTGTTCCTGGAAAGGAAGGGTAAAGTTCCTCATTGTCTTGAAAACCATTGACTGGTCAACAAATCAACTTCTTTTGTGTGCAAGCGTGTCACTGCTTGCAAAATAAAAACCCTAGCACACTTTAAAAAATAGATAACTTGCGCCCCAAGTTATTAACTTCTAAACAAGCGGTTGTGAATTTGAGTGAGGAATATCTCCCAAGTAAGTTTTTTTCCTTGCCTCAGATTGGTGAGGACTTCACAATTTTTCACAATACAAAACTGGTAGTTCTGGCTAGGATAAATGATAAGAAAGTGAATTATTTTCAGGCAGAACTGCCTTTTACAAAGTTCAAAAAGGGAACACTAACTCTAAAAAAGACAAAAGAGCGTTGGACTTCAATTTTTGCCTGGATAGATGCTTTTGATTTGGGCTGGACTAGGTACGTCTGTGCTGGATTGGACTGTCAACACCTTCAACCGTCAAGTTTCAACTATAAATCGATACCAACGCTTGAGTTTGGCACAACTTTAATTTATTTCAAGCCTTGAAGGCTTTTGGCACGGGCAGAATTAGGGCCTCCTTAGTTTGAAAGGGGTAGAAGTGGCTGGATTTGCTGATTTACTGAGCTGGGGTTGAACTGTAGTACCTGTTCTACTTGATCAGGGCTCTCCATAAATTTTTGAGGTTTTCATATTTTGAAAAACCGAACTCTGCTTGATTTGGCTTATGCTGAACCAAATTTGTAACGAGCGAAATCTCACTTTGAATGACTATTTCTCTGAAACTGAACTAAAGTTAGAGATTCTGGATTATAGCTGACTTGTTTTTGTGGCTCAATGAGCTTTTGGTTGCTTTAGTGTTTTGAAGGTTTTTGGGATCAAGTGATCATTTTGAGTTTTCGTCTTTGATTGATTTTTTTTTTGGCTGTCCTTCATCTATTCTCTTCCTCACTTTTTTTTTATAGGAAATACTGGAGTGGGTTTTCTAATCTTTTGATAATGGGTGGCAGATTTTCTAAAAACAAGATTTTTTTTATTTTAAATGTCAAAGAAAAGGGGATTTTTATCTATTATGGCAAACAAACCATTAACAGTCATTTCTTTGTGGTGATCACTTCTCTGTTTTTTGAAAGAAAACCTATCTTTGATGGTTAGTTTGATTTTCCAAGTGAAAAACTCCCTGCTTCCTACTTATCTTTTTAGAAAATATAGCCTACTTATCCCTTGGAAATGGCACCTGTTTTGGAGCAGAATTTTTCTGAATATAGAAAAGGATTTTGGTCTTCTTCCTTGATTGCAAAGACTAGAGAAATCTTCATGTAAGGCCTGCCTTCATTAATTCCTCATCAACTCTCCTGTGACAAGTTGAATTTGCTGACTTTTCAAAGTCAAGTAGTCACGTGGGTTTGCTTTAATTTTGTGCTCTTCTCTTTTTCGTTTGGTCACACCAAGCCCAGGTTGAGTTTTTGGGACTATGGGCTTTTTTTTTCTCTGTTTTTCCAAAGCCCAAGTTTATCCTCATGGGCTGACAGGTCCTGGGCTAGGCTTTCTCGACTTTTGGGCTACTCTATTAGTTTCTTTAAATCAAGCCCAAATTGTGCTTATGTCTTGCGCTGAGAATATGTCTTGTGGGTTTCAAAAAATGGGCTGGGCTATGCACAATTTTAGGCCCATACAAAAGGGTACTTATGTTTAATGATACTGATATCTTATAAATAAGAGGAATATAGCAGACTATTCTTAATCAATATGTCACCTATGTGAGAGTAGAAGTGGGGTCGCTTTTATGAGAATGAGATGGCTAAGTTCTCTAAAGCTCTCATGAATCCGGAAATTGTTCAGGGCCAAAATGAACATAACCGCATGAACCATAATATATTAGGATTGGAGATGTGTGATTCCTATTGTCTAGGTTTACTACTACAGTGAACAGTTCAAGATCATTATATCCATTGCGTTACCAAGTAAATCCGATAGGTATTCACTATGATAGGTTCAAGTCCAAAAGACACCTCTTCAAATGCATCTCTTTTCCGCCAGCACTCTCAATTTCTTCTTAGTTTTTTCATTCATGTGTGGGATTGTTGGAAATTTTATATTATTTAATAATATTTAATTTCTATAGTGAATGAAAAATAAGTTTCTTTAAGAAACGTGTGTCTTAGGCCAATTTCTCTAATTGGTCGGCTTCCTTGGATTTGTGCCTATTGCTTTTCAAAGTATAATGATGCAAAGGTTATATCTCGTTCAGGCAAATGGAAGGTATATAGCAATTTATAGAACAATACAGTAATCCAGAAGAAATACTATGAAATGAAAAGAATAAAAAGTAAAAAAAAAGAAGGAAAGGAATTCCCACCTGCAATGTATATGCATGAAAGGAAGGACCGAGTTTGTTTTGCCTTTGGTTAATGACTAGAAAAGCTCACTTGCAGATTGCTTTCTCCGGCCGTAGATGCAATAGAAATTTTCTCTTAATAATAGCACAATGATCGGGTAATTGTAAGAACAAGTTGATTTAAAATTGGGTTCAGGTCAACTCATAGATTTCTTGCCTTTTCTATTCTCCTTCCTTGGACATGAGCGGTTTAATCTTGGACTCTTCCCCATCATGTTGGGCCTGTCTTCTTCTTGAGGATTGTATAGGCCCCGGAAATGCTTCGAGGTAGTTTTTATGTTTTGGGCCTTGGGACCCAACTTCACAAAAAGAAAACAAATTTGACCAAAAAACAAAGTTGAAGGACATTGAAATTTTACTTGTAGGATAGGTTAAAACACTAAAAGGAAGGTAAATAGTACGTTTACAGAGTTTGAGTGTAATAAAGGAATAAAAACATGCCCAGAGAATTGATAAGTGATCAATTCATGAATATATATAACATAAAATAAAAAAACACGTAGAAAATTATTTTATGTTGTAAAATCCTACTTATGGGGAAAATCTACGGGACTTCTTAGTCCAAAACAAATCCATAGGACGATGATTACAAGAAGTACTCACACACTTATCCTAAACACATTCTAGATAATCTTTACTAACCTCTTCGTAACTCAATTTCTGTCACGGGATGATCTTTCGACACTCCTTATGTTGAACACAATACTGGTAAGGATTTCTTCAAGCTCGCCGGAGTTCTTCCAACTCTCCTTATATTGAATATGATACTAGTCACAATAGATTCAAGTTCATTGGAGAAAAACCGCCACAACGGTCTTGGTGCTTTCAACTGTATGAGTCACTGAACATGCAAATGAATACAATATGAATGATAAAAGTGTTGATAAATCACCAAGTTATGGAACACTTGATGATTTATCTCAAATAAAAACTCATCTTTCCAAAGTTTATGAATTAAAAACATGATCGTTAAAGCTCTCTAAACAAAGAAGACGAAGATCTTATTTTATAGAACTTTTCTTTACAAGAAAGAAAACACGTTGAAAACCAAATCTCCAATTTCCAAGGCTTGATAGAAAATCACAAAAGTATCTTTCCTATTTTGGAAGTTTTTATCATTTTTTCTTCCAGTCTCTCCACCACTCACTAATACAATTTACTCATGTGTGTCCTTAATTTTATTGGAAATTGGAAGTTTCCATCATTTTTGTTTTTTGGGAATTTTCTGAACCAAGGAAAATCAAGTAAAATTAATAAAGCATAAATTGAAAAGGGAAAATATCCAGAGGATGCATTGTAGGATTGCCCATGCCAATAATTGTACCCTCTAAATATATAGGGACATATTTTTTTTGTTTTCATGACATGTGGTCCTAAAATTATTGTTCCTAGCGGGCTCTGTGTAAATCTTCAATCCTGAACGATGCACCTAAAACTCATGTTGCAATACACATCCACCCATTCTCAGGCCAATTATTAATTGCTCCTAGTGGGCTCTGACCCCCTCTCAAATTTAAGTGGTCCATTATTATTAACCACATATTTTATGGACCATCTAGCCGACCTCCGGTACATTTCTCCGACATGCCACAATTGTATATTCACAATTACGTCTGATACATCACATCATGCCACAGTGCCACTTGCCTCAAATGAATTTAAGTGAGTGAGGCAGTGGGAAGTAATTAAGCTCTATATTGGTCGGTGGAGTGTTACTTCTGGGTACCCCTCATCATTCGTCTATAAAATGGTGAAGCCAGTTGCTACTGTTACCATAAGAGCCAGCTCCGACTTTCTTTAATTTCTTGCTTCATATCCACTAGCTACATCTGTTGCCAAGTTAATTTCAGTCCTAATGGGGTTTCATGGGCTATTCTCACTGTAAGCTCTGCAATTTGATTAACTTTTCCATTCTCTCATTGTACTTCTCTTCGATTTTATCTAGTACGTACTTAAGTGTCGTCCACTAATTAATTACACCTTGTGAGATTTGATTTTAATTAGAGTTCGAATTAATGTTGCAGCTAGCAGCGGTTGCACTGGCAAACCATGCTGCTCAACCAGTACCTCAACTTTACTGGAACTCCGTCCTGCCAAACACACAGATGCCAAGATCTATCAGTGAACTTCTGCATCCTGGTTTGTGTTGAGCACTTTATAATCTGAGATATGTCCGACCACCATATTCACAAATCGGCTGATCACTTATTGTCCATTATGACGTCGATATATAATTTGCAGACTCCACAAATGAAGAAAAGAGCAAACCTGAAATTTTCCCATTGGCCAATAAAGATTACCTTCAAAAAGGGTATGGAAAGGGCAAACCTGTTCAAAAAGGGTATGGAAAGGGCAAACCTGTTCAAAAAGGGTATGGACAACGTTCTCCTCCATCTGACAATCAACTACTCCATTATAAAGAGTTAGCTATTTTCTTCTTCGAGAAGGACATGCGCCCTGGCACAACAATGAAGTTCCAATTCCCTAGAAGTTCAAACACGGCTACTTTCCTGCCACGCGAAAGTGCTCAATCGATCCCCTTCTCCTCTAACAAACTACCAGAAATTTTCAACCATTTTTCATTGAAGCCAACATCTGTGGAAGCCAAAACAATTAAGGAAACAATCGAAGAGTGTGAAGCTCCAGGCCTTAAGGGAGAGGAAAAATATTGCGCCACATCTTTAGAATCAATGGTTGATTTTAGCACTTCGAAGCTTGGAACAAGAAACGTTGAAGCAGTCTCGACGGAGGTATTGGAAAGAGGAGCCACCATGTCCATGCACAACTATACCACAATGCCGGGACTGAAGAAGTTGGCAGGTGACAAAGTCGTTGTGTGTCATAAGGAGAACTATCCCTATGCTGTGTATTTCTGCCATGCAATAAAACAAACAGCAGCTTATGTTCTCTCCCTGAAAGGCGATGATGGGGAGAAGGTTAAAGCAGTAACCATCTGCCATCTAGACACATCAGAATGGGACCCAGAGCATTTGTCCTTCCAAATCCTCAACGTTAAGCCCGGAACCGTTCCCATCTGCCATTTCATTTCCACTGATGCTATTGCCTGGGTTCCAAAACACAAATCTGCATGATCATCACTTAGCACTGTACGTATAATTATCTCCCTACTTATTTCTGCCTCTTCATCATGTGGTGTAAGATATATGATGAGATGAAGTTTTTGGGATTAGTGGTCGGGTTGCCTGAAAAACACAGATTGCAGAAATGCTTGAAATTAACCCGATCATGTTTTCTCTTGTAAGACTTCAACTTGTACTCCCCAATGTTTGAGTGTTGAATTGTGACGTTGGAATAGGCTGCTAATGCATGTAGTTAGAGAAGCCTTCATTTATATCAAAGTCCTCAAACTATCAAGAATTAATGTATCCAGAAACATATACCAAGACGCAAAACAACATATTTTCCATGCTCTGTCTGTAACACCAAAGCAAACTTTCTTTATCACATCATTTAAAGCATCAAATTCCAGTACTAATCTAATCCATCATGTAAAGCATACAACTGCCTCCCTAAATTTGTCCATTGGATATATATATATATATATATATGTCACTTTTTATTTTTTGATAGAGATATAAATGTTGAGAAAATTAGAGTACACAACTCTAATATGATAGTTGTGCACAACTCTAATATCATAAAGCAAACAAAATTTCTAAGTTAGTTTGCTTTATGATAGTTGTTTTTTGAAGGGGTCCTTAGATCCTATCTCAAAAAGTTTGGCTTTTATTAGGTTTAACTCTGGTTTTTGCACTTCTTTATCTCTACCCACTAACTTTTATACACTAGTAAAAAATCACCCTTGCGCGACGAAACTCAAAACTTCGACCTCAAAACCTTGCGCGACAAAATTTTGTGCGACGAATAGTTTTTCGTCACGCAAAGTCTTGCGCTACGAAAAACAATTCGTCGCGCAAAGCAAATTTGCGCGACGAATTGTCTTTCGTCGCACAAAGTGACTTTGAGTGACAAAACAATAAACATCATCGCGCAAATTCCTTATAAAAATAAAAAAAATAAAAAAAAATCTTTTTTAAAACCTTTGCATGGCGTAATCCAAACATTTCGTCGCCTAAACCAATTTATTTTTGTTTTTTTATTTTGTATGCATAACACTTAAGAAATTAAACGGTATATATATTTTTATTAAGTAGCTTTAAATTTATTATTTTAGATCGGATCGGATTTTTGTTAGAGAAATATATTATTGTTGTTTTGGATTGGGTTTTTGTTAGAAAATATATTTTTTAAATTGACGATCGAATTAGTTCATTGTATTCATATAGGGTCAAAGAGTGTAGCTGTAAAAAATCATCAAATCGGAGTTAAAATAACCATTAAATCGTGATTTTTCATTTATAATCGTCGAAAAGTTTTGTTCCATTACTTGATCTCTGAATGTTTATTTTTTCAGATTTTTGGCGTATATGATCTCGAAGTATAAACAAACAAGTTTGATGGTTGGATCGTTGAAACTAGTTTCGTAGAATGCGTATGCCATCAAAACAATATATTCACTAATGGTATCGTATTTCCCCATTCACGCCTCTGTTATATGTTCTAATGGAATTTCCTTTCGTAGGCTCAAAAAGTGGTCATTCTTCAGATCTTTGTTGATTGGCCGGCCGATATGGGATAACCTATTTGAAACAAAGAGATTTGTGTAACGGCTTGGTGTACCGAACTTGGCTTATAAATTTTCGTATTATACTGCATCTGCATCTTCATAAAGAGCAAGAACGGCATCCGCCAGCCGAACAAGTAAGGGATTCCTCGCCCGTTGTGCCGGCTTGGCTCCAGCTTTGGCTTCTTGATTGGCTATTGCTAGAGAAGACATATATGTTATACCAACAGACGGAGCAGACATGGCAAGATACAACATATTAAAGAATGAGCCAAAACCGAACAAGCAAGGCCAAAGCCAAATGCTGACCTAAGAAGGGACGCTTGCGGGAGACTTTTGAGTTTCCCGACAGGTCGATGTACAACCGAAAGGTGAATGCTTTACCAAACTCGTGTACAACTCCTTTCCTGTGTATTGATTTCCGCTTATTACATGCTTGGTTTCCTAAATTCTTTCTCCACAGCTACTGGATCTAGCAGCAGTCTCAACTAGAACAGTTATAACTCTTAGCCAAGCATGCGTCCCAACGAATACCAACAAGTGGAGTTAATGCTATATCTCATCCTTTCCTTAGTAGGGTTTATCGCTAAACAAAATACCGATTCAAGCCCCTTTACTAGGTTGGGCGAGTCTCACGATTCTCGATTTCGAAATATCTTAATTAAGAGATGAGAGAACACTGACTGAACTTCTAGAGCTCTTTTTCGAATAAGAAAGCTTGTTTATATTCATACTCTAATGCTCTAATGCGAATGAGGAATGCAAGATAACAGAGTAGTTTCCGAAAAAAAGGTCCTCTACTGGACCGGTCCCCGGGGATGAAGTCAACTTGCTATTGATTGAGCATGAAGACAGTTTGCTTTGAACATGAATGAGACATGCTATTAGAGAAGGGATAAATTGTTGTTTGTTCAAGCTACCACTGAAGCCGCCCACTGCTAGCCTTGGCTCGGCTCACTATGTGGCGTCGGGTCTCTTCGCCATCGCCATCCATGGGCATCCTGACAGACTGTCATCTCTTCCTTGTTCCGGTAGTTTTTTAAGCTTTAAGTAGGTGTTAAATTTTGGTGATTAGTTATTTAACTGAACTGAGGGAAGCTTCTTTTGCTTTTGTGGGAGGTCTCTTTCATTCTTTCAGGCAAGGGTTTCATTTTGTCACTTCTCTGAAGGGTTTCGTAGTTTTTATTTGCTGTTGTTGGGGAGGTGGTTGGTGCCCTCTGAGGTATGACCTCTACGGGCGGCTTCTCCTTGATGGAGAGATGGCTTGCTTTATGGGCTTGGGTATGGAGAGGCGATAGCCTAAGAGGGTAAAGGAGTGTAGCAGTAAAAAATCATCAAAATCGGAGTTAAAATAACCGTTAAATCGTGATTTTTCATTTATAACCGTTGAAATTTTTTGTCCCGTTACGAGGTCTCTAAATGTTTGTTTTTTGCGATTTTTGGGGTATACGATCTTGAAGTATATACAAACAAGTCTGACGGTTGGATTGTTGAATGGTGTGTGTATATATATATATATTTATTTACTTATTAAGTAACTTTAAATTTATTTATTTTGTACGTATAACAATTAAGAAATTGAATAGTATATACATTTATTAAGTAGCTTTAACCTTATTTATATTTTAAATCGTAAAATAAAATAATTTTATTTTTTATTATTCATAGCAATTATTTTTATAAATATCGTGCTACGAACCAATTTTTCGTCTCTCAAAAGTTTGCGCGACCAACAGTTCGTTGCGCAAAACTCTAAAAATTTGGGCGGGTACCAAAAATGGGACGCGGGATTTAAAAATAAATAAAAATTTTAGACTTTGCGTGACCAATATTTTGTGTCGCTCAAAACTTTGCGCAACCAATATATATTTTTCGTCATGCAAAAATTTGGGCGGGTACCAAAAATGGGATGCGGGAATTTTTTTATATAATTTTTTTAGACTTTGCGCGACCAATATGTATTTTTCGTCGCGCAAAAATTTCAAAATTTGGGCGGGTACCAAAAATAGGAAGCGGGATATTTATTTATTTTTTTTACTTTGCGCGACCAATATATTTCTTCGCGCAAAACTTTCCGCTACCAATACTCCAATATTTTTCGTCGCACAAAACTTTGTGCGACCAACAATATTGTTCGTCGCGCAAAGTGATACGGTTTTTAAAATGAAAATAACTTATCCACCATTTTCTCAAGGTCTTTCTCTACTCTTACCTCTCCTCTCTCTTTCCCTCTCCTCAAATCCCACCATTTCTCTCACACTCACTCCTCTCACTTAATCTCTCATCATCTCTCTCTTCACTATCTCTCACTCTCACTCACTCTCTCATCTCTCTTTTCACTATCTCTCACTCTCACTCACTCTCTCATCTCTATCACTATCTTCTTTAATTTTCTCACACTCACTTCTCTCTCTCATTCTCACTCACTCTCAATCTTGCCAAAAGGTATATTCTCTCCAAATTTTAAAATTTTTTCATTAATATGTGTTTTTGAGTTAGTTTTGAGTTTGTGTGGGGTTTGGGGTTGAGTAAAGGGGAGGGATTGGAGTTTGGGTTGGATTTGTGGTATAACAATTTTAGGGGAGATTATCCCTTTTTTTCTTTTTCTTTTTTGTTATTTGACCTTTTTTTTTTGGTAAGCAATCATCGAGACTTTGACGGCTAAAGTTGAGGATTAGGAAGCTATCAAAACATATCCTCCGCCACTACCACCACAATACGCTTATATTAGGATTTTATTATTGTACTTTGTTAATTTATGTGTACATTTTGAATATTATATATATTTATTGGATAATTTGATCACTATTTTTCATATGTAATTTTATTTTGAATATGTCAATTTAAATTAAAGTAATTAAAAAATATCATACAATGAAATTAAATTTAAAAATTAAAAATTTGAAAAAAATTAATATTATTAAATTAATATCAATTTAAATTAAAGTAACGAAAAAAAGCATACAATTAAATTAAATTTAAAAAGTAAAAATTAGAAATAATTAATACAATTAAATTAATATTAAAGAAATAATAAAACAAAAAGTCAAAAACCAAAATATTTCGTCGCGCAACTATTTGCGCGACATTAGTATTCGTCGCGCAAAACTCTAAAAATTTGGGCGGGTACCAAAAATGGGATGCGGGAAAATTTTTTTTTTTAATTTTTTTCGTTGCGCAAAACTTTGTGCAACCAATTTTTTCGTCGCGCAAAACTTTGCGAGACCAATATTTTTCGTCGCTCAAAGTCACTTTGCGCAACAAATATTTTTTCATCACTCAAAGTCGCTTTGCGCGGCCAATATTTTTCGTCGCGCAAAGTCACTTTGCATGACAAATATGTTTTCGTCGCACAAAGTCGCTTTGCGCGACCAATGAAAAAACTTCGTCGCACAAAGTCGTTCTTCACGATCTTTGCGCGACGAAGTTTCTGTCACGCTGAAATTTGTGCGATTACAATGTATTTTGCGGGCCGAAATTCTGTTCGTCGCGCAAAGTGTAATATGTAGTAGTGATATCTCATTTTTATTACCCATTTTACCCTTTTAAAATAAATAGGGCAATAAACTAAAAATTCTGATTTAATGCAAGTTTTACTCATAAGAGAACTAAAAACTAAAAATTCTATACTCTAGGTTTTACTACAATTACTTGAAATGCGTTTAGATAACATCCTTTTTCGATTAGGTATGGCTTCGACTATTCCTCAAGCCCGCCAATTAGTTAACCACAGACATATTTTAGTTAATGGTCGTATAGTAGATATACCCAGTTATCGCTGCAAACCCCGAGATATTATTACAGTGAGGGATGAGCAAAAATCCAGGGCTCTGATTCAAAATTATCTTGATTCACCCCCCCCGTGAGGAATTACCAAAACATTTGACTCTTCACCCATAACACAAAAAATGAAAACTAAAAACTAAAATTGAAATGGTTTCAAGCAATTGCATGTCAGGCGCTATATATAATGTATCAGCCATGGTTTGTTTAATACGCGGTCATTTTCGTCATTTTCCCATTCAAAATATTGAAATTACGAACTACATACCATGAAATATAAGAAACTAAAAGCTTCAAGAAAATAGAAATGTGTTACAAACATAGCAATGAAGATGTGGAAGCATTATCTCAGACGAATGATTCTGAAGTGGAAAAAACAAGAACAAAAAAGGAAGTGAGGTAAATTTGCACCTGCTATGTTCAAACGACAAAGTTGGTTTCCCTTTGGTCGATTACAAGAGAAGCTCAATGCAGCTTACTTGGTTCCTCTGGTAGATGGAAATATAATTTTTCCATTAAATCCTTGGAATCTATAAAAAATTGAAACACAATTAATCGGCATTGAATTGCAGCTAATTTCTTAAACAAATCACGTTCAAAATGTAATAAAGGGTATCATAGGATTTAAAAAATATAACATTTAACACATTGAGCTTGATTAGGAAACTTGATGAGTTGGATCCTAGTTATAGGATTTTTCTTATAAAAATCGGGTTTTATTTATAGACAAATAAAACAATGGGTTGTAGGTAAGAAAATATTAATTTGAAGGGATAGAGTCAAATTTACTAAATTAATAAAGCATAAATTGGAAAGGGAAAAGATCCAGAGGATGCATTGTAGGATTGCTCATGCCAATAATTTGCACCCTCTCGATATTGAAAACCTACTGTGTATTATTATCTTCAATCCTGAATGATGCACCTAAAACCCAAGTGTCCCAGGCCAACCATTGTGCTCATACCACTTGTTGCAGTACACATTCACCCGTTTTCAAAAAAAGAAATTCTACCAATTGATATTGTCTCAAATTTAATCACATAGGTCTATTATGGTTAACCATATGTACTTTATGGGCCATCCAGAGGTACCTTTTTCCAACGTGCAACAATTGTATTTGATTCACAATTATGTCTGATATACATCACATCATGCCACTTGCCTCAAATGAATTTAATTGAGTGAGGCAATGGGAAGTAATTAAGCTCTATATTGGTGGGTGGAGTGTTACTTCTGGAACCCTCATCATTCGTCCATACAGAGGAACAATTCCCTTCCTTCTATAAAATGGAGAAGCCAGTTGCTATTGTTACCATAAGAGCCAGCTCCGACTTTCTTTAATTTCAGTCCTAATGGGGTTTCATCTCCCACTCATCTTTGCTCTTCTCAGTGTAAGCTCTGCAATTTGATTAACTTTCCCATTATCTCTCACTGTACTCTATATAAAGGAATAAGTGTCGTCCATTAATTAATTACACTTTGTGAGATTTGATTGTAATTAGAGTTCGAATTAATGTTGCAGCTAGCAACGGTGGCACTGGCAAACCATGCTGCTCAACCGGCACCTTAACTTTACTGGAACTCCGTCCTGCCAAACACACAGATGCCAAGAGCTATCAGTGAACTTCTGCATCCTGGTTCGTGTTGAATAAATACAGTATGTTACTGGAGTACGTATGGCAACATATTCACAAATGTGTCACTCACTCTTCAATCGGCTGATCATGTATTTTCCATTATGACGTTGATACTCCACATACGAAGAAAAGAGCACAAATGTCATGAATGCTGTTGGGAATGGAAAGTCAATTGACCACAAGGGAAAACTTGAAAATACTATACTACCACAGCTAGCACGACGCCTATTTTCTTACAAGAGTGATGTGGGGATCTCTCACGTATCATGGCTTAACCCATATGCCACAATTAAAAGACGTGGGATGATCAAAGTTCCCTCCCACTAGAGAAGTGCAGAGCTAGGGAGACACTCTCATATGATCCCATTACCATGAAGTGGAGGACGGGATGCTCAAAACTAGGGAAGTGGGGCTAAACCCAAGAACTCGAAGCGCTATAAAAATCCGGCTAGACCTCCAGCAAAGGTATGAGAAATTCAATTGAACACTAAGAGTACGCTGCACAAACACTGACTTGAGCGTCGGAGTGACTTTTGCAGGTACTCACCCCATTTCCACTATTTGACCTCAGAAACGTAATCCAGAGTTCTCTTTCAACCAAGGAAGCGTGCAGACTTCAGTCAAGAACCTGTGGAGGTATTTCTTCTTGAAAGAAATCCTGCTCCAACAGTTGGTGCCGTTTGTGGGAATCTTGCAAAATTAATAATAAATATGACTGAACCTGCACAGGGGACTCTAAACACCTCCATCCCAGGGAATGCAATGCCCACTCCTCGACCTGGAAGCGCAAGGTCTAACGCCCAGGATGGGGAACCAAGCCTTGCTATTATCCAGTTGAGGGAAATCATGAAAGAATTGCGTGAAACAAGAAAGGTAACAAAGAAAGCTCTGGAGAAGGCGCAGAGCACTGCTTGTCGTGAGGGTTCAAAAGAGGGCAAGAGGAAGCAGAGACATGAGGTCTCTGAGGGAGACTCCTCCAGCAGCACGCACTCGAGCTTCTGTGACAAGGCCACGGTAGGAGATCAAGAAAAAGATCTCGACTTACAGAAAATGGCGAAAAAGGCGAAGGACACTGATTTGCGCGATCAGATCGAGAAGATTGTCAGAGGGTACAAGCCATAAATGCCTGCAGAACTAGCTTTGGAGGCGGCGAAAGGAATTTGCAAGTCGCCATTCACAGATGACATCCTGAAAGCCAATTAAGTTCACCCCAACCTAAATTTAAGCTGTTCAAGGGCACAACTGATCCCATTGAACATATCTATCACTTCTAACAACAAATGGTGCTCGAAGGAGATGAAGAGGCCTTGCTGTGTAAGTTGTTCCCCTCAAGTTTGTCAGGATCGGCCCTGATTTGGTTTAGACAGTTGAAACCAAGGTCTATTAGAGGTTTCACCCAACTCTGTGAAATGTTCATATCTCAATACATTTGCAATCAAACAAGGAGAAAGGACGTCCCGATCCTATTCAGCACGAAGCAAAGTGTCAAAGAAAGCCTTAAAAACTATTTGAGGCGTTTTACGAAGGAAATGTCTACTCTTGAGGAGTGTGATTCTCATATTGCTTCGCTGGCATTTCTTGAGGGGGTCATACCTGGGACAAAAATGCACAGATCTTTAGTGAAGACTCCACCAGTGGATATGAGGGAAGTGATGGCAGGCAGACGGAATCATCAGACCAGAAGAAGAGGAACTCACCCAGTCAAAACGAGCCACTTCCACCATTGCGATCCCAAAGCCTCCACCGGAGCAAAAGGTGGAGACGAAACGGTACTCCTTGAGACAATACTCTAGCAATGGATCTAAGTAAAGCCGACCCTTCACCAGACTGACGATGAGTTTGGCCAAACTTTTTCACAAGAATAAGGGCAAAGGTATATTTTGAACATCACCTGCGATCTACGAATCCCCAGAGAAGCAAGACATAAACAAGATATGCGCCCATCATAACGACTTTGGGCACACTATCGATGAGTGCCGAAGTCTCAGGTATCAAGTGGAGGCAATGCTGAGAAAGGGAATGTTATCCCAATACCGCGCTGAACTTGAGAACATAGCAAGTGAAGAAGGTGGGTCGAAAACAATGACCGAAAATATCACAAATGAAGAATTGCTGGAGATCAACATCATCCATGGTCGACTGAATCTTGTGGAAGGAAAAGAGGACCGATCTCGGTCTGAAAAAAACGAGTTGAAAAGGTGAGACACATAAACGGGATTGCATCTGCGTCCAAGTCTGCCAAAGCCCTGGAAAAGGTTAGAGTCATCTCATTTACGTAGAAAGACATGGAAGGAATTGAGTTCCCTTACAACGATGCATTAGTGGTGACCCTCCGCATTGCCAATTTGATAGTAAGAAGAGTAATGATTGACAGGGGAAGTAGTGTAGACGTGCACTAAACAATAAAAGAAAATGTTGTTCTTAATGGATTTTATGATGAACAATATCAAACTCTCCTCTTATATGTCTTCTTCAGTTAGTTTTTGGGTTTAGGGGCCTACAGAACCTGCACTAAAAAATAAAAGAAAATAACTAATTAGTTTAGTACGGATTCTATAATGAAGGCTTTATTAGGTGATGAGGTTTTATTAGGTGAGGTTTTATTTCTTAATCGTTAGATCAAATTAGTTAGCCATTGGATCAAATTGGTTAGCACAATCCAACGGTTAATAGATAAAACTTCACATAAAAGTCATATATAAGGCCCTCACTATAGAATGACTCGTTAGTTTAGTCTCTTGTTACATATCAACTGTTAGAGATATTTTTTTAATAAGGATCTACCATACCACATAGTTGGATAAGACACTATACACAGCTTTTGTAAGAGCATCTCCAACGCGCCAGGCTAGCCTAAGCAGCATGGGACCCTAAGCCCCGGGAAGCAGCTCCAGCGTGCAAGATTCAGCCCAGGCAAAATGTGGGACCCACGAGCCCAGGCAAGCCCAAGAGGAGATCTGGCCTGTCACCTTGCCTTCAGGTTTCAGTCAAGCTGATGTCAAGGAAAGAATTTCAAATTTTTTTTACCGTTGCAATGCACGTGCCAATGGTAAATTTTCTTTGGATTTCTTGTGTTGATCCACAGCTGCCAAAAACCAACAACTACAAGCCACATGACTTCTCCAAGAGCCTCCGATCCAAAAATCTTGTCAAATCTAACAGCTGTCCATTTTTTGGCTAAAAAATATCAAAAAATTATGGAAACTTTTTCTATAAATACCTACCAATATTATTCACTTCCCACACCAAATCTTCATACAAATTCATATCCTTCGAATATTTTTCACTTTCCACACAAGATTTTCTACTACTAAATTTCATTCGTGTAAAAATACAAATGGCATCTTCCTTCGAAACCGGAGGCGCATGGACAACCATGGAAGATATTTTGTTGTGTGAGTGTTGGGTCAAAGTTGTTCATTGCCCGATCACGGACAATGAGAGTTTCTGACATCGTAGCGGAAGTAAGATTTGATATGAGAATGTAAGGAATTTGATGAGAGGAAAGGGATTTGAGGAATTTGATGTAGGAATTGATGTAGGAATTGGATTTGGGAGGTATGTGTTTAGAGATTTTGATAAGAGGATTTGAGGAATTTAGATTTGAGGGATTTGGATTTGGGGAATTTAAATATGAGGAATTTGATTTAGGGTTTGGGTTTGAATATGAGAAATTTGATATGAGAGTTTAGAGACAACCGATGATCGAATGCTCTGATACCATGCTAAAATATGAATATGGTTTGAATACTTTAGATTGAGTTTTATTCTTTCCATAAGGAGGTATATATAGGAGTTTACATAAGTGCTTTACAAGGAAATAGATACAGTAATCAATTAGGATAATATTTCCTAATTATACAATGATTTGTCAACTATATAGAATAGGAAAGTAAATCCCTTAATTAATCAAGGGAATAAATCTCATTATTTAATTAGGAGACTCGCGTCAACATTTATAAGCCATGGAAGAGCAGAAAAAGAGGTACTTAGGAGATTTTATACGTCGGAGTAAGGTAAGCTTAAAGGACTATTTCAAAAAAATAAGGGACCAAGAAGCAAGACTGAGAAGTTGTTATGCAAACCCATTAAGTTTAGCAGTGATGAATTTGTAAAAATCATTCTAGTGGATGCTGCCTTCACTATTGAGTTCTTATTGAGGTTCTATCTAAAAGGATCTGGACATGAAGGAGACCGCTTATTAAACAAACCGTGGATGTTCAGGTATGTACAGCCTGATATGTGGATGCTTAAAAATCAGCTCCCATTCTTTATTCCTGAGGATCTTTATCACACATACATAATAACTGACTTTTTTAGGAATTATTACAGTACTCTTGATCATGAGAGGCTTTCAATAATTAATATTTCTAAGAATTTCTTCACAGCTGGAATATTGAATTTGGAGGGGAAGGGAGACAAATGGAACAGAATATCATCTTCTTCTAGTGTTGGGAATTTTATATTATTTAATAATATTTAATTTCTATAGTGAATGAAAAATAAGTTTCTTTAAGAAACGTGTGTCTTAGGCCAGTTTCTCTAATTGGTCGTGTAACGACCCGGTCCTAAATAAATTAGTAAATATTAATTTATTCATATAAAAGATCATTTTGCCCTTGAAATATTTTACTAGGTTTAAAGTTGACTTTTTTACCAGGAAGGAATTTGGGAATTTCAACTATACCGTTGTGTAGAGCACGGGGAGATGAGTCCGTAGACACGTAGTGGGCTCGAATCGGAGTTGTAATGAAGAAGATACGATCAAAATACCCTCGGTGGCACAATCATAATTTTGGCGAAAAGGGTTTGTTAAAATCTGATTCCTCTCTCTCTCTCTCTCTCTCCTCCGTGCACTCTCTCTTTCTCCTCAACGACAGCTCTCTCTCTCTCTCTTTTCGAAACACCAGCCACTTGCCACTACTGTGGACGGGACCAGTGCCAAAAGGACCGGCTCAGCCCCGCCGTCAAGACCCGGCCCTTCACCGACATCGACTACTGCTTCGACAGCCAGAAAATGTGATTTGTAGGCCGGTTTTCGCTCGAAACTTCGCCGGCTCCGATCTCTCTCCTCCGACCGCCATTTTTGGCAACCAAGGTATGGAAATTCATATATTCTTCATAATCTAGTTGATGGTTGGGTAGGATTGCATCAATTTTGAGCCTAGGTAGATTGATTTTCGAATTGGATTTTGGTCGGTTTTGGAATCTCAATTCCGGTCACTTCCGGTCACTTTTTGGGGTAGGTCCAAGAATAAAAGTGGTTCCAAATAGGGTGTTATACCTAAGGTAGGAGTCTCGAGCCATGATTTTGAGATTTTAAGGCGAAGTTTAATCACTTTGGACACTCATGCGCTGCCGGCACGTGGGCATTGTATAAAAAGGGCATTGTGTCCCGATGTAATCTCTTGGTCCTCACGAGTGTGTAGGTGTGCTCGGATTTCAATTTGGATACCATTTGAGTCTCGAACGGATATCGCCTATTGCGCATTATCCGGGTTCGATAGGTTTGAACCATTGGATAGTCTTAAATTTAATATATGTCAATCTAGACATTCCTAGGATCGTGTATTGGAGCCCCGGATGTTCCAATTTAATAACTTGAAGTTTGTGTTTTATAATAACCGTATGATCGTGCGATTGCGAGCAATCCAATCGTTCGATCGGGACCAAACTTGCAGGACGTGTATTCTAAACCTTGTGGGACCCATAGGAACTTTCGGATCGGAAATCGGAGGTCGTGGGCCCCATGGGCCCGTTGGACCAAGTTTGGGTAGTTTGACCCCTCGGGTGACTGTGAGCCTTCTGAGGTAGCTTCACCCTTCGAGGAGTACTAGAATGATTGCTATTTGAGTTAAGTTGATTACGTGGGATTACGGGATTAATTTATTGATTTAAACTGGGGGATTGTGTGTGTTTTATATTAGTGTATGAAAGCTCTTGGATGTTAGGTTAATAATTGAAGTGATGGGTTAGATGAGTATGGGTAAAGTGATTCGGTAAGTTGTGAAAGGGTGTCATGGGCTTGGATGTGATTATTAGCTCTCACGTGGCGTTGGATTTTTCGGAGTGAGACAGACCCCATACACGGCGTTGGATTTTCCGGCATGAGATAGACCCCATACGCGGCGTTGGATTTTCCGACGTGAGATAGACCCCATACGCGGCTTTGGATTTTCCGGTGTATGGGGAGATTATGTGATTATTAGGTATCATATGACGTTGGATTTTCCGGCGTGGGACAGACCCCATACGCGGCGTTGGATTTTCTGGCGTGAGATGGACCCCATACGCGACGTTGGATTTTCCGGCGTATGGGGAGATTATGTGATTATTAGGTCTCACATGGCGTTGGATTTTCTGGCGTGAGACATACCCCATACGCGGCATTGGATTTTCCAGCGTGAGATAGACCCCATACGCGGTGTTGGATTTTCCGGCGTATGGGGAGATTATGTGATTATTAGGTCTCACGTGACGTTGGATTTTCCGGCGTATGGGGAGATTTTGTGATTTATTAGGTCTCACGTGGCGTTGGATTTTCAGGCGTGAGATAGACCCCATACGTGGTGTTGGATTTTCCGGCTTATGAGAAGAATATATGATTCGATGGTCTCACATGTGGCGTTGGATTTTTCGGCGTGTGAGACACTTCCTATACGTGACGTTGAATTTTCTGGCATATGGGAAGATTGTAAAATAACATGGAGATGAATAAAGGATTGTTATGTTATATTGGGAAAGAAAGATGTTTGAAAAAAATTATGTTGGTTGGTTGTGATTTAAAGAAAAGGGAAAGGGATAGATTCTAGCATCTATTGTTTCGTATTGCTATAATGAATCGTACTTTATCAGAATTGGGACTTTGTAGAAAGAACTACGTGTGGCTTGATTCCTCAGTAAGGGTACGTAGGTAGCTTAGGGTTCCACCCAGGTGCAGCCACAGACGAAACTCTATTTATGTTGTTTTATTGAGATTGGTTTGGACCTTGTCGTTGGTCCTGAAATTCGGGTGAAAACGAGATGCGGTCGTGTTAGGAGGTTAAAGCCTCGTACGTTGGATATTTGGGAAGTTAGATGATGAAAATTTCATTTGGCATTAATAATTATGTTTGAGCTTATTATTTGCATTGGTCAAGGTACTATTTTTGAATTAAGAGTTTTGTTGGTAGTTTGTTCGGATTATGTGAAGTCCAGAGGCCGATTATATGAATTGCATGAAATTTTTTTGTGCTTGCTGCCTGTTGGGATATTAAATTGTGAACTTTGTGCAGGTTGAAATTTGGGAAATGTTCAATTTACAGGGGAGACTCCTTCCTTGGACATGAGTTGTTTAATCTTGGACTCTTACCCATCATGTTGGGCCTGTCTTCTTCTTGAGGATTGTATAGGCCCAGGAAATGCTTCGAGGTAGTTTTTGTGTTTTGGGCATTGGGACCCAACTTCACAAAAAGAAAACAAATTTGAGCAAAAAACAAATTTGAAGGACATTGAAATTGTACCTGTAGGATAGGTTAAAACACTACAAGGGAGGTAAATAGTACGTTTACAGAGTTTAAGTGTAATAAAGGAATAAAAATATGCCCAGAGAATTGATAAGTGATATCAATTCTTGAATATACAAAACGTAAAATAAAGGAACACGTAGAAAATTATTTTATGTGGTAAAACCCCACCTTTGGGGAAAATCCACGGAACTTCTTAGTCCAAAACAAATCCGTAGAATGATGATTACAAGAAGTACTCACATACTTATCTTAGACACATTCTAGGTAATGTTTACTAACCTCTTCGTAACTCAACTTTTGTCACAGGATGATCTTTCGACACTCCTTATGTTGAACGCAATACTGGTCACGATTTCTTCAAGCTCGTCGGAGTTCTTCCAACTCTCCTTATATTGAATTTGATACCAGTCACGATCGATTCAAGCTCATCAGAGAAAAACCGCCACAACGGTCTTGGTGCCCTCAACCGTATGAGTCACTGAACATGCAAATGAATACAATATGAATGATAAAAGTGTTTGATAAATCATCAAGTTATGGAACACTTGATGATTTATCTCAAATAAAAATTCAGCTTTCCAAAGTTTATGAATTGAAAATATGATCGTTAAACCTCTCTAAACAAAGAAGACGAAGGTCTTATTTTATAGACTTTTTCTTTACAAGAAAGAAAACATGTTGAAAACCAAATCTCCAATTTCCAATGCTTGACAGAAAATCACAAAAGTATCTTTCCTATTCTAGAGATTGGTCACATGAAGTCCAACCAATAGGAAATGAGATATTTAAGAAAGGAAGATTTTGATCAATATCAATATCAAATGAATTCTTATATGCCTAGTCAACTATTAAGGGTATCTTGACTTCTTGATATTTTGATATGATTGAAACATGATTTCCACGTTAGAAAATTAAGGGGGTGTTAAAACATGAAAGTAATAGGAGAATCAAATTGATTTGGGCCAAAATTGCCTAAAAAGAAAACACTCCTAAATAAACTTCAATTCACTTTTAAAAACAGTAAAACGTGAATGAATCGTTCTTTAAAACAATTCCCTAATATACATGCATGATTGTGACATCACTTACCTCTGAATCAAATGCCTTTCACGGGTCAAGCCACAAGTTTGTGTTTTGGGAATTGCTGAGCTGCATCAATCCTGCCAATGTCAATTTTGCCCTAAGGCTCTCTCAAAGCACGTTTACAACCTATGCTAACATATACTAGAGTTTATGCTAGTATCTATAAAATGCCAACACTAATTTCGTAACACGTAGAAATTGTTAGAGATTGGAAGTTTTTATCATTTTTTCTTCCAGTCTCTCCACCACTCACTAATACAATTTACTCATGTGATGAGTTTACAAAACCTATTTCTCAACTTTCACAAAGACTACACTTATTCTCAAAAGACTATATCACTTTACCTCTATCTCTATGAAATGTAAAAAGTTGAAACTTTAATGTCAAACCTCGACAAAAGATGAACTTCCATCAATTATGTTGAATTTGGATTTGTTGAACTTAAGTGGTTTTACTTCTCTGTCAGTGTTTGATGACTTAATTTGGTATTTACTTCTTCTTTTTTCCTTGGAAATGTGTTCCACCAACGTGAGGAAGAAAAATATGCACAAATTAATATATTTAATAGAAGTCCAAGATTTTGGAAGCACATAATTTCTACAAAAATCTACAAAGTTCTACTTTACAAACTTCTTATGTCTACCAATTTCTACAAAAATCTACAAAGTGTTCTATTTTGGAAGCACTAATACAGTTTACTCATGTGTGTCCTTAATTTTATTGGAAATTGGAAGTTTCCATCATTTTTGTTTTTTGGGAATTTTCTGAACCAAGGAAAATCAAGTAAAATTAATAAAGCATAAATTGAAAAGGGAAAATATCCAGAGGATGCATTGTAGGATTGCTCATGCCAATAATTGTACCCTCTAAATATATAGGGACATATTTTTTTGTTTTCATGACATGTGGTCCTAAAATTATTGTTCCTAGCGGGCTCTCCACCCCTCTCGATTGAAAACCTATTGTGTAAATCTTCAATCCTGAACGATGCACCTAAAACTCAAGTGTCCCAGGCCAATTATTGCTCCTAGTGAGCTCTCCACACCCTCTCTCAAATTTAAGTGGTCCATTATTATTAACCACATATTTTATGGACCATCCAGCATGTGAGGTTTTATCTCACACATACCACATGCCACAATTGTATATTCACAATTATGTCACACATCACATCATGCCACTTGCCTCAAATGAATTTAAGTGAGTGTGGCAGTGGGAAGTAATTACTTCTGGGTACTCTCATCAGTCGTCTATAAAATGGTGAAGCCAGTTGCTACTGTTACCATAAGAGCCAGCTCCGAATTTCTTTAATTTCTTGCTTCATGTCCTAATGGGGTTTCATCTCCCACTCATCTTTGCTATTCTCAGTGTAAGCTCTGCAATTTGATTAACTTTTCCATTCTCTCTCATTGTACTTATATAAACGAAAGTTTTGTGTTCCTATACTTCTCTCCGATTGTATTTAGTACGTACTTAAGTGTCGTCCACTAATTAATTACACTTTGTGAGATTTGATTTTAATTAGAGTTCGAATTAATGTTGCAGCTAGCAGCGGTCGCACTGGCAAACCATGCTGCTCAACCAGCACCTCAACTTTACTGGAACTCCGTCCTGCCAAACACACAGATGCCAAGATCTATCAGTGAACTTCTGCATCCTGGTTTGTGTTGAGCACTTTAGAATCTTAGATATCTCTTCTACCTGTCATTACATGAGTGACACATATTCACAAATCGGCTGATCACTTATTTTCCATTTTACATGAGTGATACATAATTTGCAGACTCCACAAGTGAAGAAAAGAGCACATATATCGTGAATGCTGTTGGGAATGGAAAGGGCAAACCTGAAATTTTCCCATTGATGAGCAATAGAAATTACATTCAAAGCCATTATGGAGTGTTAAATAGAAATTATATTCAAAGCCATTATAGAAAATGTCCTCCTCCATCTGACGAGGGCAAACCTGAAAATATCCCATTGGCACGTTCAGGTTACAGTCGAAAAAGGTATGGAGGAGGTCCTCCTCCATCTGAACGAAAAAGGTGTGCACGAGGTCCTCCTCCATCTGACAAGCAACTACTCCATTATAAAGAGTTAGCTATTTTCTTCTTTGAGAAGGACATGCGCCCTGGCGCAACAATGAAGTTCCAATTCCCTAGAAATTCAAACACGGCTACTTTCCTGCCACGCAAAAGTGCTCAATCTATCCCCTTCTCCTCTAACAAACTACCAGAAATTTTCAACCATTTTTCAGTGAAGCCAACATCTGTGGAAGCCCAAACAATTAAGCAAACAATCGAAGAGTGTGAAGCTCTAGGCATTAAGGGAGAGGAAAAATATTGCGCCACATCTTTAGAATCAATGATTGATTTTAGCACTTCGAAGCTTGGAACAAGAAACGTTGAAGCAATCTCGACGGAAGTATTGGAAAGTGGAGCCACCATGTCCATGCACAACTATACAACAATGCCGGGACTGAAGAAGTTGGAAGGTGACAAAGTCGTTGTGTGTCATAAGGAGAACTATCCCTATGCTGTGTTTCTCTGCCATGCAATAAAACAAACAGCAGCTTATGTTCTCTCCCTGAAAGGCGATGATGGGGAGAAGGTTAAAGCAGTAACCATCTGCCATCTAGACACATCAGAATGGAACCCAGAGCATTTGTCCTTCCAAATCCTCAACGTTAAGCCCGGAACCGTTCCCATCTGCCATTTCATTTCCACTGATGCTATTGCCTGGGTTCCAAAACACAAATCTGCATGATCATCACTTAGCACTGTACGTATAATTATCTCCCTACTTATTTCTGCCTCTTCATCATGTGGTGTAAGATATATGATGAGATGAAGTTTTTGGGATTAGTGGTCGGGTTGCCGGAAAAACACAGATTACAGAAACTGCTTGAAATTAACCCGATCATGTTTTCTCTTGTAAGACTTCAACTTGTACTCCCCAATGTTTGAGTGTTGAATTGTTACGTTGGAATAGACTGCTAATGCATGTAGTTAGAGAAGCCTTCATTTATATCAAAGTCCTCAAACTGTCAAGAACTAATGTATCCAGAAACATATGCCAAGACGCAAAACAACATATTTTCCGTGCTCTCTGTAACGCCAAAGCAAACTTCCTTTATCACATCATTTAAAGCATCAAATTCCAGTACTAATCTAATCCATCATGTAAAGCATACAAGTGCCTCCCTAACTTTTATATCTCATTTTTATTACCCATTTTACCATTTAAAATAAATGGGGCAATAAACTAAAAATTCTGATTTAATGCATGTTTTACTCATAAGAGAACTAAAAACTAAAAATTTTATACTCTAACACAAAAAATGAAAACTAAAAACTAAAATTGAAATGGTTTCAAGCAATTGCATGTCAGGCGCTATATATAATGTATCAGCCATGGTTTGTATAATACGCGGTCATTTTGGTCATTTTCCCATTCAAAATATTGAAATTACGAACTACATACCATGAAAAATAAGAAACTAAAAGCTTCAAGAAAATAGAAGATGTGGAAGCATTATCTCAGACGAATGATTCTGAAGTGGAAAAAACAAGAACAAAAAAGGAAGTGAGTTAAATTTGCACCTGCTATGTTCAAACGACAAAGTTGGTTTCCCTTTGGTCGATTACAAGAGAAGCTCAATGCAGCTTACTTGGTTCCTCTGGTAGATGGAAATATAATTTTTCTCCTAATAATAAGGGTTTAGTGCAATCAATGGTGGGCTGTATAGAACTTTTTTGTTTTATATGTTTATGTGAGACAAGTTTTGCCAGATTGAATTAATGTCTTCTAGCTATGTACCTTATGTTTTTGCCGGGCCATGAGTTGAATGTAGAGGTAAATGCACACCACCTAACTATAAATGATTGCCAAATTGATAATGGTTTGAGCCCTACAATTCAATCCATATGAACTTATTAATACAAATCAACAAGAGAAATCCTTGTTCTCTTTCATGGTGTCATTTCAGGGAGTTTTCAATATCAATCACAAACCGGTATATCACAACACTTTTTAGTAGCCTCTCAATAGCTTCATTTGCATATTGAATTGGAATTATTTCAATCATTGGATGAATTCCATCTGAAGCAAAGAAATCTATCATGTCTTGGATATCCTTTGTTTCACCTGTTACACTACAGAAAAGGTTTTCATACCTGCCAAAAGGCCAATGCATGGAGTTCATAATATATACTTGCAATTGCAATAACAGTTGGATATATAAAACTGCCATTTCAATCATTTGAAACATGCCAATGTACGGATATGAAGGTTGGCAGGACTGATTTTGACTTCACTGGGGAATCCCACCATAAGACCAGAACTCCACCAGTTTCAATAGTTCCATGTATTGATCAAAAGGGTGATCACCAGATGCTATATCAATTATAAAGTCTACTGACTTCACCAGGGCCTACATAGCAAACAATAACCGATAAATACTAAACCTATAGGATGAGCCATCATTTCCACTATTTTTTCTATTGTTCATGTGATGAGGTAAGAAAAGTTATGTATTTTTACCTTCATCTGATTTCTGTCAGATGAGACCACAAAGTTATCTGCACCCAGCTGACTTAAAGCTTCCTCTTTCTTGGATATGCTAGTGCTGAAAATTGTTACATTCAAACCAAATGCCTTTTGCCAAACTTCACTGCCATGTGACCTAGGCCACCAAGGCCAATCACCCCTAGAGATTTACCAGGTTGGTTCATCTTATGGCGTACCATCGAAGCATAAACAGTAATTCCAGCACAAAGTAGAGGGGCTGCCGAAGCCAATGGATAGTTTGCCGGTATTAATGTATGATTGGATGCAGCTTGCTTCTTTATCAAACTAGCGTCCTCATGAAAGGTTGGATCTCCTACTCTTGCAGAGAAGTATTGCACTTTTCTCCCCTCTTAACATTGGGAATTTTAGGTGCACGTGGATATGGTATATGTAAGAATGAGATGCAACTTCTCATCTAACACGTTGTTTGAAATCTCATTTATAATAGTTTGTATATATATATATATCTCTTCGTTGTCTCATTAGAATGTTTTGTATCCAATTTTTCATGTGCAGAGATTATATTGATGCATCTCAAAGCAGAAGAGCAGGTTGTCAAGTGAAATGAGAAAAAGTTTGTCATTGGGTTTAGTTCATAATTACCATTGATACATTTTAGAAAGTAAATTCTTACACTAGCAATTTTATTCTCTGAAATTCAAGATTCTTTTATCCCCAAAATGTTGGTGGATCCCTATTTTTTGTTGTTGTATTTATGGGTACCCGTAATATTTCTCATAAATAAAATTCATTTTTTATTCTTGCCTAATGGACTAATAGTTGGAAATCATTAGAATGGGAGGTACGGAAAGAATTTAAATTCTCATTCCCCAATATCACTCGTATAAATAAAAAAATTGAAGAAATATCTCTATCCTAATTAGCTAAAGTGGTATTTTAGCCCTAAACCCTAAAATAACATGACAAAATTGTATATTCAAAGAGTATAGCCGGGCGGCTGTACGGGTAAAATATATTATTTTAAAGGTATGGCCGGTCGGATCTACGGTTTGAATATATTGGAATATTTTAAATGTATAGCCGAGCGGCTATACGCTTTAAATTTATTTCCAAACAAACACGAAGCTTGCCCTCATAGTGACAGCCATTTCGTTTCTCTATAAGCGCTTCCAAGCTTCAAAGACTCGGCAACTAAACCTTCGAAATTTTTTCTTTCGTTTCGGCTGCTGTGTTGATTGGATTGGATTGGACACTCTCTATGAAAACCATCAAATGTCGTTCAGCTATTGAAATCTCCACTAAGATAACAACTCTGATGCTATAAGTAGTTAGGCGGCGTCTAGGTGGCCTGGGCTGATCCTAGGCGGATCTAGGCGGCGCCTAGGCGGATCTAGGCGGCCTGGGCGGGTCTGAGAATCCTTTTTTTTTCAAATGAAGACAGACGAAGCTTGCACTCGCAGAGGAATCTGGTGCGTGAGTGAAATGAAGAGACAGAGAAACGAACACGATGCTTGCACTCGCAGTCCAATCTTCAAAATTCAAATACTCGGTCTTGAGCCTCTCTCTCAACTCAAGCTTGGATTTTTTTTCTTCGGTTTCGGCTGCTGCGTTGATTCGATTTTTTGTGTGCTTTTCTGTTATTGAAGTTGGCAACGTCAGATGAACATCCAAGGCAGTTTCTTAGTACACCAAAAGAAGCCCAACAGATGGTTCTTTAACCTGAGGCACACCTTGCAGTTTGTCATTGGATTACACCATGCCGGTCTGAATGACAAAGATAGATCTCTGGTTGAGGAACAAGGTTCAAGCATTTTTGTTTTACCTCAATAAGCATGAGTCTTTCCTGATAAACACATTAGGAAAAGAGAATATAAAAAATCATTTTCTTAATCAATATACTGATTAGGCATATGTATTAAATTATAGGTATTGGTTTGTACCAGCACATTGGCATGGGGTGTAAACCTTCTAGGTCATCATCTGTTCATTATTAAGGTAAGGCAAAATTTGTGCGCTATCTTTTTCATTTGGTTCCTATATTCACAAAGGTTTCTAGCAGGAGTATATTGCAGCAGCTGTTCTTCAGAACAAATTTACGTCGGTGTTGATTCTCTTGCTATTGCAGGGAACAGAATATTATGATGGGAAAACAAAGAGATATGTTGATTTTCCAATATCAATCACAGGTATATTGCAAATGATGGTTTTGGTCACACGTGACTATATAGAATAAAAAAGGGAAAGAAATAATTATGTGAATCAGGTTACATGTTTTTCTCCCTTTATAATTAACAGTAGCTCAGATTCTACAAGAAATATGGGAGTATATGTCCATCACAATCCGATCGCGCCTAAAGATCAACAAAAACACGAATCATATTACTCTCTGAATCTGAATATTTGCCTCAAATACTAGGAATCAGGTTGTTTAGGGTTTTTAATATCAGAAAACCAAATAAAGTCAATGGATGAAGTCTTGCAGTCCTAAATCTAATCAATAAACCATTTTCCTTTTTATTTTTTCAATACTCTACACCTATTTTTTTTCGCTGTTAAAGTTCAGAACGCCCATCATTTGCATTGCTGCTGTGACAATGATCCTCTTGTACTTAAATGTGGTGAAGACACAAGTTAAAAAGCCTTTAAATGTGCCCTTAGTATTTGATTTATTGAGCCTGTACAAAATCTTACACGAGCGTAGTTTTTTGCGGATGTTTAATCCAGCTTACTATGGCTTGGACAATACTGAAACTGAGTTTGATATAAAGTGGATAAGGACCGCTTAGATGATCCACATGTCAAATCCAATCTGCTATTTCAGGTCAGAGTTGTCTTCAACTATATGTTTTTCGAATAAAAACTTCATGTCGTTTTGCTTTTTAGTTCTCTCATCGTTTTATTCTCTAACCATGCATGAATTCTGCATTCAAGCACATTTCTCGCAGTTGGAATTACCAATCAGTGATTACGTCACAGACTTGAAGTCAGTATTGGATCAAAGTATGTGAATCATCCAGGCCATGATAGATATATGTGCTAATAGTGGGTGGATTTGAAGCTCAATTACTTGCATGCATCCAGGCCTTGTTTATATTATTACATTCGACAGCTAGCATATCAGTTGATTAGTTAGAGATGTTAATCGGGGATGCTGAGCACCCTTGAATGTTGTTAGTCCATGCCTCTTTCCTGTATTGTTTACCTTGTTTTGTTTTGTTTTTTCCTTTGTCCTCCAAGAGAAGCTCTTCTTTTGTGTTTTTCCTTTCCACAGTACATTACCCTAAAAAAATATAGGGCCATTTCAGCAGGACTCAAACCATCAGCTTCTGGGTATGGTATATTTAATGAGATGCTTCTTCTCATCTAACACGTTGTTTGAAATCTCATTTAGAATAGTTCGTATATATATATATATATATATATATATATATCAATGCCATATGACCTTTGATAACTTCAATTTATTTCAAAATTCTTCTCTTTGTTGTCTCATTAGAATGTTTTGTATCCAATTTTTCATATGCAGAGAATATGAAATGCAATGCAATGCCCTTAATTAATTACTTAATGATTTTCCATGTACGCACAGATCACTTGGAGGAAGGACAGCATTGGAGACAAAGAATCCTGGAAGTTTTACTCTGTAGGAGATATCTGGAGGGAATGATTTTCCCCATGAGAATATTCGTCAAAGATTCCTTCGTCTTCTCCACTTATCTTTCTCCTTGCAAAACAGATCGGAGTAAAAGGACCACACCCGGGGGGTGTTGGCCAAATGCCCTCCGATGCCTAAGTTAGGTAAGGTATTTCAAGGAAAACCGGGTGGCCGGAGCCGTGTGTGGTGGCCGGAGCCTTGTGTAAGGGAGAGAAAGAAAGTGGTGCCTAGGGTTTGTGAGAAATGATTTCTGCAGAGTTTCAGTAGGAATTTAGACGTACCTCAACCTTTGTGTGTGGCTATGCTTCTATAATGGTCTTGGAGGCTAGGATTTCAGAGGAATAATTCCGTAGATGGAAGGGAATTATTCCTCCCCTTTTTGGAATTGATTTGATTAATTAGAGATTTGATTTGTTAGGGTAAATCAAATCCCTAATTGTGGTAGGTATCAAATCAAATCCTAATTCAATTAGGTAACTCCTCATTTAATTGGGAATCGTGGTAATTAACCAAATCAATTCTTAACCCAATTAGGCAACGTTCAATTTAATTGGGTAATCCCCAATTAAATTGAGTAACTTCCAATCAGGTTAATTAATTCCCAATTAGGTCAAATAATCCCCAAATGGAATGAATTATTTGACCTAGGGTTTTGATTTAATTTGGTTACCACAAATGCCCCCTAGCTTCTGCATGGCGCGCGGTGGCATGTAGGAGGTGTGAATTATCTGTTGGGTTGTCCAGCTGGAATTGGGCTTCCTTCGTGGACCTGGGCTCCCGAGTGGAGGAGGTGGTGGTCTGCCCCCTGCTCAGGATGTTGAGAGATGAGCAGAATGGTCCAAATTCTGATGATCTGCCAGTTAGGCAGGAGGAGTGTTCCCTTCTGCTAAGAAGACTCAAGTGGGGTCTGCTCTACCATCATCTGCCAGGGCCAAACATCTCGTGGGCGCAGATAGCACGAAGGTTGGTGGTATGAACTATGTTCGAGGTATTCTGCCCGAGCCTCCTACTGACAAGCTTGAAAACCATGATCTGCTTCGTGAGGCAACTTGTGCCCGATCTAGTTCTGCCAAGCGTCAAAGAGATGCAGACATTCCTCCTCGAAGTTCGAGTCGTCTGCACGGTCAAAAGATGGAGATTGAAGCAGGAGGTTTGCTCATGATCCAGCTGTTGAGTCTCGGGCAGTCAAGCGTGGAGTTGATTCAGTATCATTGACTCATTTGGAAGTGAGGTTGGCGGAGGCTAAGAAGATGAGAGAGTCATCTGCCTGGGCGAAGAGTTCTTCTTCAGCGTCGGCGGTTGATCCGAAGGCGAACAAGTCTAGCCCTGTAGGGGATGCGTGTGTGTTTGATCTGCTCAAGATGAACTTCGTATAAAACCCGTCCTTCTATGCTGAGTTGGTCGATCACATTTGTCAGGCCAACGATCTTGGCACATTCTCAAGCCTTTCCTTGGAAAAACAAAGGGAAGCCACATTTCATCTGCTTAAAAAAGGAGTGGTTCTTGTTGCTAAAACTATCTGAAACTCGTCTGCTGTTGCCCCCTCTTCTACCGCTGGCTTGGTTTAACAAAAAGATGCATACTTCCGTTTTGAGCATAAGAGTGGATGCAGTAGATGAGATGATGGCAGATGCTATGGAGCAGGCAGATCAGGATGCTGAAGGCATAACTGATCAGGCGAATGTCGAAGAGGCTGTAACTTAGAGGTGTCCTGCTGGCGCCTCGGAGTAGATGAAGTTTTCTTTATTTCTTTTCATCTTTTGTAGTCTGCTTTCTTGTTTAGAATAAATGGTCTTTTTTAACCTTCTTCCTTTTGTTGAACTTGGCCGGTTGGTCAGATTGCTATGGAAATTTAGTTATTTTTTCAACTTCAATTTGCATATCGACTTGTGAACTGCTTGAGTAACCAGCCAATTGTGTGTTTCCCTTAGGAAATTTATGAGTGACAGGGTTCCCCTTGAGGGATTCCGAGAGTATTCTGCACATCCCATAGGATGTTTTTCCCTTAGGAGGTTGGCGAGTGCCAGGGTCCCCCTTGAGGGACTCCGGGCGTGTTCTGCATATCCATTAGAATGGTTTCCCTTAGAAAGTTGGCGAGTGCCAGGGCCCCCCTTAAGAGACTCCGGGCGTGTCCTGCACATCCCTTAGGATGGTTTTCCTTAGAAAGTTGGCGAGTGTCATGGCCCCTCTTAAGAGGCTCCGGGCGTGTCCTGCACATCCCTTAGGATGGTTTCCCTTAAGAAGTTGGCGAGTGCTAGGGCCCCTCTTAAGAGGCTCCGGGCGTGTTCTGCACATCCCTTAGGATGCCTTGGCCGTCGCCCTCCATCTCCCTAAAGACGCTGCTTATGGGCAATTGTGCGTCTATTCTGCCTCCCTTCGGAAACGGATAGGAACCTGGATACTTCCCGCAGAAGGCATGGAGACCTCCTTTTAAGAAATTCCTGGCGCACCATGCGTCTCCCTTAGGACGCTGCTTATGGGCAACTGCGTGTCTATCCTGCTTCCCTTAGGAAACGGATAGGAACTTGGATACTTCCCGCATAAGGCATGGAGACCTCCTTTTAAGAAATTCCTGGCGCACCTTGCGTCTCCCTTAGGACGCTTTTTATGGGCTGCGTCTCCCGAAGGACGCTCTGGTCGTCGCCTTGCGTCTCCCTTATGACACTGCTTATGGACAACTGTTTGTGTTTTGTGGGCAGATAAGACATTTTGGAATGAGAAACTGAACTTATATTGATATTCATAAGATTACAGTCCTTTATTCAAAAATGAAAATAACTGAGTACAAAACTTGAAACTTCTAGCAGTCATGAGGAAGCATTATGGATAATACTTTCGGAGATGGTGAACATTCAATTGTCGTGGTATTTGCTTCCCATCCATGGTGTCCAATGTGTAGATTCCTCTGCCCTCAGACCGGCTGATCACATAAGGGCCTTCCCAGTTGGGATTCATCTTTTTCGACCCTTGTCTTGGTGCGGTGATGAAAGCCTTTCTTAGCACGAGGTCGCCTGGTTGAAATTGTTTGACCTTAGCTCTTCTGTCATAGTAAGACTTCAATTGCTGCTGGTAGGAGGCGACTCGGATAATGGTCTTCTCACATTCGCCCTCAAGTAGGTCAAGGTTGAGCCTCATTTGCTTGGAGTTCTGATCAACATTGCCCACCTCGAGGCTTATGGAGGGGACTGTGATGTGAGGAAGGATGATCGCTTCTGTCCCATAAGCGAGGGAGAATAGGGTTTCACCAGTCGACCTTCGCTTGGTGGTGCGATAATCCCATAGTACTCCGGGGAGTTCATCCACCAATTTCCCTTCGGCACCTTCTAGCCTATTCTTCAAGCAGTCCAATATGACTTTGTTGGATGCCTCGGCCTGCCCATTTCCTTGTGGATACCTCGGAGTGGACATGTGTTGTTTGATCTTGTATTTCGCAAAGAAGACGGTGATATGCTTGCCAATGAACTGTGAGCCATTGTCAGTGACCAGCGACTGTGGGCAGCCAAATTGGCAGATGATGTTTCTCCAGATGAATCGCTCTACATCGGCTACTTTAGTAGAGGATAGAGCTTCGGCCTCGATCCATTTAGTGAAGTAGTCGGTGGCGACGATCATCATTTCTTTCTTGGCGGCGCCGGTGGCAAAGGACCCACTAAGTCGATGGCCCATTGCATGAATGGCCATGGACTGCTTTGTGGATGGTAAACTTCGGTAGGCAAATTAGGGATCGGCTTGTATCGCTGGCAACGATCACACTTTTTGACATTGAGCGGAGTCGTGGCGTATGGTAGGCCAGAAGTAGCCTATGTTTAGAGCCTTCTGGGTGAGTAACCTGCCCCCAGAGTGGTTGCCACACTCACCGTCGTGAATTTTGCAGAGGACCTCAAGTGTTTGAGGGTATTTTATGCAGGTAAGGTGAGGGCCGGAGTATGATCTGCGGATGAGCTTGTTGTCGTGCATGTAGTATCTCGCAGCCTTCTGCTGGACCTTCCTAGCTTCGGACTTGTCCGGTGGCAGGTTTCCATTCACTAAGTAGTCAATGATGGGGCCTTGCCAGCTGGGGTCCTCATCAATTTGCATGGTGTCGATTGGCTTTATTTCTTCAATGATTGGTTGGTCAAGGTGTTCGACCGGGATGGAGCGTCTGAACTGGGTATCCAGCGCTGACCCTAGGCTGGCTAGTGCATCTGCATGCACATTCTCTGCCCGGGGTACTTGTTGGATGGTGAAGGTAGGAAATGCCTTCAACAGCTCCTGGACTTTGTCAAGGTACAAGATCATCCTTGGGTGCTTCGACATGTATTCACCTGAGGCTTGACTCGCGATCAGCTGGGAATCTGAGTAGATGGCTAGCTTCTGAATTGCGAGTTCCTTTGCCAAGCGCAGGCCGGCGAGCAGTGCCTCGTATTCTGCCTCGTTGTTCGAGGCCAGGAAGCCAAGCGTGATAGCTTGCTCCAACAAGGTTCCATCCGGGGTGATGATGACGACACCCGCTCTAGCTCCTTTTTGGTTTGATGCTCCGTCTACTGGCAATTGCCACGTGTCTCTAAGTTGGCTAGGTCCAGCGGAGGTCCCGTCTGCTCTTGAACTTTCCTTGTTTTTGTTGACTAATTTCTCATCTTCGGCTGATGGGGTGAACTCTACCACGAAGTCTGCTAAAGCTTGAGCTTTTATTGCAGCTTTTGGCCGGTAGATGAGGTCATATTGGCTTAGCTCTATAGCCCACTTCATGAGTCGCTGAGAAGCATCAGGGCTGTGAAGGATTGATCTCAAAGGAAAGTCAGTCATGACAATGACTCGATGAGCTTGGTAGTAGGGTTGTAGCTTTCTCGCGGAAACTACAAGAGCCAAAATGAGTTTCTCTAATTTTGTGTAACGAGTCTCTGCATCGAGGAGAGCTTTTGATATGTAGAATACCGGATGTTGGGCCCCCAGCTCTTCTCGAATGAGAGCTGAGCTGACAGCTGAGTTGGACACTGTCAGGTACACGAACAAGTCCTCACCAGGGACTGGCTTTGAAAGCAGGGGAGGTGAAGTGAGATAAGTCTTCAAACTCTGGAAAGCTACTTCGCACTCCTCATCCCATTTGTCTCTTTGTCCTTTCTTCAAAGCTTTGAAGAATGGTTTGCACTTGTCAGTTGATCTCGAGAGGAATCGGTTGAGGGCTACTGCTCTGCCCGTCAGACTTTGTATTTCCTTTACTGTGGAAAGCGACTTCATCTCGAGAATGGCTTTGATTTGACGTGGGTGTGCCTCGATTCCTCGTTGTGTGACTAAGTATCCCAAGAATCGACCGGAGGACATGGAGTCGGTGACAGATGATTTTCGGGTCGATGCCAGGCATGTCTGACGGCGACCATGCGAACATATCTTTATTATTCTAGAGGAAGGTGGTAAGCTCCACCTTCTCGTCTGGGCTTAGGCGTGAGCCGATCCTCGCTTTTTTGTCTGACTGATCAGGATCCAAGGGTATTAACTCGACGTCTTCCTCAGGTTTCCATCCTTCTTCAGGAAAGACCTCTGGACGGATATCCTCTGGACGACTTGGTCCTGACGCTTTGATTGCTATAAGATAGCAAGATTCGGTTGTTCAACTTCCTTCAGATCTGCCTGGCTCACAGGGAGGAATTGTGCTTGTTTGCTTTTCTTTAGCCCTTGGGCGGAGCATTTCCTCGCCATTGCCTGATCGTTGTTGATTTGGCTGATACCGCCCCCAGAGATTGGGTACCGGATTTTCTGATGTGTGGCAGAGGTGATGGCGTTGATCTTGCCAATCCATGGCTTACCCAGAAGGGTGAGACCTCATCAATGACCATGAATGTTTGCAAGCAGACTACAGGTGAGGAGTAGACGTCGAGGTCTATCGTGCCCACGGTAACCGTTGTTGCACCATTAAAGCCGGTCAGCAATCTGGCTGATTTGTTGATTTTTGCCTCCAAGCCCATCTGCTGGATGACAGCTAGCTGTAGGATATTGGCTGCGCTGCCCTCGTCTGCATGGATTCGGTCGACCATGGCCTGTGCGTTTTGAATGCTGATGACAAGGGCATCATTATGTGGCATGTCGAGGCCGATCAGATCTTTCTTTTGGAAGCCGATTACAGGATCCTCTTCTACTGGTAGAAGGTCAGTCGAGACTTGGAAGATCATAGTGGCATGTTTGATCTTCCTCTTCTTTTCCTTGTTGGTCAACCCTGACTCCTTGGCGTCGGCTAGGATTGTGTTAATCCTTATGACCTTTTGGGGTGGTTCCTTGGCGGTGTCTCGATCTTCAATTCGCTGGATGGCCTGCTTCGCGATGAACTCCGTGCAGTGACCTTCTCTCACGAGTTCTTCAAGGTGTGCTTTCCAAGCGAGGCAATTGTTGGTAGTGTGCCCGTGTGTCCTATGGAAGGCACAGTATTTGCTAGTATCCCTCTTGTCTAGATCTCCTTTCAAGGGTGGCGGTCTTCTTACCCAAGGTTTCTTTTTCACTTGGGCTAGGATTTGATGTATGAGGATGGTGAACTTGGTGTAGTTCTCTCCTGCTGCAGCGTCTCATTGTGGGTGTGACCTGCGCTTATCCTTGTTCTTGTTGCTAAATCCATCACTTCTTTGACCTGCCCGCTTAGTCGGTTGATCTTCCTGCTTAGTAGACTTTTTTGCGGCGATTCGATCGTCATCCCAGAGCGCATAGCGTTCCGCGGTCGCGTAGACCTCTGCCAGAGTCTGGCTGGGAGTGATAGTCAGCTCGCGGTACAAGTCATGTTCAGCTGGAAGGCCTTTCTTGAAAGCAGATGACGCGATTCGGTCGTCGCATCCTACAATGTTGGCCTTTTCTGCTTTGAATCTCTTGATGTAATCTCGAAGGGATTCGTCAGACTTCTTGCGCAGGTTGTACAGGTGGTCAGGATTTTTCTTGATTGTTCGGTAAAAGGTGTACTCTTTGGTGAAGACGTAAGCCAACTCCTTGAAGCTGCTGATCGACCCGGACGGCAGGGTGTGGAACCAATCTTGGGCTGCTCCTCGCAAGGTCATTACGAATACCTTGCACATCAACGCGTCGTTGGCCTTGTGGAGGATCATGACACTTTTAAAGTGTTTTAGGTGGCTCTCGGGATCAGAATCCCCTTTGAAGTGGGTAAACGAAGGAGTTGAGAACCGCTTCGGGGGAGCAGCCTGCTCGATTTTGGCCTTGAAAGGTGTGGAGTTTGCCTAGTCTATCTCCTTACGTAGTACATCTACGAAATTCCCGCCGATCTTCGAGTCTCGAAGTCGGTCATTCACAAGCTTTTCTACGTCCTCCACACACAATGCTGGTTGGTCTCGTTGGCGACGCTGATTGACCTCTTCGTGGGTCTGCGAGGGTCGACCATCTCGTCTGCGCTGCCTAGGCGACGTGTGGGTGGACTGCGCTTGTGAAAGATTCTCCGTAGCTTGTCGACGAGAACCGTCTCTTCGAGAGTGAGTAGCGGAGTGCCTTTCCTCGTGATCCTCATTGTGAGGATTATCCGGTTGACCACCCTGGAGACGTAGCCTCTCGTGAATGCTCCTCTACGAATGGACAGCTGAGCGTCTTTCTTCACGATCCTCGTTGCGATGGTTGTCTGGCTGACCTCCCTGGGGGCCTAGCCTTTGAAGTACATTTCCCTGCGGGCCCAAGCGGGCGTGGACGTCAAGTCGTGGGCCTAGCCTCTCGCGCATGTTGTTCCTCAAACTTAATCTGCTCCGAGAGGGGCCCGCAGATGCTTGTGACATGTCGGTAGGCCGATCAAGTTGTTGTCCCTCGCCTTGTTTGCCCACTCCTGCTCGACCTGCTGGGTACCCGTTGAGCTGCCTGCCGGTGCATTCGTCTGTCCTTCTCTCTTCGCCCAGTTGTCCAAGGCCAAGGTTTTGAGCCAAGCCGATTTGGTGGAGGAGTTGCCTCATCAGATTGCTTTGGTCGTCCATTCTCTGAGCTAGCTGGTCAACTCTCAGACTAAGGTCTGCTTGACTTCGTGGATCGGGAGGAGAAAAGTGTGTGGAGCCCAATTGCACACTGGCTAGGGTTTCATTGGAGGTGTGCGCAGGAGCATGTGTCGAGCGTGGAGGCAATGGAGGGAACGCTTGAAGTTGGTCCAAGACCGGGCCTAAGTCAGCGGTGGTAACAAGCCCACTTTGATGAGAGGTTCCACCATGTTCGGCGGCAGTGGCCGGTGCAGTGGTGAGAGGTGGTGGTGCCACCATGTCGATTGCGGGACCGTGGGTGGAGTGGCTTTGGGCCGTCGCGGATTTAGCCATCGCGGCGGTTTTGCCTCTCATCTTCATGCTTCCAACCATAGTTGTTTGGAAGGCTTCGGTGGATTGGAAAATGGGAGGAACGGATTCCTTGAGCACGCGTTGAGTATAACTCGTGCTCTCAATGAAAGCACCAATTTGGAGGGAATGATTTTCCCCACGAGAATATTCATCAAAGATTCCTTCGTCTTCTCCGCTTCTCTTTCTCCCTGCAAAACAGATCGGAGTAAAAGGACCACACCCGGGGGGTGTTGGCCAAAGGCCCTCTGATGCCTAAGTTAGGTAAGGTATTTCAAGGAAAACCGGGTGGCCGGAGCCTTGTGTAAGGGAGAGAAAGAAAGTGGTGGCTAGGGTTTGTGAGATGATTTATGCAAAGTTTCAGTAGGAATTTAGACGTACCTCAACCCTTGTGTGTGGCTATGCTTTTATAATGGTCTTGGAGGCTAGGGTTTCAGAGGAATAATTCCGTAGATGGAAGCGAATTATTCCTCCCCTTTTTGGAATTGATTTGATTAATTAGAGATTTGATTTATTAGGGTAAATCAAATCCCTAATTTTTGTAGGTATCAAATCAAATCCTAATTCAATTAGGTAACTCCTCATTTAATTGGGAATCGTGGTAATTAACCAAATCAATTCTTAACCCAATTAGGCAACGTTCAATTTAATTGGGTAATCCCCAATTAAATTGAGTAACTCCCAATCAGGTTAATTAATTCCAAATTAGGTCAAATAATCCCCAAATGGAATGAATTATTTGACCTAGGGTTTTGATTTAATTTGGTTCCCACAATATTTTCGAAAATGGGGCTTCTTTCGTCAAAACAGGTGCCGGAAGAGCAAAGCCAAACTATAACGGAGAACAAACTTTCCCAGTTGTTAATGCCAAATCTGTCCGCTCATTGACAAGGTCATCTGGTGCTTTGATATGCATCAAAAGATCCAGATGCTAATTAATTACGGCATAGGCTCATGCGATGCAATGTGGAGATGATATAATTGCATGTCATATATAATATATATATATCTATATACATGCATAGGAAAATCAATTGTATGTCAGCTGAAAAAAGGTGAACAATTGTATAGTGGATATATAAATCTCATCTCCCTCCTATAGTAATGCAATATATATATATATATATAATCGATTATATATAATGCCATTGTTCACCTTTTTTACGATTATATATATATAATGCCATTACCCAAGACTATACTTATTTTACGATTTATTTTTATTAGTGATCAGGACTGGCACTGAAAATGGTCATAAGAACAGTTGATGTAAAAGATTTCAGTTTTATAATGATGCAGAAGACCAAATCCCAGATGCAATTCCACAAGGGTAAATGACCTAGGCCATTTTTCTCTCATAAATAAAATTCATTTTTTATTCTCGAGCAATGGGCTATATAGCCGGAAATCATTAGAATGGGAGGTATCGGAAAGAATTTAAATTCTCATTCCCCAACATCACTTGTATAAATAAAATAATTGAAGAAATAACTCTAGCCCAATTAGCTGAACTGGTATTTTAGCTCTAAACCGTAAAATAATATGACAAAATTGTATATTTAAAGCGTATAGCCGTTCGGCTATACTATCAAATGCTGTTCAGCAATTGAAATCTCCACTGTGATAATCATTTTTCCATTTAAACAAACAAAAAAAATTGCAAAATCAGAAACATACGTAAATTGCACGCCATGGCAGCCACGGATAGAGACTCGAACTCGTAGTTAGGCGGTCTGGGTGGAGCTAGACGGCCCCTAGGCGGTCTGGGCGGATCTAAGCGGCCCCTAGGCGGTTTGGGCGGAGCTAGGCGGCCCCTAGGCGGTATGGGAGGATCTAGGCGGTGTGGGCGGAGCTAGGCGGCCGCTAGGCGGTCTGGGCGGATCTAGGCGGCCGCTAGGCGGTCTGGGCGGATCTAGGCGGCCTGCGCAGGTCTAGGCGGGTCTGCGTTGGTGTTGAGGTCTGCTGCTCAGAAGTGCCATGTGAAGAACAAGGATATTAGGAAGTTTCTTGATGGGATTTTTGTGAGTGAGAAGAAGAGTGCTTTTTCTGATTTTGATTTTGAGTTTTTCATCTGTACTCTTCTTCTTTTTTTAAATCTTGCATGGAAATTTTGATGAGTAAGTTTTACTATATTTTGGGTTTCTGTTGCCAAACATAAATTGTGGAATTCTGGGATTATTTTATGCAGGTTTTGATTTTTAAAGTGAGAAATGATGGCCAATCTTTCATTTGCACAATCTTCAGTTTTTAAATGTTTGTCTTTGAGCCAAAATGGGGAAGAACACTTAAAATAATTTCCACTAATAAAAATGCCCCAAAAATGGTTCTTTATAGTTGCACCATCAAGTAAGTTAAACCCTGGAAAAACGTAAGGTGTCATGCCTTTTTAGAATTGCTAAACTGATTGTGAATTCCGCTAAAAAACCAACCCATTAAAACTTGATTCAGTGATCCCAATTAGTCCAAGAAAGTTTCATATCCGTATCAATGGAGGGTTGCTCTTATTACTTGGCAATGGTACTGGTTCAGCTCATATATGGTGGATCAAACATCCTCATAAAATTCTCCCTTGCAGAAGGACTCAATCCAATTGTCTTCGTCGTTTACCGCGGCATGTTATGGCCATGGTTTTGGTAGGACCATTTGCTTATGTACTTGAAAGGTAAGCTATCGATTCTTGCATCTCTTCATATTTCCAGGCAGTAAAAACAGAGAAAACTAATTCTTGAATGGATTTGTAAAGCAGGAAACAAAGGCCTTCACTCTCATTTTCTGTAGCTGCCAAAATTTTTGTGCTTGCCTTGTTTGGAACCACCATCTATCTGAATGTGTACTATGCTGGTTTAGCATACACTTCTCCAACAGTTGCATGTGCCTTGAGTAATGTTATTCCCAGCTTGACATTTCTAATGGCAGTTCTACTTGGGTATATTCTCTGTCCTTTCCTTTCCCTTGCTTAATTAGAAAGGGGAATATAAATGTTCTTTTTTCCTGTTCTGCAATTTGCTTGTTCTTACACAGGTTGGAGAAGTTGAAGATTAGAACTGCTAGAGGTCAAGCTAAGGTGGCTGGCACACTTTTCTGCATTGGTGGTTCTCTTGTTTTCACTTTCTGGAAAGGAGGATACCTATTTAAAGGTTTCGTAAATATATCTGTTGGTGAGATGAGGCATGAGAAGGAAAACTGGATCAAGGGGCTTTTCTTATTCTGACGAGTCACATTGCATGGAGTGCATGGCTAATCGTCCAGGTGATTTTATAATTGAATTAAGATGACACCCTTTTATGTCACGTAATGGCCAAGTTTAGTTCTTTGTCCAACTTTGGCTCTCTGGTCTCACAGGCTGTGGTCTCCAAAGTCTACACTGCTCGATTATCGCTAACCACGATGATATGCTTTTTCGCGTCGTTGCAATCTTCTTTTCTTGATCTGTTTTTTGCAAGAAATCCAATTTCATGGAGACTGGAGTGGAACCTGCAACTTTCAACCATCGCCTACTGCGTGAGTGTTCTCTTTCTCATATCTTATTATTAGGTTCACAACGTTGATTTCAACAATTGATCATGCAAATTCTTATCTGAATCTGTAGTTCGATTTAAAAACCTCACAGCAGAACATGTAGAAGAGAACATTGTCTTGTGTGTGTGTGTCTATAAAGTAAATAAATGGGACATCCTATTTTGTTGTGTCTTATTGGGTATTTTTCTCCTTGTTGGTATAAGATATATTTGAATCTGTCACAAGTTCTGTTCTTCATCCACTCCTTACTTTTGCAATAGGGAGTTGCAATCTCAGCATTAGCCTACTACCTGCAAACATGGTGCATCAGTTACAAGGGACCAGTCTTTGCAGCTATGTTTATTCCACTTCAAGTCATTATAGTGGCATTGTTCTCGGCAATTTCTTTCGCAGAACGACTTCACTTTGGCAGGTAATAACCTGAAGAACACAGACACCTTCTTCCTATTCCATCTTACTACTTCCACATTTGATGGTTTCACTTATCCATTCTATCACGGTAGTTTGTTTGTCATGAAAATTAGTCACAAATTTAATGTGGATTTTGTGTAAGTGGTGATGTGCAGCTTGATCGGAGCGTTTCTCATTATTGTGGGCCTTTACTGTGTGCTGTGGGGAAAGAAGGAAAGACACTCTTGTTGCTGAACAGACAGATTAAAGTGCTGGAGAATGATATTTCAGTCATAAATCCAGTCACTAGAGAAAGGACATGATCATAAGAGTTCAGTTTCTTTTTACACATTATACAGAAGATCAATCCCAGATAAAATTTCACAGAGGTAAATGCACACCACCTAACTATAAATGATTGCCAAATTGATAATGGTTTGAGCCCTACAATCCAATCCATATGAACTTATTAATACAAATCAACAAGAGAAATCCTTGTTCTCTTTCATGGTGTCATTTCAGGGAGTTTTCAATATCAATCACAAACCGGTATATCACAACACTTTTTAGTAGCCTCTCAATAGCTTCATTTGCAGATTGAATTGGAATTTTTCAATCATTGGATGAATTCCATTTGAAGCAAAGAAATCTATCATTTCTTGGATATCCTTTGTTCCACCTGTTACACTACCAGAAAAGGTTTTCATACCTGCCAAAAGGCCAATGCATGGAGTTCATTATATATACTTGCAATTGCAATAACAGTTGGATATATAAAACTGTCATTTCAATCATTTGAAACATGCCAATGTACCGATATGAAGGTTGGCAGGACTGATTTTGACTTCACTGGGGAATCCCACCATAAGACCAGAACTCCACCAGTTTCAATAGTTCTGCGTATGGATCAAAAGGGTGATCACCAGATGCTATATCAATTATAAAGTCTACTGACTTCACCAGGGCCTACATAGCAAACAATAACCGATAAATACTAAACCTATAGGATAAGCCATCATTTCCACTATTTTTTCTATTGTTCATGTGATGAGGTAAGAAACTTTATGTATTTTTACCTTCATCTGATTTCTGTCAGATGAGACCACAAAGTTATCTGCACCCAGCTGACTTAAAGCTTCCTCTTTCTTGGATATGCTAGTGCTGAAAATTGTTACATTCAAACCAAATGCCTTTTGCCAAATTTCACTGCCATGTGACCTAGGCCACCAAGACCAATCACCCTAGAATTTACCATGTTGGTTCATCTTGTGGCGTACCATCGAAGCATAAACAGTAATTCCAGCACAAAGTAGAGGAGCTGCCGAAGCCAATGGATAGTTTTCTGGTATGTTGAAGCAGTACCTGTAATACAGGCCATTTAGATGTGAAATTTGAGGAGAGGGGAAAAAGGTAGTTCAATTCATACCCTTCATGGACAACTATATGACTGGAGTATCCTCCTTTTGCGATTGTACCATCAACACCAACACCATTAAATCTGTCGTTGCAGTACTCACAATCTCTGCATGAGTTGACATGAGTTCCCACTCCCATATGGTCACCAACTTTGAAGCGCTGAACATTGGAACCCACCTCTTTTACAATGCCTGCAATCTCATGCCTGGTTCCAAATAATCACAAACAGAACAGATGACTTTAATTAGGAGGAGAATAAATTCAGGGTTACTTAATTCATCTGTTATAGAATCAGTCCACATACCCAGGGACAACAGGATACTTTTGAGTCTCCATGTTGTTTTCTGGTCCAAATTACATCAGCATAGCAAACTCTTGGACTGATTTAAAATCGGGATCACTGCTTCAAGTTTTAATGGGTTGGGTTTTTAGTGGACTTCACAATCAGTTTACCAATTCTAAAAAGGCATGACACCTTACTTTTTCCAGGGTTTAACTTACTTGATGGTGCAACTATAAAGAACCATTTTTGGGGCATTTTTATTAGTGGAAATTATTTTTAGTGTAAGTGAGGTGTTCTTCCAGATCTTGGCTCAAAGACAAACATTTAAAAACTGAAGATTGTGCAAATGAAAGGTTTGCCATCACATTTCTCACTTTAAAAACCAATAACCTGCATAAAATAATCCCGGAATTCCACAATTTATGTTTGGCAATAGAAACCCAAAATATAGTAACACTTGCTCATCAAAATTTCCATCCAAGATTAAAAAAACAGAGTAAAGATGAAAAACTCAAAATCAGAAAAAACACTCTAACAAGCACAAATCCCAAAAATCTAATCACTCTGACGAGAGTCAATCAGCCCAAATCACAACCTCACATCTCTCCCCCGGCTACTATGATTGCTCAATCCTCTGCAAATCAGGATTCATGATGTCGTGCTACAATCTCTCCCTCAATATTAGTATTAGTTTAAATCTATGATTGTGTAAATCTTGTATTACCTTATTAACCTTAGCTTTCCATATATACTTAGGCCAACGTCAACTGTAATATCATATAAAGATGAATGAATACAGGCATCACAATTAGTGAGCCATTCCCTAATTTTCTATTCCTTCCTAAATTTCTACACACTCCTCTTCAGCTATCGTCCTCTTCTCACTCACAAAAATCCCATCAAGAAACTTCCTAATATCCTTGTTCTTCACATGGCACTTCTGGTTTATGAGAGCAGCATACCTCAACACCAACGCAGACCCGCCTAGACCTGCGCAGGCCGCCTAGATCCGCCCAGACCGCCTAGCTCCGCCCAGACCGCCTAGGGGCCGCCTAGATCCTCCCATACCGCCTAGGGGCCGCCTAGCTCCGCCCAAACCGCCTAGGGGCCGCCTAGATCCGCCCAGACCGCCTAGGGGCCGCCTAGCTCCGCCCAGACCGCCTAACTACGAGTTTGAGTCTCTATCCGTGGCTGCCATGGCGTGCAATTTACGTATGTTTCTGATTTTGCAATTTTTTTTTGTTTGTTTAAATGGAAAAACGATTATCACAGAGTTTCTTCTAAGGATTTTAAGATTTTATAGCATCAGAGTTGTTATCATAGTGGAGAATGCAATAGTTGAATGACATTTGATGTATAGCCGAACGGCTATACTCTTTAAATATACAATTTTGTCATATTATTTTAGGGTTGAGGGCTAAAATACCACTTCAGCTAATTGGGCTAGAGTTATTTCTTCAAATATTTTATTTATACAACCGATATTTGGGGAATGAGAATTTAAATTCTTTCCGATACCTCCCATTCTAATGATTTCCGGCTATTAGTCCATTGCGCAAGAATAAAAAACGGATTTTATTTATGAGAAATAATAGCGGTTAAACCCATAAATACAACAACCAAAATAGGGATCCACCAACGTCTTGTGAATCAAAGAATGTTGAATTTCATAGTATAAAATTGCTTGTATAAGAATTTACTTTCTACAATGTATCCATTGTAATTATGAACTGAACCCAATTACAACTTTTTTCTCATTGCACTTGACAACCCTGCTCCTGCTTTGAGATACATCAGTATATTCTCTGCATATGAAAAATTGGATACAAAAAAAAAAAAAAAAAAAAAAAAAAAAAAAAAAAAAAAAAAAAAAAAAAAAAAAAAAAAAAAAAAAAAAAAAAAAAAAAAAAAAAAAAAAAAAAAAAAAAAAAAAAAAAAAAAAAAAAAAAAAAAAAAAAAAAAAAAAAAAAAAAAAAAAAAAAAAAAAAAAAAAAAAAAAAAAAAAAAAAAAAAAAAAAAAAAAAAAAAAAAAAAAAAAAAAAAAAAAAAAAAAAAAAAAAAAAAAAAAAAAAAAAAAAAAAAAAAAAAAAAAAAAAAAAAAAAAAAAAAAAAAAAAAAAAAAAAAAAAAAAAAAAAAAAAAAAAAAAAAAAAAAAAAAAAAAAAAAAAAAAAAAAAAAAAAAAAAAAAAAAAAAAAAAAAAAAAAAAAAAAAAAAAAAAAAAATCCTTTAACTTTTTCCGTCTCATCGTCAACCATTTTCTAAAAGCATCATTCAAATATATCAACAGACTGAGTGTTCCAATACATAAGACCACATTTCCATCAGGGAGAGTACATCAGAATAAAGTACATGCCTATCCAAATGGATGAAGTTGCATACAAAATGAAGTTACCTTGATGCTGTCCTGGAATTGAGGAGAGACGTCTTTATCAAAATTCTCAGAAACTTTGAAGTACATTACAAGACTCATCCCCTCTCCATCACTATCACCAAGAAACATTGCAGCAGGATAAGTAGGCAATTGCAACAAGGCGCAGAGCAATATCATTAGATATTGCCAAAATATAACAAACAAAGATAACAAGATAAATCAATTCTGAAAAAATACCTGTATGTTTACAATGAACACTTTCCCATATGCTTTCACTTTGGGAAGCTCAGGATGCTGGGCAATGTGATGTATCTTTTTGGGGCATATAAATACAGCAACACCTATTGGAGTATATGGACTGTAGTTCGGAGCAGTTGACTTTCGTTATCTCTGGATGGTAGACCAACAGAAAATAATATTATCATTAGCTGGTATAGCCGCGCCGCATGGCTATACTGTTTATTAAAACCCCAGTCCAGCCGCATGGCTATACCCTTGTATTTAAATACTATTTATTTTTTTAAAGGACGACCCGCATAGCGCTTAGCACCCACATAGCAATACAGCGCCCAAGTATGCTATACCCTTTTTGGTAATTTGAAAGTATATTATTTTAAGAGGAATATCGCTGCAAGGACGATACTATTTATTTAAAAATGAAACTTAAAAAAAAAAAAAAGACTATAAAATATATACCTTAAAATGATATGACAAAATGTATATTCAAAGAGTATAGACGGGCGGCTATACAAATATTAGTATCTTTTTACAGTATAGCGGTCGGCTACTGCTAAATACATTCGAATATTTTAAAAGTATAGCAGTCGAATATTTTAACAGTATAGCCGCGCGGCTATACTCTGTTCACAAAGCTTGTAGTCGCAGACGACGGAGGTTGCAGTCGACGTTTCGCTTCAAGCTTCGATTTGTTTTCTTCGGTTTCGACTGCTTCGTCCTCCGGGTTCGGCACCGAAAAATGACCCAACCCGCCTAGGAGGCCCGCCCAGCCTCCTAGCGCCCGCCTAGCCGCCTAGCCGCCTAGCCGCCTAGCCGCCCGCCTAGGCCCATTTTTAGAGTCTAAAGCACAAGATGCCGAGGATAGACTCGAAACGGTTGCCTCTCAGGCTCAAAAGGTCATGCACTGATGTACTCAATCCATCTTTGGTCTATGGCTATGAGTTTGTGATGTTGTTAGTGTGGTGTTCATTTTGTCATTGGCTTCTTTCTCTTTGCTTTCAGATGGCTGACATTGTTACAGAAGAATGGATTCAAATTCAGCGGCTTGAGCAGGCTCTTCATATTACACAAGTAAGTTTTTTCTGCTTGAAACTGGCTTCAGGTTCTTTATTTGCTAAATTCATAAGTTTTGCTGAGTCAGTAATATTTGCTAGTTTCTTCTTGGTTGGACTGCTTTTCATTCTTTGGATATTGCGTTTCTGTTATAGATTTTGACATTTGATAATGCCCTCTTGTTTGCTGAGAGAAAAAAGAAGAAGAAAGATTCGTCTCCTCCTCCTGTTGCATAGGAACCCAAAACCAACCCACCAAAGACCCCAAAAAAAAAGAAAAAGAAAGAAAGAAATATTACACCACCTCAAGTGAAAAATCTAATTCATTTAAGCTTTTATATTTGTTCTTGTATCAGCATCTGTGTTTCTGTTGTGTGAGCTCCACCTCAACTCCAAAGAAAACAAAAAAATTAAAAATTAGAGGGTGCATTTGCTAACGCATGGGTTGGGAATCTCTTAATTATATTTAACTTTTCAAACTGACTTCAAAAGCACCAGATTAACATACCAACATGAAATATCGTTTATCGAGCCTCCATTAGTGTAAAAGGACTGTGACTTCATTAGCTGAAAATGCTTTAGAAGAAGGATAGACCTCGAGTTCATTGACATCCCTTTCACTATAAAATCCAGGCTTTTAAGGTTGAGGCAATGACCCTTCAATTTTGAAAGATAGCAAAGATTATTCAGCAAACACCTCCAATTTTGAAGGATTCAAATGGTGACAAATATTTTAATCTGATCTCTTAACAATTTGTGTCTAATAATGGCTAATATGCCGTTAGAGAAACAGAGATGTAGGTGTGCATATCACTGTGCTGGTTGTAACATTTGGCTAATATGTACCTACAGGAATTATGAATATGTCTGTTTTCTAACTGTCCAGAATTCAGTCCCATATAGCATGGCTGGTCTAACAGATGTTCTATGAACTTAGCTTTCAATTCTAGCATAATATGATGATCACACTATATATATGCTTAACAAAACCCTCCATTTTACCTATCGTGCTTTGATTCTATGAGCCACATCATCTCCATTCTCCCCTTGTATATATGGATGATTGAGTACATCCTAGATAGTGAAAGTTTTTGCCTTTTGATATACTCTTAGTGGTAAAATTGGTTGCTCTTATGTCTTCGTCAGAACCAAAGGCTCCTCTTGGTTAGCAGAATTCAAAGGAATATGGTTCCAGTGACCATCTAGTAGATGCAACTTTGCCTGCTACTGAAGTCAAATAATCAGAACTGAGAATAAGGAATGGTACAAATAATGTTCACTATTATTATCAACAGTGTCTTCTGCATCACGATTCTCTTTCTTTGTTTTAATGAAAGTTTGTAACTTAAATTTGTGTTTCTTATAAAAAGAAAAATTATAAATTGCTCTTATTGTAGACTTCACGCAATAGAATTTGGTTAGTAAAATATTTTGGATGTGTTATTAAAAGTGTGAAGATAGCATTTTATTCCTGTGGTAAATGGATGCTATATGTGCAATGCTTATGATTTCTTATCTCAGTTATAGGAGAAACAAAGACTTCCGTAGCTTCTGGAAATGAGCATATTGGGGAGAAGCAATTAACGGATGTCTTAGTTAATTGGTGAAACTTCTTATAAGAAGATGGAGTCCAAAATAGTAAAGGAGCCACGCACAGTTCCAACAATAATGCACTCATCACCTATTTCCAGTCCAGGCAAGGGATATGACTTACAAATTATTATTTTATTTATTTTGGAACTACAGAATTGGTTATACTTTAAGTCTTCTTTTAAGTTTAATAAAATTGGTAATATGTTTAGGTGTTATTTTTGGGTGTCCAATTCTTTCCTAACAAGTTAAGAATATATATCTTCGCAACATTGAAATTGTATCACCGTTGTGACTCTGGTTGGTAATTTTGTTGCCTTGTCATTTATTGAACCTACCTTCCTTCCTTTATGTGGTAACACTTGTGTTGTTGAACATAATCATGCAGATAGTGAAGAAAGAGATCTCGTGAATATTTTTGCTAGTCTCAGTCTAAAGCCTTCGAATCTTCCTGCTTGAGATGCTCCTTGGAAGTGGGTAACTTCTCCATTTAAGATGTTACATATATGTATTCTATCATGATTTCAACAACTCGTGTTGTGATTTGAATTAGAGTTAATATGTTGTAGAAGTTGAATTAGAGTACAACTTCGATCTTCATGTTTTAGAGTCTAAAGCACAAGATGCCGAGGATAGACTCGAAACGGTTGCCTCTCAGGCTCAAAAGGTCATGCACTGATGTACTCAGTCCATCTTTGGTCTATGGCTATGAGTGTGTGATGTTGTTAGTGTGATGTCATTTTGCCATTGGCTTCTTTCTCTTTGCTTTCAGATGGCTGACATTGTTACAGAACAATGGATTCAAATTCAGCGGCTTGAGCAGGCTCTTCATATTACACAAGTAAGTTTTTTCTGCTTGAAACTGGCTTCAGGTTCTTTATTTGCTAAATTCATAAGTTTTGCTGATTCAGTAATATTTGCTAGTTTCTTCTTGGTTGGACTGCTTTTCATTCTTTGGATATTGCATTTCTGTTATAGATTTTGACATTTGATAATGCCTTCTTGTTTGCTGAGAGAAAAAAAAAAAAAAGAAGAAAGATTTGTCTCCTCCTCCTGTTGCATAGGAACCCAAAACCAACCCACCAAAAAACAGAAAAAAAAATTTGAAAGATGACACCACCTCAAGTGAAAAATCTAATTCATTTAAGTTTTTATATTTGTTCTTGTATCAGCATCTGTGTTTCTATTGTGTGAACTCCACCCCAACTCCAAAGAAAACAAATAAAGAAAATTAGAGGGTGCATTAGCTAACGCATGGGTTGGGAATCTCTTAATTATATTTAACTTTTCAAACTGACTTCAAAAACACCAGATTAACACACCAACATGAAATATCGTTTATCGAGCCTCCGTTAGTGTAAAATGACTGTGACTTCATTAGCTGAAAATGCTTAAGGCGAAGGATCGACTTCGAGTTGATTGAGATCCCATTCACTATAAAAACCAGGTTTTTGAGGTTGAGGCAATGACCCTTCACCATTCAGCATTACAACTGCAGCTGGCATGCTCGGTCTATCTGCCAGGTTACGCTGCACACTTAAAAGACCTACATGAATTGATCTCACTGGAGTCCCCTACTGATGTATCAAGCACTTCAATGGACCTGCCTTCTGTGTATAGCATCCTTGCCTAAAGGAATTGATCAAAAGTTCAAAACCATTGTGCTTAATTAAAAGAAGAAACAGAAACAAGTAATGAGTAAATCCTTTGTTCCTCTTCCCACTCGCTATCTCTAGCACCAACCCACCTTTCTTCAGCTCATTTAAATCCTCTGTTTCTCTTCATGTGTAACCTCATTCTTCAACTCATTGAGTCCTTGTCTAGAATGTTTTGAGAGCGTTTTCACATCTATTTCTTGTCCATCTTTAATGTACCCTGAAATCCATTAGCCACATATGATGACCAAAATCCATACTCTGTTGTTTGCAAACGTTCAATATACGACTTGTATCCATAGTACTGACCCAAATGACATGCGGAAACTGTCAAGCTAACTGTAGGGAGGACTATATTTGATTTTACCTTAAAGACTGATCCGAAACCACCTTCTCCAAGTTTATTGTTGTTTGAAAAATTTTTGGTTGCACAAACAACAGCGGCCAAGTTAAATAATGGCAATTCCATATCTTCCTTTTGGCCGGGCTTCAGTTCTCCTGTGAAGTACGTAGTGAAGTAAATAATGTAGCATGGAACCTTAGCTTAGAAACCAGAGAGGCAACAGCAAAAAATTTCTATAGAACTGAACCTACCTATCTTAGAAAATGAAGGGGCAGAAGAGTAGAAAATCAAATAGCTTACCATATTTTTGTTGCTGGTTTTTCCTCACTGTAATAGCAGGGTAAGGCCCAGGATCAGCAGTCCAGTAGACAACACAGTACTGGTTACTATGATCTTTGTATTGTGTCCTTGATCTAGGGATGAAGTATTTGAAAGCAGAAGATTTGAGGAGTCAGAAATTCATAAAGAAAAAAATCTTTACTTTTTAATGCTAGTTTCTGAGACAGCTCTAAAGAAATATTTTTCTAACAATGTCAAAAGTTTTCTGGCTCTATCTTGTTTCTAATCATGTCACTGTTGGAAGATTTCTTTCTTCTTTTTCCTTGGTGGCTTTTATTTTTCTTTCAAACTTTATTTTAAAACAGCAAGATGATTCCATACCTAAGTTCTGACGAAGCCCTTGCCCACTTATATTGGAATATCTTATATCAACCAGATCGCTGAACCACAGCAAGCACCCCCTTCCTCCATCTCGGATATCCAAATTTGAAAAAGCGGTGCAGGAGCAGTTGTTCATGCACATCATCTCACATTCCTTGAGGTTCATACTTGTGTTATACCAGGATTGTTCTGTACTTGGCAATTTCACCCCAGAGTACTTCTTAAAGATGTCTCCACTGCAATTCAGTTGGCTCTTTCTCACACATCTATATGGGCAATCCACCAAGTCCCAGTCTTGTTGAAAGTCGGTATAAATCCTTTCAAGCAGCTACATACTGGGGACTTTTCAATACTACATGCACCATTCGGACCACATATTCCATATTTGTCACAGATATCAGTCGTTGCTATTAGATAAACGACCCAACCTTGGTTTCCATCACTCCCGATGTAGCACAGCCCAAATCCATCTTGAGTTAACGCCAGCCTGAAAAGAGTTGAGCTGTTGAGAAGTTTATAACCATAATATCCTTCATCATCATTATCCAACACAAAATCATATGTTGGATTTAAATTATGCATCCCACTAAATTGGATTCCATTCCATGGTGCAGTCCGATATTTTATAACAGAACCCTCCCTCAGAATTAATTCATGGTACCCATAAGGACCAAGTTGATATGGATAATGTCCTTGAGAAGGATCCTGGGGGCTTTTCCAGGGTGTAAGATGCCAATTAAAACCTGTGATTTTGTTCCTAACAAGCTTCATACCTGGTATTAATGTATCACCTGGGTAATCAAAACTGTCATAAAATATTATCAGAGTCATTACGACCATTGCCATCTATCACAACAAGATTTCCGGGATCCAAAAGCTGTGCCACTGGATTCTGTGCAGAACTTGATGTGTTGGAAGACCTGTAGTGTTCTTATGGTCGACAGGGACAAGAATTCTGCTCAACTTAAGTACACCTGATGAACCAGTGAGGGGTGTGTTTCTTTTAGTCTGCACTATATATGGAGAGTCTGACTCTAATTAGAAGATAATTGTATTAATTTGGTAAAGCTTTGTTTGTAACTGTCTCTCACCTTAAAAAAATTTCACAATTAGCAGCATTGGCAATACTTGATTAGAAAGTAGAAACCCTACAGTATATAGTTAAGTTGAGTAGCTGGGAAGACAATTAGTAAGCTTTCAATACTAAAGTTGAATAGTGGGGAGACAAATTACTAGAGTTTCAAGTTCAGATAAATAGGATGAATTTCTCATAAGGGATCCCCTTTAACTGTAGCTTGGAGTAGAATTCGTTTTGCACAGTATCAATTATCAATGTAAACATGTTACTGATGCATTATCGACAATATCGATGCAAGTCATATTTAGATGCGTAATTGAATGGAAACAAACATCACTCTCTCCAGTGTGAAATGGAGAAAATTCTCCTCAATCAAAAGTGGGCTTACTTCAAATTTAGTTCAAGAATGATGGTGTCTTGCCTGACAATTGACAATTAGGAGCGTTCCTCTAGTAGAAAGAAAAAAAAAAAAAAAAAAAAAAAAAAAAAAAAAAAAAAAAAAAAAAAAAAAAAAAAAAAAAAAAAAAAAAAAAAAAAAAAAAAAAAAAAAAAAAAAAAAAAAAAAAAAAAAAAAAAAAAAAAAAAAAAAAAAAAAAAAAAAAAAAAAAAAAAAAAAAAAAAAAAAAAAAAAAAAAAAAAAAAAAAAAAAAAAAAAAAAAAAAAAAAAAAAAAAAAAAAAAAAAAAAAAAAAAAAAAAAAAAAAAAAAAAAAAAAAAAAAAAAAAAAAAAAAAAAAAAAAAAAAAAAAAAAAAAAAAAAAAAAAAAAAAAAAAAAAAAAAAAAAAAAAAAAAAAAAAAAAAAAAAAAAAAAAAAAAAAAAAAAAAAAAAAAAAAAAAAAAAAAAAAAAAAAAATGTTGTCCAGATTTTTTTCCCAACTGACGGCGAAAACTTTGCGAAAAACGGACATGTTTCAGTTGCGCCATGACATTGTCCAAGTCCTATGCAAGTTTGAGATGATATTTCCTCCAGCTTTCTTCACAAGTATGATGCACGTGATGGTTCACTTGCCAGAAGAGGCATTACTTGCTGGTCCTGTCAACTATCGCTGGATGTATCCAATAGAAAGGTATATAATCCTTATCATTTGTGTATGCATCATTATCACATGCTTGCTAATTTCAATCATATCGTTTTATTTTGGCAGGCTTCTCGGAGAGCTGAAAAAAAGTGTACGCAACAGGGCGAAGCCCGAAGGATCAATCGTAGAGGCTTGGGTTCAATATGAGTCGCTTACTTTCTGCGGAATGTATTTAAAAGATGTGGAGACGGTTTTCAATCGTCCTCAGCGCAATCATGATGGAGGTATGAGAAATGAAAAACTTTCTGTTTTTGCCCAAAGCGCACGACCCTTCGGAGATCCTGGACGCGGAGAGTCGTTTTCTAGAAATGACATGGAGGTAGCGCATTGGTTCGTACTGAACAATTGTGATGAGATCATGGGATACTTATATGAGCATGAAGAGATGATGAAGCGAGAACATCCATCACATTTGGTTGCCCAGAAACACCGTGAATTGTTTCCACAATGGTTTTTGGATTCTGTAAGTTATCAGTGTTTGTTATTTGAGAAATATAAATTTTTTTTATAAATTTTGTCAGACTAACATATGAATGGTTTTGTATAATATTAGGTGAATAAGTTGAAATCATCGAATTCCCCAACTTACAGTGATGAGTTATATAACTTGGCGTTTGGCCCGATTCGCGCTGAATTGTTCTCGGGTTGTAATGTCAACGGTGTCAAATTTTTGGCCGAAGCACGAGATGACAAGTTGTGTACGCAAAACAGCGGTGTCCATGTCCCAGGTGGAGGCGAAAGTACGGACATTGATTTCTATGGCAAACTCACAACTGTCGTGCAATTGCTTTACAAAGATCGATACCAAGTGATCATGTTTAAGTGTCGATGGTTTGACACCAACCCAAATAGGCCGGGAAGTGTTAAAATCGATCATGGCTTACTATCTGTGAACATGAACAGAACTTGGTATGATGACGACCCTTATATTTTGGCAAACATGGCAACACAAATTGTGTATCTAGATGACCCTAAAGCCGGAAGCGGTTGGAACGTTGTTCAAAAGATGGATCACAGGAACGTGTATGCTATACCAGAACTAGACCCAACTGACAACGACGTCAACAATGTAGCTGACCAACGTTTAGAATCTTCAATGGAAAATGATGCGGAAACACTTCGAGATACTAATGTTATACAAGAGCCATTTCAAATACAAGGAGTGTCTTCAATCGAAATACCGATTCAGTCAATTACAATTGACCTCGGTGATCTTCCGCGATATGATGTTGCAGTTGGCCCGAGCAACGACGATGATGTAGTTATAGAGGAGGCGGAGGAGGAGGAGGAGGAAGAGGATTGGGAGACCGAAAGTGATGATAGCAACGATAACGAAAGTTATTATAGTTCAGATGATGAATGATTAATTTTTTTTGTAATTTTATTATGTTAGTGGACATATTTTGTGTAATGCAAATGTTTTCATATATGTACTTGTTATATCCAAACATTATATATGATACCAAGTGAAACATTATTAAAATAATTGTAGTTATAAACCATTGGTAAATAAATATAGCCAACTAATTTGTATCATAAAGTTTAAATTTATTTTCACAAAAAACTTTTAAAAAATGAAAACCATATAACCGAAAAAATGAATACAAAGAACATAAGATTATCAACAATCCTTCCATTCTCAAATCGAAAGAAAATAGAATAAATCATACTTTCATACAATTAATTATATGTAATGATGAATACTTCAGATTAATAATATGTGAATGCAAATAATCTTGCGCGACGAAGGCATAATTGTCGCGCAACTTTTGCGCGACGGATAACGTACACGTCGCGCATACTCTATCATTTGCGCGACAAATAATATCGTCGCGCAAGTGCCTTTAGCGCGACGAAAAACAGACCTCGTCGCGCAAACATATACATATATATATATTTCTGAATTATACACACGTATATAGTTGAAATTGACGATCGAAGTAGTTCACTGTATTCACATAGGGTTAAACAGTATAGCTGTAAAAAATCATCAAAATCAGAGTCAAAATAACCGTTAAATCATGACTTTTCGTTTATAACCGTCGAAACGTTTTGTCCCGTTACTTGAGCTCTGAATGTTTTTTTTTTCTCATTTTTGACGTATAAGATCTCGAAGTATAAACAAACATATTTGACGGCTAGATTACTGAAACTAGTTTCCTAGAATGCGTATTCCATAAAAACACAATATTCATAAAAACTGAATAATTTCTTTATACATTCCTTCAGTCTAACATAAGATTATGTGATGTCTTGTACTGTAAATATCTGAAATTGAAGATCGAATTACATCTCTGTATTCATATAGGGTCAAGAACCGCAGCTGTAAAAAAATTTTCAAGATCGGAGTTAAAATCACCGTTGAATCGGGACAATTTGTTTAGAACCGTCGAAACGTTTTGTCCCGTTACTCAATCTCTGAATGTTCATTCATTATGATTTTTGACGTATACGATCTTGAACTATGAAAAAAGAAGATTGCCGGTTGGATCATTGAAACTAGTTCAGGAGTTCGGGTTTAGGGCTTAGGGTACAGGTTTTAGGGTTTAGGGTACTAGGGTATGGTTTTGCGCGACGAACCTACGCTTACGCGTCGCGCAAACCATCTGCGACAAACATAATCCCATTCGTCGCGCAAAATCATTAAAAAATTCGCTCCCCTCTCAGCTCCAACACTTGGTGAATTTTTTTTTGGCAAAAGCCAGTTTGCGCGACGAATATATGCCCATTCGTCGCGCAAAATCAATAAAAAAATTCCCTCCCCTCTCCGCTCCAACACTTAGTGAAATTTTTTTTGGCAAAAGCCAGTTTGCGCGACGAATATATGCCCATTCGTCGCGCAAAATCAATAAAAAAAATTCCCTCCCCTCTCCGCTCCAACACTTAGTGAAATTTTTTTTGGCAAAAGCCAGTTTGCGCGACGAATATATGCCCATTCGTCGCGCAAAATCAATAAAAAAAATTCCCTCCCCTCTCCGCTCCAACACTTAGTGAAATTTTTTTTGGCAAAAGCCAGTTTGCGCGACGAATATATGCCCATTCGTCGCGCAAAATCAATAAAAAAATTCCCTCCCCTCTCCGCTCCAACACTTGTGAAATTTTTTTTGGCAAAGCCAGATTGCGCGACGAACCCGTATCGTCGCGCAAAATTTTTTTGGCAACGCTAGCGCGACAATCATTCGTCGCGCAATTGCATTGATTTTTCCCGCGCAAAATCAAATCCCAAAATTTTGGGCGGCTGGACAAGTATGCGCGACGACACTAGTTATTTCGTCGCGCAAGGTATATCTGTTCACAACTTTGCGCGACGAAATCAAGTTTTTAAGTCGCGCAAAGGTCAAATTTTTATAATATTGCGCGACGAAAAGTTTATTTTTGCGTCGCGCAAAGGTTATTTTAATGAACTTTGCGCGACGGATATCTATATTCGTCGCGCAAAGTCGAATAAGTTTTCTGAAAATCGCGATCTTCTCCTTCTTCCCCAATTTCTCAAACGGAACCCTAAACCTCCATTTCTCTCCGCCGTGACCTCAGCCCCTACTCCGCCCCAAATCAGACCCTGCCGCCGCCACCGTCGAACCCAGGAGCTTCTCCGCCGTCGCCGTCCATCCTGCCGCCGTGAATTGCTCCGTTTAGGCCGAATCTTCGCCGCCGTTGTTCTCTCTCCTCCGGGCACCAAATCCGGCAATTGAGGTATGCTTTCTGGGCTATTTTTCATGCTCTAGCTGATGGTTGTGTAGGATTTGATTGATTGTGTGCATAGGGTAGTCAATTTGAAACCCTAGGTTTCGGCCGGTTTTGAAATTGAAATTCCGGCCACTTCCGTCCGTTTTTCGGGGTAGGTCCGAGAACAAAAGTGCCTCCAATTGATGTTTTAAACCTAGGGTAGGAACCTTGCCCCTTAATTTGTAGGATTTCCCGGGGATTGTTATCGCTTAGGGCACCCACGCGCTGCCGGCGCGTGGGGTACTATGGCATAGGGCATTTTGTCCCAGTGCAAACATTTCGTTGTCACGAGCGCGTAGGTGTGCTCGGATTGGAATTTGGTTATCGTTTGAGTCTCGAACGGTTCGAACCTATTGTGCGATTTTAGGGTTTGATATGTTCGGACCGTTGGATCGAGCTGAAACTCACGTATGTGGTACCATGTATTTATAGGATCGTTTAGGAATCGACGGATCGTGGATCGGAGTCCCGGATACTCCGAAATCGCAAACCCTAGGTCAAACTATGATTTTAATTAGTTAGTTCAATTTTTTATTGACATTGTATGTGCTACATTGGATTAATGAAATTGTGCAGATGTCAGACTTGATTAGACGTCGTAGGGCGGTGACGGCTACACCGAGTTCGGAGCCCCCGGCTCAGCCGGTATCAGCTGCCACTGCTCCAGCACTGATGGAGCAGGACCACGTGCTAGCTGGTCCTGGGGGATCCCAGGCGGCTGCATCATCATCTTCTTCGGTGGTGCAGCCTCTTAGCGCTAGGCGGCGACACCGGCCCGCTACCACCACCGACACCACATCCACTGACTGTACTGGTGCCTCGGGGGCACCTACAGGTAATACCCTTCCCCTTTCATTTTTTTTTAACATTTTTTTAATTGGGAATTTTATGGTTCAATTTGATTGTATATGTAACAATATTGTCATATCCCTTTGCAGCCAAGAGGAACACCCGAGGGCCGTGTCGGCAGCTGAAGACGGCGAAGGTCACCCGGGTGACCAACAGTCGTATCAGCATCGGATATGACGAGCGCCATCGGGCTGCACCGACGGCGGACTTGCATAGCTCCTTGGCCCACGACATTGGCCACGTCGTTCGGACCCATTGCCCGATGCAATGGAAGTCTTGGAAGGTCATACCTGACGAGATCAAGATGCAAGTTCGCGGCCAGTTGTCGGTATTTTTCCTATCTTTTAATTATTTTTCTTTCAAACTTTATATATTTCTATTACTTAATGTATGTAATCAATTTATTGCAGACGAACTACGACTTAGAGGACATCAACGAGGAGACTTTGGCGTACGTCAACAGACTCTTCGGTGAGAGGTACAAGCAGTGGAAGAGCTTGCACCACCATTTCCAGGCGTTTGATGATCCGCAAGTCGCTCTTCAGGAGGGTTGCCCGAAGGAGCTTGAGGGGCGGGAGGATAGTTGGGCGTGGCTCTGCGCTCATTTTCAGGCGCCCGATTATGTGGTATTTTTTTAATAATATTTGTTTAATGTTTATTTTATTTTTTATATCTCATTATTATTTAATTTATTTATAGTTCAATTATTACGTTTTATTTTTTGTATAACAGAATAAAGCCCAAGTGAATAAGGGCAATAGGAAGAAGAAGACTCTTCTTCACCATTCCGGCTCCAGGCCCTTCTCATATAGGATGGATGCACGGCGTCGGGTAAGAATAATATAATTTATATTTAATTTTTAATACGTCATTATTATTAATTTCTTTTGTTCATACTAATATTTTTCTTCTCTTGTTCAATTAAGGGGGGGTCGAAATTCCCAGAGATCGACGTCTTTGGTGACGTTTATGTTCGACCTGGGAATGAGTTGGCCGAGTCCCTTCATGTAAGTATTATGTATTTTTAATTCTTATGTTACACTTTCAATTTATATGCATTTTTGAATTTATATTTTATGTAATGTTAAACAGACGACGATGGTGGAGAGGAGCCAGTTGGTTCTTCAAGAGTCCGCCTCCCAACTTCCTCCCGAGACTCCGATCGAGTCTGTGGATCCTCCGCATGATGCTGGATTTCAGATTTTGACGCAGACGTTGGATCAGACTCTCGGGAGGAGGCCGGGAACGTATTGTAGGGGGATGGGGAATGCCCGACAGAGGGAACCTCGACCGCGGTCATCGTCGCAGGCAAACAGTCAGGTGACTGTTTTGACATCGCGGGTTGCCGAGCTTGAGGGTCAGATGTCGGTGATTCTGCAGTCCCTCGCGCGGTCCGGCATTCCAATCCCGAATTTTGGTGCGTCGACCTCCGAGCCCGTCCACCCCGAGCATCCCCAGCACACCACGGCCCCTGCAGACACCCATACCTCCGAGCCGCATGTGGCAGATGACCAAGTAGATTTCGGAACATTATTTGATTAGTTTTTTATTTTTATAATTACTTTTACAATTTGTATACATTTATTTTATTTTATATAATAGATGTTTTCTTTACGATTAATTTTTTTTATTGTAATTTCATTTTAATTATAAAAAAAAACCAAATTTATTTTTTTACAAAATTAAAAATCAAATAATAATAATTTTTTTAAAATAATATATATTGCTTTTGCGCGACGAAACGTAAATCGTCGCGCAAAAACATTTAAATAACAAATCGACAAATATATTTTAATCTTGCGCGACGAGTAATTTCGTTGCGCAAGATGTGTATGCGCGACGAATAAGATGTCGTCGCGCAAGGTTCATGTAGCTCGCGCGACGGACAATTCCGTCGCGCAGTTTTTTTTGCGACGACCGCTGTTTCGTCGCGCAAATATTTGTGCGACGGACAATGAGGTCGTCCCGAAATGTTTTTTGAAACGAAGTTGTTATACGTAGCGCAAACTGCGCGACGAATGACATTTGTTCGTCGCGCAAATCCTTTCTTCACGAACTTTGCGCGACGGACTGTGCACGACGAAATTTCTGTCGCGCATAATGATGTGCGACTAAAATCATTTTTGCGCGACGAATACCCTTTCGTCGCGCAAAGACTAAAATGTAGTAGTGAGTATATTGCAGCAGCTGTTCTTCAGAACAAATTTACGTCGGTGTTGATTCTCTTGCAGTTGCAGGGAACAGAATATTATGATGGGAAAACAAAGAGATATGTTGATTTTCCAATATCAATCACAGATATATTGCAAATGATGGTTTTGGTCACACGTGACTATATAGAATAAAAAAGGGAAAGAAATAAATATGTGAATCAGGTTACATGTTTTTCTCCCTTTATAATCAACAGTTGCTCAGATTCTACAAGAAAGATGGGAGTATATGTCCATCACAATCCGCCCGCGCCTAAAGATCAACAAAAACACGAATCATATTACTCTCTGAATCTGAATATTTGCCTCAAATACTAGGAATCAGGTTGTTTGGGGTTTTGAATATCAGAAAATCAAATAAAGTCAATGGATGAAGTCTTGCAGTCCTAAATCTAATCAATAAACCATTTTCCTTTTTATTTTTTCAATACTCTACACCTATATTTTTTTGCTGTTAAAGTTCAGAACGCCCATCATTTGCATCGCTGCTGTGACAATGATCCTCTTGTACTTAAATGTGGTGAAGACACAAGTTAAAAGCCTTTAAATGTGCCCTTAGTGTGCAGGTATTCTTCTTAGTAGTTACAATTCTGACTTCTTAGTAGTAGTACTTGCCTAGAATAAAAGAGTGCTAGTGTGAATTGGGCATTCTGCCTTGTTTATATCAGTGTTTTCAAAGGCATGCTTTAGCGCGCTTCGGAGCGCGCTTCAGAGCGAGGCGGAGGGAAATCGCCTTAGGCGTATGGTTGTTTAGCTTGTTGTCCGCTTAGCGTGGCAAGGCGGGGTGAGGCGTGCGAGGCGAGGCGTGGAAGGCGCAAAGAAGCGCCGCTGACTGCAACCCAAAGCGTGAGGAAGAAGACGACCTGCCTTGCATTTTTTTTGTTAGGGTTAGTTTTAAAGAAACGACGTCGTTGCATCTAGTTAAGTGTTTTTTATTTATTTAAAAAAACTGAGGTGACTAAACGCACGTTTCATCTAGTTTTTAAAAACACACGCTATTTTTTAAACAAACAGCATGCCTTAAAAGTAGGGGTGGTTGCGGTTCGGTAACCGCGAATTTTTACTCAAACTGCAAACCGACCGACTATTTGCGGTTTTATGATTTTTGAAACCGCAAACCGACCGCGTTTTGCGGTTTACCGCATTGCGGTAAACCGCAAAATGCGGTCGGTTACCGCGAATTAGCGGTTTAAAACCGCAAGTTCTCAAGCATTCACAAAAATATAAATTTACAACCTAAATAAATAAATACACAACCTCAATTTCTCAAGCATATATAAATTCACAATCTCCTTAACTTCTCAAGCATTCACAACCTAAGAAAATTAAAGTTACAATTCCAAGCATTCCAATTAAAGTTAAACTTCTCAAGCATTCCAATTCCAAATCCTTTAAAGTTACAAACCAAAAGGAAAATGCAAAGCAAAATGAATTAAAGTGACAACCAAAAAGAAAAATCCAATTCAAAGTTAATTAAAGTTACAAACTAAAAGGAAAATGCAATGCACCAATGTTACAAACTAAAGTTACAAACTTAAGTGTTGGTAGTGAGTGGATTTGAAGAATCCCGTTATGTTGTTTGAGCACTAATGTTATCTACAAATAAAATAACATAGTTTAGTACATTTTATTATAAGAAAAACATAAATAACATTAGTATAAATAAACTAATTACTTACAAGTTGTCATATGTTCCTTGTAGAATTCAACATCATCATCCGTGTGGCTATACTTTGCGGTTTGCGGTAACCGCAAGTTTTGAAAATCAAATACCGCAACCGCAACCGCGAATGCGGTTCGGTTCTTAATACCGCAAATGCGGTTCGGTTTACCGCGATTGCGGTTTCATTGCGGTAAATTATCGGTTGGTTTTTGCGGTTTTTCGGTTTTTCGGTTTAAAATGCCACCCCTACTTAAAAGGCCCCACTGAAACAAACGATACTACTTCCTTTTTTCTTCTAAATAAATATATTAATTTTAATGCGATAATCTCCATCAATTTTAATTCTCTCCATAAGTTGAAGCGTCTCTCTCCTTCAGTATGCAATTCTCTTTGTACAAGATTCATATATATATATATAGTTTTTTTTTTTTTTTTTTTTTCCAAACACCACAATAACAAACTAAAAATAACACTCAAGTCCACACAAATGCCGAAAATCATAGGATTTTATGTTTCGTGATAATGAGTGAGATGCACGAATTGAGTTTTACTTTTGATGTTGAATAAGTATTTTATGTTTTGAGATGATTATTATGCTTGAATGACATTTAGTACTTATATTTTTTATAGAATATTCTGGCTCAATAAGAATTAGTAATACAATTTATCTGTATTATTATTTATAATTTTGTTATTAAAATAACTTAATGTTCGAAAGGCTTACGCCTCAATGCTTCAAGGCTTACGCCTCGTATAGCGGACTAAAAACGCATCGCCTCTACGCCTCGCCTTTTAAAACATTGGTTTATATTATTACATTCGACAGCTAGCATATCAGTTGATTAGTTAGAGATGTTAATCGGGGATGCTGAGCACCCTTGAATGTTGTTAGTCCATGCCTCTTTCCTGTATTGTTTACCTTGTTTTGTTTTGTTTTTCCTTTGTCCTCCAAGAGAAGCTCTTCTTTTGTGTTTTTCCTTTCCACAGTACATTACCCTAAAAAAATATAGGGCCATTTCAGCAGGACTCAAACCTTCAGCTTCTGGGTATGGTATATTTAATGAGATGCTTCTTCTCATCTAACACGTTGTTTGAAATCTCATTTAGAATAGTTCGTATATATATATATATATATCAATGCCATATGACCTTTGATAACTTCAATTTTTATTTCAAAACTCCTCTTCGTTGTCTCATTAGAATGTTTTGTATCCAATTTTTCATATGCAGAGAATATACTGATGTATCTCAAAGCAGGAGTAGGGTTGTTAAGTGCAATGAGAAAAAAGTTGTAATTGGGTTCAGTTCATAATTACGATGGATACATTGTAGAAAGTAAATTCTTATACAAGCAATTTTATACTATGAAATTCAACATTCTTTGATTCACAAGACGTTGGTGGATCCCTATTTTGGTTGTTGTATTTATGGGTTTAACCGGTATTATTTCTCATAAATAAAATCCGTTTTTTATTCTTGCACAAGGGACTAATAGCCGGAAATCATTAGAATGGGAGGTATCGGAAAGAATTTAAATTCTCATTCCCCAAATATCGGTTGTATAAATAAAATAATTGAAGAAATAACTCTAGCCCAATTAGCTAAAGTGGTATTTTAGCCCTCAACCCTAAAATAATATGACAAAATTGTATATTTAAAGAGTATAGCCGTTCGGCTATACTATCAAATGTCATTCAACTATTGAAATCTCCACTATGATAACAACTCTGATGCTATAAAATCTTAAAATCCTTAGAAGAAACTCTGTGATAATCGTTTTTCCATTTAAACAAACAAAAAAAAATTGCAAAATCAGAAACATACGTAAATTGCACGCCATGGCAGCCACGGATAGAGACTCAAACTCGTAGTTAGGCGGTCTGGGCGGAGCTAGGCGGCCCCTAGGCGGTCTGGGCGGATCTAGGCGGCCCCTAGGCGGTTTGGGCGGAGCTAGGCGGCCCCTAGGCGGTATGGGAGGATCTAGGCGGCCCCTAGGCGGTCTGGGCGGAGCTAGGCGGCCCCTAGGCGGTCTGGGCGGATCTAGGCGGCCGCTAGGCGGTCTGGGCGGATCTAGGCGGCCTGCGCAGGTCTAGGCGGGTCTGCGTTGGTGTTGAGGTATGCTGCTCTCATAAACCAGAAGTGCCATGTGAAGAACAAGGATATTAGGAAGTTTCTTGATGGGATTTTTGTGAGTGAGAAGAGGACGATAGCTGAAGAGGAGTGTGTAGAAATTTAGGAAGGAATAGAAAATTAGGGAATGGCTCACTAATTGTGATGCCTGTATTCATTCATCTTTATATGATATTACAGTTGACGTTGGCCTAAGTATATATGGAAAGCTAAGGTTAATAAGGTAATACAAGATTTACACAATCATAGATTTAAACTAATACTAATATTGAGGGAGAGATTGTAGCACGACATCATGAATCCTGATTTGCAGAGGATTGAGCAATCATAGTAGCCGGGGGAGAGATGTGAGGTTGTGATTTGGGCTGATTGACTCTCGTCAGAGTGATTAGATTTTTGGGATTTGTGCTTGTTAGAGTGTTTTTTCTGATTTTGAGTTTTTCATCTTTACTCTGTTTTTTTAATCTTGGATGGAAATTTTGATGAGCAAGTGTTACTATATTTTGGGTTTCTATTGCCAAACATAAATTGTGGAATTCCGGGATTATTTTATGCAGGTTATTGGTTTTTAAAGTGAGAAATGTGATGGCAAACCTTTCATTTGCACAATCTTCAGTTTTTAAATGTTTGTCTTTGAGCCAAGATCTGGAAGAACACCTCACTTACACTAAAAATAATTTCCACTAATAAAAATGCCCCAAAAATGGTTCTTTATAGTTGCACCATCAAGTAAGTTAAACCCTGGAAAAAGTAAGGTGTCATGCCTTTTTAGAATTGGTAAACTGATTGTGAAGTCCACTAAAAACCCAACCCATTAAAACTTGAAGCAGTGATCCCGATTTTAAATCAGTCCAAGAGTTTGCTATGCTGATGTAATTTGGACCAGAAAACAACATGGAGACTCAAAAGTATCCTGTTGTCCCTGGGTATGTGGACTGATTCTATAACAGATGAATTAAGTAACCCTGAATTTATTCTCCTCCTAATTAAAGTCATCTGTTCTGTTTGTGATTATTTGGAACCAGGCATGAGATTGCAGGCATTGTAAAAGAGGTGGGTTCCAATGTTCAGCGCTTCAAAGTTGGTGACCATATGGGAGTGGGAACTCATGTCAACTCATGCAGAGATTGTGAGTACTGCAACGACAGATTTAATGGTGTTGGTGTTGATGGTACAATCGCAAAAGGAGGATACTCCAGTCATATAGTTGTCCATGAAGGGTATGAATTGAACTACCTTTTTGCCCTCTCCTCAAATTTCACATCTAAATGGCCTGTATTACAGGTACTGCTTCAACATACCAGAAAACTATCCATTGGCTTCGGCAGCTCCTCTACTTTGTGCTGGAATTACTGTTTATGCTTCGATGGTACGCCACAAGATGAACCAACATGGTAAATTCTAGGGTGATTGGCCTTGGTGGCCTAGGTCACATGGCAGTGAAATTTGGCAAAAGGCATTTGGTTTGAATGTAACAATTTTCAGCACTAGCATATCCAAGAAAGAGGAAGCTTTAAGTCAGCTGGGTGCAGATAACTTTGTGGTCTCATCTGACAGAAATCAGATGAAGGTAAAAATACATAAAGTTTCTTACCTCATCACATGAACAATAGAAAAAATAGTGGAAATGATGGCTTATCCTATAGGTTTAGTATTTATCGGTTATTGTTTGCTATGTAGGCCCTGGTGAAGTCAGTAGACTTTATAATTGATATAGCATCTGGTGATCACCCTTTTGATCCATACGCAGAACTATTGAAACTGGTGGAGTTCTGGTCTTATGGTGGGATTCCCCAGTGAAGTCAAAATCAGTCCTGCCAACCTTCATATCGGTACATTGGCATGTTTCAAATGATTGAAATGACAGTTTTATATATCCAACTGTTATTGCAATTGCAAGTATATATAATGAACTCCATGCATTGGCCTTTTGGCAGGTATGAAAACCTTTTCTGGTAGTGTAACAGGTGGAACAAAGGATATCCAAGAAATGATAGATTTCTTTGCTTCAAATGGAATTCATCCAATGATTGAAAAATTTCAATTCAATCTGCAAATGAAGCTATTGAGAGGCTACTAAAAAGTGTTGTGATATACCGGTTTGTGATTGATATTGAAAACTCCCTGAAATGACACCATGAAAGAGAACAAGGATTTCTCTTGTTGATTTGTATTAATAAGTTCATATGGATTGGATTGTAGGGCTCAAACCATTATCAATTTGGCAATCATTTAAAGTTAGGTGGTGTGCATTTACCTCTGTGAAATTTTATCTGGGATTGATCTTCTGTATAATGTGTAAAAAGAAACTGAACTCTTATGATCATGTCCTTTCTCTAGTGACTGGATTTATGACTGAAATATCATTCTCCAGCACTTTAATGTCTGTTCAGCAACAAGAGTGTCTTTCCTTCTTTCCCCACAGCACACAGTAAAGGCCCACAATAATGAGAAACGCTCCGATCAAGCTCATAGAATCAAAGCACGATAGGTAAAATGAAGGGTTTTGTTAAGCATATATATAGTGTGATCATCATATTATGCTAGAATTGAAAGCTAAGTTCATAGAACATCTGTTAGACCAGCCATGCTATATGGGACTGAATTCTGGACAGTTAGAAAACAGACATATTCGTAGTTCCTGTAGGTACATATTAGCCAAATGTTACAACCAGCACAGTGATATGCACACCTCCATCTCTGTTTCTCTAACGGCATATTAGCCATTATTAGACACAAATTGTTAAGAGATCAGATTAAAATATTTGTCACCATTTGAATCCTTCAAAATTGGAGATGTTTGCTGAATAATCTTTGCTATCTTTCAAAATTGAAGGGTCATTGCCTCAACCTTAAAAGCCTGGATTTTTTAGTGAAAGGGATGTCAATGAACTCGAGGTCTATCCTTCTTCTAAAGCATTTTTGGCTAATGAAGTCACAATCCTTTTACACTAATGGAGGCTCGATAAACGATATTTCATGTTGGTATGTTAATCTGGTGCTTTTGAAGTCAGTTTGAAAAGTTAAATATAATTAAGAGATTCCCAACCCATGCATTAGCAAATGCACCCTCTAATTTTATTTTATTTTGTTTTCTTTGGAGTTGAGGTGGAGTTCACACAACAGAAACACAGATGCTGATACAAGAACAAATATAAAAGCTTAAATGAATTAGATTTTTCACTTGAGGTGGTGTAATATTTCATTTTTTTTTCTTCTGTTCTTTGGTGGGTTGGTTTTGGGTTCCTATGCAACACAGGAGGAGGAGATAAATCTTTCTTCTTCTTTTTTTCTTTTTTTTTCTCTCAGCGAACAAGAGGGTATGATCAAATGTCAAAATCTATAACATAAATGCAATATCCAAAGAATGAAAAGCAGTCTAACCAAGAAGAAACTAGCAAATATTAGTGAATCAGCAAAACTTATGAATTTAGCAAATAAAGAACCTGAAGCCAGTTTCAAGCCGAAAAAAACTTACTTGTGTAATATGAAGAGCCTGCTCAAGCCGCTGAATTTGAATCCATTGTTTTGTAACAATGTCAGCCATCTGAAAGCACAGAGAAAGAAGCCGACGGAAAAATGAACAGCACACTAACAACATCGCACACTCATAGCCATAGACCAAAGATGAATTGAGTACATCAGTGCATGACCTTTTGAGCCTGAGAGGCAACCGTTTTGAGTCTATCCTCGGCATCTTGTGCTTTAGACTCTAAAAAATGGGCCTAGGCGGGCTGCTAGGCGGCTAGGCGGGCGTCTAGGCGTCTAGGCGGGCGCTAGGCTGCTAGGTGAGTGCTAGGCGGTTGGGTGGGCCTCGTAGGCGGATTGGGTCTTTTTTCGGTGCTGAACCCGGAGGACGAAGCATCCGAAACCGAAGAAAACAAATCAAAGCTTGAGTTGATAGAGAAGCGAAACTTTGACTGCAACCTCCGTCCTCTGCGCTATATTTAAAGAGTATAGCCGTTCGGCTATACTCTTAAAATATTCGAATATATTAAATACTCTTAAAATATTCGAATGTATTTAGAAAGTATAGCCGACCGACTATACTGTTAAAATATACTAATATATTTGGCGAGTATAGCCGCCCGGCTATACCCTTTAAATACACAATTTTGTCATATCATTTTAAGGTTTGGGGCTGAAATACCGCTTCAGTCCATTTGGCTAGAGTTATTTCTTCAAATATTTTATTTGTATAAGCGATATTGGGGAATGAGATTTTAAATTCTTTCCAATACCTCTCATTCTAATGATTTCCAGCTATTAGCCCATTGGGAAAGAATAAAAAAATGAATTTTATTTATAACAAATAACGCAGGTTAAACCCATAAATACAACAACAAAAAATCGGATGTCAATAAACTCAAGGTCAATCCTTCTTCTAAAGCATTTTCAGCTAATGAAGTCACAGTCCTTTTACACTAAGGGAGGCTCGATAAATGATATTTCATGTTTGTGTGTTAATCTAGTGCTTTTGAAGTCAGTTTGAAAAGTTAAATATAATTAAGAGATTCTCAACCCATGCATTAGCAAATGCACCCTCGAAAGAAAACCTAGGTTTTATGCCTAACTATTTCCCATGTTTTATATCAACTAGCCTTTCTACATGCGCTTCCGCGCCTACACCAGTGAGGGTCGAGTGAAGCCTGAGCATAAGAAGTGGTCTCAACAACACTTGAAATTTGGTTAACAAAAGCTTTGTGTGAAGGAGATAAAGAGGTGTAAGAAATGTAATTGGACAAAGGAAACTAAGTACCTGACTTCTTGGAAGATGATGACCCATTTGTAGCTTGATTGCAGTGAAAATCATGTAAGAGAATGGATGGTTGAGAGACACGTTGGCTACGACAAAGTGGTGGAGAGGTTGGGATATTTTATGGGGAAGGAAAGTCAGGAACATTGTCGATGTCACGGGGCGATCGATCGTCGTGAGAGGTGCGATCGATCGTTTCTTCAATTGGAGAGTTCGAATGCTCTCTGTCAAAAAGCGATCGATGGGCGATTGATCGTTTTTGGACAGTTTGTGGTTTTGGACGTTGTTTGAAGGTGGAATTGTGTTTTAAAGGGAAAAATGTCTAGAAACGGGTTAGGAAAAGGTGTGGAAGCAATGGGATATGTGTTTGATAATGAGGTGTGGTAAGGAAATACATATTCATGAAACACGATGTCACTAGTAGAGAAAAACTTGTGTGTGGAAAGGTTATAAACTCTATAAGCCTTTTGGCCCAATGAATATCCCACAAAGACACAACGACGAGCCCTAGGTGAAAATTTGGAAGGTGAGTGGGTGTTGGTAGCATAACAAAGGCACCCAAAGACACGAATATGAGCATATGTGGGAGGTGTTTGGTGAAGCATTTCATATGGTGATTTTTTGTTGAGGGGGAAGGCGATTGATGAGGTAGGCAGCAATGAGAACACTTTCTCCCCAAAAAGGAAGAGGAAGATTAGCTTGAAATTGAAGAGCTCGACCAACATTAAGTAAGGGCCTATGTTTGCGTTCAACCACACTATTTTGTTGTGGAGTGGAAGGGCATGAGCGTTGAAAAGTGATGCCATGTTCACCAAAGAAAGAGATCATAGACACAAATTCAGTCCCATTAACAGAACGAACACTTTTGACAGAATAATGAAAGTGATTGTGGACATAAACAAAGAAATTAGTGTCAGATTTGTGATGCATGAGGTGAAGCCAAGTGTAGCGTGTGTAATCATCAACAATGGTGAGAAAGTATCTTGCGCACCCGAATGAGATGCAACGCGGTGAGGACCTCAAATATAACAATGAATTAAATCAAAAGGACGAGCAGTTTTTATTGAACTGGAAGAAAAAGGCAAACGAGTTTGCTTAGCTAAAGGGCATACATCACAATGATGGTGCAAATAAAATAAAATACCAGAAATTGTTTGAGACTAAAATTTGGATGGTTCTTTGGAGGGATTACCTAAGCGTTGATGCCAGAGAGCAACGAATTTGTGATTGAGGTGGCATGTGGTGGTGTTGGATGTGGATGGTGGAGTGGTAACATTCTCTTTCGTGAGCAAGTAGTATAAGCCATTAACTTGTTTCCCAAGGCCAATCATCCACTTTGAAGTCAAGTCCTGTAAGACACAAAAGGTAGGGAAGAAGTGAATAGAACAATTGAGACTAGATGTAAGTTTTCTAACAGAAGGTAAATTAACATGAAAGTAAGGCACACAAAGAACTCCATCAACAGATAAGTTTGGACCTAGAGATGGGGAACCAAGGCCACTGATTTTCGCATGAGACCCATCAGGAAGATCAACAGTGGAGTTGAGTGGGGTAGTAACAGATAGCCCGGAAGGAGGCGCAATGTGATTAGTGGCTTCACTGTCAGGTATCCAAGGATTTGTGGATGATGAGCCCGTGAAGGCACAAAAAGAAGGTATTTTACTTATGAAATTAGCACGAGGTTTACCATCACAAAGCAAAGACTTGAGTTGAGCATACTCCTCAGTGGAGAATTTTGTTAGTTCTAGGGAGAAGAGAGGCTTAGGATAATAGCTTGATGATGAATAGAAAGCTTTTGAAAGAGTAACAAGATAATTTTATTTTATTGATTGAAATAAGAAGGGTACAAGAGAGATAGTTGGATACAAGAGGTGGCTGATGGGGGTTTAGACAGCTGGTAGTTTTTCAACTTTCTTAACTTGAATACATAAGTGGGCTGCTATAGCTATATATAGAGTAGCTAAACCGACACAAAGGATGGTAAATATCTAGTGAAGTCGGTTATTGCATAGTAACCGACTTCCAAAGTGTTTTCCAGCCACTAGTTATAATATAAGTCTAGAATTTTCTAGTTACAAAACATTATATAATTAATAGGATGTTTCTAGTGTAGAGCTCAAATTTGACTTGTCATCTTTTCTCAATTTTTCTAAACTTTTCTATATTATTCTAGTACAAGTGTGCATTATTATTTTTTAACAAATTTGAAACCTTCTGCTGCGGGTGGTGGAGTAGATTGGGTCTGAAAGAGGTAAGGATCAGTATGATCCATAGTTTCAGTTGGAGGAATTTTGGCTTCTGTTTGGGAGGTGTTGATAGCGTCACCCATGAAGAGTTAGACGGCTAGGGTTTGTAAACAAAGAGACACCTAGAATCGGAGCTCTGATACCATGTCAAATTGGAGACTCTGTTGAGAAGAATATTTCTCTATGTGTTGATAGAGCCAGAAGGCTAAGTATATAGAAAGATTTACAAACCCTATAAGGAATCCTAGGTTCTTGGAGACTACTTTTAAATGAATTACAATCAATTATAGAAAAGGAAATAAAGAAACTTCCTAATTTCCGTTCCATCTTTCCTTTGACCAACGAGTCCTCGAACCAACCTGTTACCTTACAACTAAGATTTTGCCTTCTTTCCTCTCTTTCTTCTTCTTCATTTTTTTTTTTTTTTTTTTTTTTTTTTTTTTTTTTTTTGTGTTTTTTTTTTTTTTTTTTTTAAAGTTTGCTTTATAAGCATCTCCAACGTTCATAATGAAATATTTGAATCACTGTATGATCAGGAGGAAAATGGAAGAAATTGATGAAGGTCCAAATGACATAGAAAACGCATACGATTTGATGCTGGAATTGGGTGGCTTCTCCTTGTCCCCTTTGCGGTGTATCTACAGAGTTCCTAAGCGACTACGGCAGGGAAACGATGACGAAGCCTACACACCTCAGGTAGTCTCTATAGGCCCACTACACATGGAAAGGAACACTTAAATGTTATGGAATATCACAAAAAGAGGTATCTACGAGATTTTCTATGTAGAAACCAGTTAAACTTGGAGTTTTATAAAAGGAAAATAAAGGGCCAAGAAGTAAAATTGAGAAGTTGTTATGCAGAACCGATTGGGTATAGCAGTGAAGAATTTCTAAGAATCATTCTAGTGGATGCCGCCTTCATTATTGAGTTTTTGTTGAGGTACAATAACCCAAAATTTCGAGATGAGGATGACTACATATATAATAAGCCATGGATGCGCATTGATGTATTGGCTGACTTGCGGATGCTTGAAAATCAGTTGCCACTTTTCATTCTGAAGGATCTTTTTGACCCAGAGAAATATTTTGATTATGCTGATAATCCTTCAATAATTAGTCTTTCTTACGCTGTGTTCAATACTCCTTTCTTTTGGAAAGGAACAAAGACGACGTTTTGGAGGGAAAAAGTTTTTGTGAAGTAAAACATTTTGTTGATTTGATAAGAACTTCTTGTCTACCATCGAAATTAAAAACTGATGAAAGGGAAGTCAAAAATATAAGAACACCCAGCATCACAGAGCTACACAGGGCAGGTCAAGTTGAAGGGGGGGATCAACGGATAACTTATTTGATATTCAATTTGCTGACGGGACTCTTGAAATTCCAAGATTGGAAATAAGCGATCAGACAGAGCTAATAATTAGAAATCTCATTGCATTTGAACAATGCCACTACGAGGAGAAGTACATAAGTAATTATGTACGTCTCATGGATTGTTTTGTGAACACCCCAAAGGATGTGGAGTTGCTTGTTAAGAATAGAATTATTGAAAATTGGCTAGGTGACAACAGTGAGGTGTCTACTTTGATTAATAAGCTTGGAAAAGGGGTTTGGATAAATGACAAGGACTTTTATTTTGCTACTGTTGCTGAAGCCCTGAACTCCCACTGCGGAACTCACTGGAACAAATGGAAGGCAATGTTGAGACAGAATTATTTCAACACACCTTGGACAATTATCTCTTTCGTTGCAGCTGTTTTCCTCCTCATACTCACTGTCATCCAGACAGTGTGCTCCATTATATCTATTGCTTAAGCATCAGCAACAGCAAGTGGATCTCTTTCTGTATTCTCCTTGTCCTTTTTCCATCACCAACGTAGTGAAGAAACAAAAAACAAGAGAAAGTTTGTATTGTATGTTGAGCAGTATGACTCCCCGTCTGTTAGTTAAACTTTTCTGTGTGCTTATTGACATTGTAGGGTGATATATGTACCAAGTATTGTATTGTATTGTGATTCGATCAATAAAAAGATAGTATTGTGAAGTGATGAAGCAAAGAAATACTACTTACATACTAGCTAGTTATTTATTATGACAACAAATGGATATTAATATAGCCGAAGTAAATATATAACATCCGAGTTTTTTTACGTATGTATCCAAAATTTAGCCCATTATTTCATAAATGCCAATTTCTATAAAAACTTTCAAGAAAAAAGCCTCTCTTGGAACAGTTTTGCGCCGGCCGCACCATACATGGCTTCTCACAAAGCGTGTGACAAGTCCCACTCTAGAGCCAAGTGAAGCCGTCGCCGAAGATGGTCTTGATTCCGGTCCACTTCGTCAGATTGGAGTGCAACCAGTCGGACTTGGCACTGAAGAGTATATGTAGAAGAGTATTGGCATACTCTTACACTCAATTTCCTTTTCTAGTTGGAATTTACAAGGTTAATTAATATGATAGGGAGTTGATTTAAATTAGGAATTTCAGATAATTAATTGAGTGAGAAGCCATTATTAGGCTTTCTCTTCTGATAATCGGTTTCTTATTCGTTCACCAGATTCTAGCAGGAAGCTAATTTGGGGTCTCATCAAAGAAGGGATGCTAGGAAAGCCTGTGAATACGTATCTAACAAATAAAGCTGTGTATGTCCACCCAACTTGGAAGTTGCTTTGCCCTGATCTCGCTGTATTTCCATATGAAAAGCATGATGTGAAGAAGTGCCCCTGCTAACTAGGCCAGTTGCCAAGCTCCTGAAATGAGCTGAACTACGTAAATCCATCAGTCTTTTTTTCTTCCAAGTTTTCATATTTAACAAATTCAAACTGTATGTATCAGACTGTACGTTTTCTTGCCAAGACTTTTATTTGGCTGAAAATATTGTTATAATTGTATATACTATATAATACTAAACCGTTTCTCAGATATTTCTCTCATAAATTTCCGTACATGATATTGGAAACTTTTTTAAAGATAAATATAGGGTTGAGGAAAACAGGGGAAAAACAGGGGGAAAACAGCACGAGAACCACTACTTCTTGAATACAACAGGAACAAATCCATTAATTCATAGTTAATTTATTCCAACGAAATAAACGAGAACCACTGTAGCCTTTATGAGTGATACTAATTTAATTAAGGCAGATTCACTATTATACCAACTATAAGAGCTCAAATTATAAAAAAAACCCTATATGAAATGGATTTTAGAAACACACCTAAAGCTCATTTACAACATAACAAAAAGACTTTTAACTTCTTTTAAATTACAAAACTGCCATTGATTTCTTAAAACAAACCCAATCCCAAAACCTCATGAAAAAACTCAAAACACTCAATAGGTTATCAAAGTAATTTAATAATCAAAATTAAATTCAATAGGGCCACCTATCATTTTTGGGGTTTGTTTTATAGAAATTAAATGGTGTATGGTTTATTTATAGTTTTAGTGCTAAGAATAAGTATATGACTAAACATCTCTTTTAATTAACAGGAAAGGGATCCAATACATATTGAAGTTAAATTCAATGTATTCACACGGTCCACCCTTTTTTTATACAAGCGTATTATACTTTAATTTAATCTAAACTATGGGAACTTGAGTGCAGAATGGGGAGCACATCTACTCTGGCCAACTTAACTAAACTCATGTCTGCACACAATCCACCCCTTGGAACATCTCCATTAACCCTAAAAATGTTCATAAAAAAAAATCTCAAATAATTGGAAATATTTGATAATTAATATACGTCACAAATTATAGCTCTGGGAGCTTCTATATTTTTACATTCCCAAAAAAAAACCAGTTAATATAAGAGTGAAATCAATGAAGTCATTAAACCAAGCTTGATGGTAAAGAACTGATCAAGAATAGCATAAGTCTTGATTTTCTGGTAAGTTTTTATTGCACATTGTTTTGTATAAGTTTGTTTTATATGTTGTGGATCTTGGTTTGACCAAAGTTTGCTGGCGTTACTCGGCTGATTTGTATTCGCCATTTGTGGTTAGGGCTGAAGTAAGACGTTATTTATTAGATATTATATTAATGCTATTCGCTAGAGAACTTTTTTGGTATGAAAATGGCTCAAAGCGTCAAACTGTAGAGTTTTGCCGCCACCAGTCAAAATAGTTGAATGATTATCAAATTGGTCATTCTACTTAAGGGTGGCCATGGGAGGGAGGGGAGGGGCGGTGTTCTGCTTTCTGGGTTTTGTTGATTTATTTATTTTAGTTTTTAGTTTTTAAAATTTTCAAATAAGAATTCACGTGGTATAAAAGATTGGTGTGCCAACCACTCATGAGATCAGAAGTACTTGGACCTGCTTTAACCATACCCAGCATTACAGACCTATGAGATGCGGGAGTGAAGCTTAAGCTGATATCAAGTGAAAACAGATTTGACATACGATTCAGTAATGGGATTTCTGAAAATTTCAAAAATGACAATATGCGATGACAATATGTGATTCTTTGTTTTTTATTTTTTATCTTCAGTAATTTACACATATATCTTTGCGCATCATAACCGATTCTCACATTATTGTGATCATGAAACAATTCTTTGAATAGTCATCTCTTTCTCTACTTTTTCTTTTGGTCTACATTTTTACCTCGCTAATTACTAGTTGCTACCACTTAGCAAGTCATCCTGATACATGACTCGAAACCCGCACAAGAAATTAGAGGGTCAACTCGACATGACACGTTTATTAAACGGGTCAGGTTTTTATTGAGCATTCTTAACACGTATATGATCTTGACACGACACGCATCCGACACAACACATTATCAACCCTACCTGTATTTAGCCAGAGAAAAAGATAAGGTCCCGTAGATAAGGGACATTAATTCAATGGGGCAAAACCCGTCCTACATAATTATATAAAACAAAAAGTTGTTCTACATAGCCCATCTTTGTACTATACATTAATTATTGAGAGAAAAGCCGTCGTACATTAACTTTTTCTCTAGTGTGTGGTAATGATATTCATATTTGTATTGAATATTTATAGCCTTTTCTTAGACGATCTCGTGCTGATATTTGAGTTCTCCATATGCCAGTGGGCAAAAAAGTTTTCAACATGTGGATAGTAAACTTAATAAAGTTAAGGTTTTGGATTTGAATTTCTTTTTACACATTAATTCATGATATTTTATATAAAAATATATATAAATTAAATTATTTAACATATGGTAAATTTCTAATAACTGGCACTCGTAACTGCCGGCTACGTTACGAATATGAAAGGTCTATTTTGGTCTGTATTATTGAGATCATTGAGCAAGACCTCCCAAGGCCAAGTTCTGCACCACATGTTCTTAATTAGGGAAAGGGTTGTCAATGGGTCTAGCCCAATGAAAAAAAGCCTTGATTTACAGACAATAGGTCTCAAATTTGAATCTCCACGACATCATAGTTGTGTGTATATATGAAATCTCCCTCTCCTCTAATTTAGACTATTGATTGCTCAAAAAATTAGGGAAAGGTTTTTATTTTTTATTTAGTCTAAAAGGTAAAATAGAAGAATTAATTATTATGATTTTTTATTATAAAAAAACTAGTTATATTATGATCGTTGTGCTATAAACATATAAAATCTAGCACAATATGCCTATACTTCTGTTAATGCTTTCTCTTGTTACTTTGAAAACAAAGGAAAAGAGCTTGCATTGTATACCTAGGGGTGGCAATTTCCGATATGACCCGTTACATGACTCAAAATCTGCACGAGAAATTAGTGGGTTCAACCCACACGATAAAAATTCAGGTCAACCTACCATGACCCGTTTAATAAATGAGTGGGTTTTGGGTCAACTTGCCAACCAGCTAAAATACTTATCTAACCCCTTTATTAAATGGGTCAACTTGCAAACTTGTTAAAATACCTATGTAACCCACCAACCCGCTAAAGTACTCACGTAACCCGCCAACCCGTTTCTTCTTCATTTTCTTCACTTTTCTAATTTTTGTATTTCTTTTATTTCTCTTTCTCAATCTTCATACATAGATAGAGGCAAAATTTAGTCACTATTTTATATTAAAAAATAAAAATACAATTACTTGATTAAATTATCAAAATTCAGGTTTTTAAAATTTGTTTTTTGATGACCTTGTGAATTTGAGATGTGATTCTTTGTTATTTTTTTAATTCTTTTTTATCGGTCTTTAGTTATTTACACATATATCTTTGCGCATCATATCCGATTCTCACATTATTGTGATCATGAAAAATTCTTTGAATAGTCATCTTTCTCTACTTTTTCTTTTTAGTCTACATTTTTACCTCACTAATTACTAGTTCCTACCACTTAGCAGGTCACCCCGATACATGACTTGAAACCCGCACGAGAAATTAGTGGGTCAACCTGGCATGACACGTTTATTAAACAGGTCAGGTTTGTATTGAGCATTCTTAACATGTATATGATCCTGACATGACACACACGACCCATTATTGGCCCTACCTATATTTAGCCAGGGAAAAAGATAAGGTCTCGTAGATAAGGGACATTAATTCAATCCAGCAAAACCCATCCTACATAATTATATCAAACAAAAAGTTGTTCTATATAGCCCATCTTTGTACTATACATTAATTATTGAGAGAAAATTATATTTGGAAAATACTTCCCTCATTCCTTTGTAGGTAGGAATTCCTACATTTCTGTCAATGGCAATATGACATGTGTGTCAAAGTTTGTTTTTGATGAAATATTTTTGTACATGTGTCAAACCGTGATTTGTAGGAAGGAAGAGTATCTCTTTCCAAGAAAGGAGGCAATCAATATCCTTATATTTTCATGTACCAGAGGA